CATGACATTATCACGCAATTGGAAGGTGGCTGTGTCTGATAACGGATGGACTACAAATGAGCTCAGTTTGAAATGGATTCAGCATTTCGATAAGTATACCAGACCACGTATGACTGCCGGTAAACGCCTCCCCATCTTAGATGGTCACAAAAGCCATCATTCCCAGGTCTTTGAGGATTATTGTCAGAACAATGGCATCATTACTCTTTGTATGCCTGCCTACTCATTATATAGGCTCCAGCCTTTAGATGTCAGTTGTTTCAGCCCACTCAAATGAGCTTATGGTCGCTCAATTGAGGATCTCATCCGGCGTCATATAACCCATGTTTCAAAAGAGGACTTCCTCACAGCATTTTATGAAGCACACAATGCTGTAATAATACCAAGAAACATCCGAGCAGGTTTCAGTGCCACTGGCCTTATTCTTTTTGACCCAAAAAGTGTCATTTCAGAGCTGGATGTTGTCGCTGTCGTACGAACACCGTCACCAGACCCCAATCTGCCACCCACTACTTGGACTTTAAAGACGCCTATTATTATTAATGAAGCGGTAAACCAATTAGTTTATATCCAAAATTGAGTCAAAACCCATCAAAGAAGCTCACCTACATCAATAATTAATACATTGAGCTCGTTTTTAAAGGCTATATATGGTCTTATACATGATGTCGCTTTGATTGATTCCCGGGTCCGTAAGCTAGAGGAGGTCAATCACTTACTAAATGAACGCTAGAAAACAAAACATAAATATATAATAAAAAGAGAAATATTTTTTATTAAAGATGCAATAAGTGTTCAGGCTATAAAGGATAGTACTAAGCTGGCAAGACAGGAAATGGGTGAAGATAGTTGTCATCCAAGGAGGACAGCAGCGCGTGAGCGACGGTGTGGCATTTGCGGCAACACTGGTCATAATACACAAACTTATACAATAAAGATGGAAATCTCTGAAGAAGAGGAATCTAATTGATTGAATTGAATTGAATGCGTTGTGGTGAAGTTATTTCACATAGCAGTTAGAGTGTTCATGACGAGTGCCAACTCGCTTATAATGCCAACTCGCTTATCAGCTACGTTATACACTTAATTTGTAGCTGTTTTAATTTATAATAGTTTCTTTTGCGTTATTTAATAACATAAATATGCGATCAAAGATTGGTATATTAAGGGCCTGATTTAATAAACGGCCCTAGTTTAATATACCGTTATATTTACTTTTATATATATATAAAAGCACTTTTTAAATAGTTATACTATTAATAGCTTTTATATAAAACCTTTAATTAATTAAACAATTTTTAGTTTTAAAAGATTAAAAGATTAAAGCGTTAAAACTATGTCCATGAGGTATTAAACTATTGAAAACAGGTTTTTAAAATATCAAGCGTTAAAACTAAGTCTTTTTAAAACTAACTATTAAAATATAAGTTAAATAAATAAATATACCTTCGAATAAATATACGTTAAGTATATTTATAAGTATTATTATTATACGGTAGTATATGCTAGCTGCTAGCGGTAGTAATAATAACGGCGAGAATATTTATAATGATATTTAATGTTAATTACCTTTAAATATTAACAGTATCTTTTAAATAACACGTCAATATTAATAATTAAAGGCACGATACTTATTAATAAGACTGCTGTAAAGAAATGTCGCGCTAAGGATCTTCTGATTCGCATGGTTAGCACGAGGCATAAGCGTAATTTCTGCTGCCACTTTTAAACAGCGCCTATTATAGGTACACTCCCAGGCCATAAGTCTTTGAGCATCCCTGTTTTACACTAAAACACCCCAACTTTACCTATCGTAATAAATCGAGTAAAATAGATACAACTTAGATACTTATAGCACTTATAGTTAAATATACTGGAAAATTGAAATGACTTATTTAGAAGCTTTGATATCTTAAAGATAAAGGTCGTAAATATTACTTTAAAGATGAAATTTTCGATAAAAATAACATTTCAAGATATCTAATTTAAAAAAAAACATCGAATAAGGTTTTTCGTCTTATGCGTATATTACATGTTATGTAATATTATGTAACTTTATTATAACTTATATAATTTTATAAACATCTTTTATAACTTCATTAATATTTAAAAATTTTAGTTTTAAACTTTTATATATTTCTAAGTTTTTAGTCGCTAAGAAAATAAATATTTAGAAATTAGTCACGAAAACTTCAGCATTTTAAATATTAGTCCTTTATAATCTCCCATTTTAAAAAGCTTTAGGTCTTTAGTTATAAAAGGGTAAATGTAGGGCATTTTGGTGTAAATGCGGGGATGCTCGGAGACTTATGGCAGGTAAGTGTAACCAGTTCTACAGATGCTCGGGGTCCACAGCAGACTTCCAGGTCATCCAGACTCGACGTCTGGCATCGTTGGCCACCACCAGCCCGATACCATCGCGGAACCATACTTTATTACACAGGCGTACGTACATACTAGCAAATTCTTTCCTGCACGCAAGAGGCGGGCGTACCCCTCTGCCAAGTTCAGAACGAGCGGACGCCCATCGAGGTCCTGGAGCCGGTCCCGGGTCGATGTTCCGGGTCCCGGCGGATGCAAGCCACCTCCAGCTCAGGCCAAGGGGACCACCCCAACCTGCAACCCCAGAGGTGCCAAGAACCTACCTAGAATCCTTCGGTACATTTTGCTTGCTTCTTTGCGCCTGTCTGCCTGCCAGCGACTTTGCTTCTATCCGTATCATTATACAAGTTGAACTCATCACTACCTTACCTATAGTAGCTGTAGCTACGTTCCGCCTACCTACGAACACACCTACAAACATATAGCTGTCTGCCACGTGACGGGCGGGTAGTCGAGGAGCCTTACATTAAGTACTTACTTAATAAGGTAACTCCCCGGCCCATGTGACATGTGTACTAGATGGGCAACCTGCATACATAGATCACACATGGGAACTCCCCAAGCGACCGCTGTTGCAGCCACGACTTACATGCATAAAGGTACTTGCGGTCAGACAGACGGCAGAGAAAGACGGCAGAGGAATTAGGTAGGTAGGAAGAAAAGTCGAAGAAAGAAATACCGAACCGGAAGCGACATCATGTACCTATCTAGTAGCACTACCGAAAATAAGCATACCTTACACGACCCAGAGAAGGGATGTATTTACATAAGCAGAAGCATGTAACGAGCAACGTGTAACTAGGTACCTAGTAAGCAATAAGCGCCGCGGCAGGTTGCTTTTATGATAATGATGCTGCTGCGAGTCTGTGACGGTGCAGCGCCTCCAGGACTGTCCATCATGCTAATGCCATTATTGACGTGAGTGCGCACGCACTCACTTCGCTCGCTGCCTGCAAACCTAATGTACAACAAGCTTCATATTGGTTCACTCGGCTTCTTCTTCTTCTTATGCATCACTCTCCCAAAGCCCAAACAGGTCTGTTACCGCGCTCTTCTTTAATGTTGGAAGACAAATGCCGGAGGGGCAGTGAGGAAACGGAGGGGCAGCCAGTTCGGGGTAGGGGCAAATTGCATATATGCGAGGGTCGAGAATGTATTTCTTGCTTCCATACTGTAGAGCGATACTGTTTTCAAGGCACCTTAGGTATGTAAACTAAGGTACATTCCCGCATCCATCTACCCAGGATAGTTTGGGCTTGGCAATGCTGGTCGAACAAACTGCTAAGTCGAGACTAGTAGGACTCACCCCATATGATAGATCATGAATATGCACTTGCGAGTTGTGTATTGAAGTGACTCTCTAGATGCTTCCAGTCGCTAGAATGCCGTCGTCGCTTAAAGAAGAAAATCCACCTACCTACCTGCCTGCTAGCCGGCCGGCCCTTTAGCACACCGTATATTTCCTCTAATCGAAGTCTGATATAAAACCAGCATCGTGCACGGTAGGGAGCAGCACGTTGGCGAGGACTCGGAAAGTCGGTGGAACAGAAAGAAGAACTTTCCTGGCGGCAGCACGAACCTGACCAACAAAAGCCCCCCGGATCCTGGCTCTCCCGCATGCGCTGTACTATCATTGCATGAATTATGACGGATTTGGGTGAATAGATGCAGGACTATCCCGGGTCCTTGGCTTCACACGCCTCAGGCTGTAAGGATCATCCTTTGGGAGCTGGTTGGACGATGGTGACCTCGAAGTGTTTTTTTTTACGTGGAAAGTGAAACATCCCAAGTCCCCACCCATTATACCATATCGGGGCTGGTGGGGTTGATAAGACAATCTCCGAGACAGGATCAAGAATCAGGAAAATAGACAGCACACAGCCTTTATCATATCAGCTTGTAACCGTCACGGAGGCAGAAGGGAAGTAGGCATGATCAGATGGTCTGTCCATTGATTATAGACTCAAGGCCTCCCAACAAGGGTTGCGACTATGATAGCTCGAGCTGCAGGCTGCAAAACCAGGAGAGCCTTGAACCCCAGCCCCAACTGATTCCACACTCCCTTCAAGTCTCCCGAACGTGACATCTTGGCCGTTCATGAGAACATCCAACATGGTATGGCAATATCAACAACAGGATTGTGTGCAAAAGACAGCCTGTGAAAATGATTTCTGACCGAGGGCAGAAGACCGTACCCGTGACTCCAGAACACCACCGGCTGCCCGTGCGCTCTTGTCTTGCTTCTCGTTCTTGCAAAACACATCTGCTTCTTTCCGCCTTCTGTCAAGTGAAAACAAGGTATTTGCGCCCAATATGATGCCGCTTTTAAGTACGTACGCCGTTCGCCAAGGTCGGAAGCCGGTTGTCCGGTTGGATGATGTCCAAGGAGTATAAAGGAGGGAGACAGGATCAGACTGTCAGAAGTGTATGAACATAGTGACAACCTAGGTCGTCATTGTTGTCGTGGTGGCGCGTACCCATGACAGAGTCCGTAGCAGTCAAGCAGTTATTTCGACACCAAATACACATGACCAAAAGAGAACATCGTTATTGTCGAGTATCGTCTCGGCCGGTGCGAAAGCTCACGATGAGGCTGCACGATCGTGGCGAATGTATGTTCATAATATCACGCACTTCCCTCCGCCACCACGACCAGAGGTCCTTCTCCTATATCGATTGGGGTCGCGTTCGGGACGAGCATCCCCGTTTTGGGTTCGCTCTCGGCGACCAGTGGCATTCTGTTGTGGCCGCTGTGAGGCTTCTCGTTGCTGGCGCAGTATCCTGACGACGTCATAGAAGGCCTTCTCAACGTTGATGCAGTTTTTGGCTGATGCCTCGACGAACTCGCAGCCCAGCTCTCGCGCTAGGGCATGTCCTTCTTGTGTCGACACCTCTCTCTCCGTCACGCGATCACTCTTGTTGCCCACAAGCATGACAGGTACGGCACTCGCAGGCACTGCAGCGGCTATCGGCGAGCCTGGGTAGGTTGGTGATGATTGACATGACTCCTTTACTCGCTGGATCTGGTGGTGAAACCTCTTGATTCGGGAGAAAGATGATCGGGAGGAGATGCTGTATACCAAGACAAAACCCTCGCCGTCTCGGATCCACTGGTCTCGCAGGGCGGTGTATTCTTCCTGGCCGGCCGTGTCTAGGACTTCAAGCATGCATGCTGCGCCGTCTATGACGACCTGTTTTCGGTACGAGTCCTCAATTGTCGGGTCGTACTGGGAGTCACAGTCAGTCATTACTCGTAATTGGCGATCACGGCTGGCAGGCAACAAGCATCTCGCCACTGAGCGCAATCAAAGGCTAGCAGGACGTACAGTTTCGACAAAATGTTGTAGACATAGTTGAATAGTCAGAGCTGTCTTGCCGACACCACCATCGCCTAGCACCACCAGCTTGTATAACACCATCCGTGGCGACATCGTGATGTAACAGCGCGGCCGCCGCTGGACCAGGCGAGTATCGGGCGTGATATGCGGGGAGTTGAAAATAGGCGGGAATCAGAGTGTGGCGGCAGGAAGAGGTCTGCTTGCGGTGGTCGAAGACGAGAGGCTCCGCAGTGTGGGCGGTCGGGCAGGCGACGGGATGCGGGCTGCGGGAGTCAGGAGGCAGGCGTCAGGAGGCAGGCGTCAGAGAGAGCAGCGAGATCGATGGAGGTGGCAGGCAGCGAGAGCGTGTGAGGGGTCGCTTGCGGGCACAGACGGGCACGGATGGGCACAGTTGGGCACGGATGGGGCGACTCGTTGATCGTGGGATCGTGGGCTGGCTCGACCACGGCGTAGGTTTTCTGTGTCGTGCTGCTGCGGTTGCGTGCCCGGGAGAAACGAGAAATGGAGAATGGGAAGAGGAGGGACAAGGCCTAAGGTTGTTGTGTTGGACTGGGCCACTGGCCTGTGGGCTCTGGGCTCTGGGCTGTGGAGAATGGGATTTTGGTGGGTCGGGTCCGAGCTTCCAGTCCCGTCTCGAGGCGTATGTAAGCATCCAGATTCAATCCCACAGGCTACAACATTAAAGCTACAGACTACAGACTACCTACTACAGTACTGCCACTGCTGCCAAGTATTATCTACCTACCTAGGTATGACCACAGGCCGCCGGCCTGGATGGACAGGGTCTAATGTTCAACTAAATAAACACGACGGGCTATATCGCCAGAGGTACGCTATGGCGACGGTGAGTACTCTCAAGTAGTAGAGCACAAGCCTTCTATCAAGCTAGCAGCAGGACCCTGCGCTGGGAGTCTAATAAGACTTGCCTGACTGATCTGTGACTGGGAAATGGGCTTGGGCTTGGGCTTGGGATTGGGATTGGGAAGTGAGCAAGCTTAAGTCGGACACCATGGCTGGGTGGTTTGGGTACCAGGATAAAGTGAGAAGCCGAGATGACGTGGAGACTCAAAGCAGCCCTGGAGTCGGCGTATCTTTCTATCCGTATCCAAGTCCCGACTCTCAGGTATTTTAGTCAGGTAATTACATCAGTTGTAAGTAAGAAACGTAGATACCCGTATCGATGTAAGCAGATATATATAGAAGGAAAACACCAGGGACTATGTTGGAGCAGGCTGCAGGAGCACACCCAACGAGTCCTGTGGAGGTGTGATGGATTACATGTACCGAAACAAACAGCTGTGGCCTACATGCTGTGTGGCTGACGGTTTACCTATCATCCCACATCCCAGATGATCCCACATGCATCGCTGACCCGAAGGTACGTATCTACTACGGTATGTAACGGAACAGTCAGCCAAAGCAATGCGCCGCTGGCTGACGGCTAGGCAAAGTAGCAACCTAGAAGGGTCTTGTTTAACTTTCCTTGCAAGGCCATGCGTCCTGTACAAGAAACCGGATGATGTGTCCAGCATGGACGGACGGACAACGAAGGCGGATATTGTCGAAAGTGATGGCCCCCATATGAAAGAGCCTCAATAAAGGTCGTGGGTGTGTCGTAACAGTACAACATCGTATACCTACATTTGGTGCTTTTCGTCGTCAAGGCCAAAGGCATGTGGAAGGAAGTAAGTAAGCAGCGGCCCGTGAGGAAATAATATGCTTTTTCCTCTTTGTTGTCCTCGCACGATCACTGGACAGTACATCGGCAGGTGTCCGCATGCTAGGAAGGTATTTAATGCCCACTTGATGGAAGCTTGAGGGTTTGAACTTTCAATCCTAGGGCTGCGGAATGATGCGAGTGAGGGTCTAGTCGTGGGGGTCAGTCGTGGGGGTTAGTTTTCGCCCGGTTCAATTGCAAGGCTGTTCCACGCTCATCGTCGTTGCGACTTTGTTTGATATAATACATGAGCTGAGTGCATGTAGGTCAGGCTGATACTCGAGTATTTCACTGCTCAGATTGGTGGGCATTTTGAGCGTATCCTCCCCCCCATCATTCAACTTTTGCTGCTCCCTCCAACTGAACTTATCATCTGCCGTGTCACTTAGCCGGTGACATGCAGGCCCAAATGTCCCGTCCCTGCTGGCTACAATGCCACAATATGGTCATTCGAGGACACGCTCTTGGGTTAGGTAAGGTAAGGTACGGTATGTGAGTGGGTGGGCAACGGTTTCTTGACGACCTCCGTGACCACGGGCCACCAACATCAAACGGAAGACAGAAGAGCTCCCTCATTCCTGCACACCGCTGGCATATCGAAGCCTGGGACCGACGGCAATCCCAAATTTTCAACGCCGTCGTGATGCCTGCCTGTCTGCTCTGCATACATGCATGTGCTCGAATGCAAGCCGGGGATCCCAGGGACCACAGGCACTGTCTGTCCATTCCGACATCTGGCACGAGTCCCAGGCGCTGGGTATCTTCTGACGCATAAGAGTCAGGACTCAGGAGGCATCCGGTGAAGGCCATGTCGAACCGTTGATGGCGCCCTGCCTTTTTCCTGGCTCAAGCCTGTCAGAAGCTTCCATGCAGGGCCTGGTTTCCCATGGCATAGATGCCAAGGGGTGCCATCTAACGCCTTAACAACTGTTATGGGAACTAGACGACGACTCAAGCGAACAGCCAAGCCCAATTGGCTTGATAGCTGCAAAGTTCCGAGCCGGAGACCTCACGACTCGCAAGTGATGAGCTCTGCATGTGAGAGTGACCGGTTTCCTTTCGAGTTTGGTTGCCGCTTCAGGCCAGGGGCTAGGTGCGACGGTCGCATGGCTACCGATACGACATCATTCAAGGATTTCTCGAGAACCGCATGCCTCGGATCAGCATGCACATATTCCGATATATACCTCTTCGTTTTTCCGTGCCCATGGGTCGGCCACGGCACGGCCACCTAATATGGTAAGCTCTACCTATACCTACATTATGTAGCCCATTCGCCGTAGCGGTCACGCTTGATGGGCGCAGTCTACGCTCATATCACTGTCAGGGTCGTAACCCAGTGCACAGAGGACTTACCATCTGCATCTACCGGTGCCGATGAACGGCGGCGCAGGTGTGGCTTTCATGAGGACCATCAACACGACAAATTGGACCCGTCCCATCAAGACACGCAGGCATACACTTCCCGCACGCCGCATCGTCCGACAACTTTGCCTTTCTGAGCTCAACGCGGGCACCTTTGGCGCCATGGGCGTTTGTCTCGGAACCTTGGGAGCGAAGCAGCGCAATGACATGACGTGACGCGTTGCCAGAACAGACTTCCAACAGCGACCCGGCGGTTCTGGATCGTCTCTGTCGGGTTTTGATGACCTAGCCAACACCCGAAAGTACTAATTCCATCCATTCAAGGGGGTCAAAATGGCTTACCGGGCCCGAGATGAAGCAAAACCCGGCGTCTCACGAGTCGCTTTGGGCGTCGAGACTAGCGCCAACACCATCTGTCCGCCGCTACGGCGTCTCATGCTGTCATGGTTGGGCATCACCGTCACCGACATTTGCGGCCGGCATCCCGCGCGTGTCTGCCTGCCTGCCGGCTTCATCTCCCAACTCGCAGCGCAGCCCTAGCTGAAAGAAAATTGTTCAGCTACATATCACGCCCTACTGTGTGCGTGGCGTGGGGCGCCCGCAGACTCGGGTAGTCGAGACTCGGTGTGCCGGGCGTCCATTTTGCTCACATATCGCGTTGATACATCACTTGTCACTTTGTGCGAGCAGCGGCTCATCCGGCGACGACAGCCATCCCTTAATCACAACCTCTAACCTCCTGGGATACTTCGCTTGTCCCAAGGAGTAGGTAGCATGCCTGCCCAACTGAAGCAAATCGCGCAAATCTCGTAATATCGCATTGTCACTCACTCACTCATCAGGGCTGATGCCCAAGCGCCTGGCCACCTCTTGAAACCCGCCCTCGCCCTGCCCAACCCAGATGTCAACCCAACCGCGCGCCTCGCGGTACCGAGCCGCATCCTGCGCCCACGCCTCCTCGCGCGGCCTCTCCACGTAAATAGTCCGAAGCCCGCAGGACCTCGCGGCCTGCAGGTCCCCCAGGTGCGCGGCCACCATGGCGACCTCGTCGGGCCGACACTCGAGCGCCGCAGCCGCGCCGAGGTACGTGCTCGGGTGCGGCTTGTAGGCGCCAAAGTCGGCCGTCGACACAATTTTCTTAAACCCCAGCCCGCCGCCCTGCGCGTTCAGGTCCCGCAGCAGCGCCTGGTTGCCGTTCGACAGCGTCGCCGTCACGAGCCCCCGCGTGCCGAGCGCGCGGATCCCCGCCGCCGCGTCGTCCCAAGGCCGCAGCCGATGCCAGATAAGACTTAGCTCGCGCACCTCGGCGGGCGAGTAGAGGCCATTCAGGTAAGACTTCTGCAGGAGCACCTGCAGGCTGTCGTGGTGGTGCGTGTCGATGTCCTTCCAGGCCGTCTCGCCCGGCACGAAGGACCGCGTGAAGTGCATGTAGCTGTCGCGCCACTCCTGCGCGAACTGCGCCCAGTCGTCGTCCGTGAGGCCGCGGAGACGGCTCTGTAGAGTGCTGGGCAGCGTGTTGGAGTGAGGTGAGTCGCTGTCGAGCTTCGACTGCGCGCGGCTGACGAGCTCGTCGTGCACGGTGGAGCGCCAGTCGACGACGGTGCCGAAGACGTCGAAGGTGAGGGCTTTGATGTTCTTCAGCGCTTCTGGGGGTTCGGAGGCCATGGTGGATGCTTCTGGTGATTGCAGACGTTGGTGGATACTATTGAGGTTGTTCGGGTGAAGTTATTAATGGATGCGGTGGTGAACGTGGAGTGAGCTCATGTCGTGATGATGCAATTGTCATCGGGGTGGGGCTTGTAAAGCACCAGACTCCCGTCGTCCTGCATCATCCGGTGAGAGCAGCCGCTTTTGACGAGCCAAACCTGCTTCTGCTCACGATGACGAAGCAGCTTCTAAAGTAACAGCCCTCAAGCCCCTCATGTGGCACGAAATGGAAGACATCAATAACGTTGATGTTGAACCATCAGAGGTATTTTCGATCAGATATGGGTTGGTTTGGTTTTAATGAACCATTGATCATAACGACTGCTCCTGCTGAGCTCTCATACATGCTCACGATAAGCCTGCAGGTCGGTTTCCGACGAAGCCGTCGACCTAGTTGTCTCTCTTTATGCTGATCAGTGGACCTTTCTTTGCCGATGAACCCGTGCCCTTGGCGTTTTCATCCAGCTGCGTGCGCAGGCCGAACAATATGCGTCCATTTAGGCCTCGGCGCCGCTTGTGATGCTCTGTTTTTACACTGGTCAATTCTCCATGGTGCTTCGATGATTAGTCCGTGTTGAGGTTCAGGCCCACTCCGTGGTGGCCGAAAGCCGGTGTTCAAGGGCTCGATATTCTACGACTTCACGGGTCACTGATGGACGACAGCATCTTACTCAAGTGGCCCATGGTCACTTACCTAGTCGGTAGATGCGTAGCTGTCGTACGAAGCACAGCTGTCTTCCATTGCGAAGCACCTGCCGCGTAGTTACAGGCAATGGGAGCTGGTCGATGTATCACTCTACACGCTGTATCCGGCGCTTTCGCTGGCCTGCCCCTATGCTTGAGGCCTACTTCAAGCTGACCTTCCAATTCGGTTTTCCTGCACAGGCTGAGAAAGACTCAAGGTTCGGCTAAGCGATGTACCCCGTCAGTGGTGATTCCTCCTCGGTTTGGGGTGTTTGGACGACGAAAGCGTGGAGTCGCTTCAACCTTTCATACTTCCTGCCGCCGCCGCCGATGATGAAGATGGAAAACCTACAACGCGCGTGGGGCAAAAGGGGCTTTGCTGATCAAATCGAGTCGGTTCGTGGTCCAGAGGGGATCCCTACTGTGTTTCTAACAGCGGATGGACTTGCGTCAGCTTGAGCTTGTGTTGTTGCTCGCCTGTTGAAGGGTCTCGCCTGTCGAGGGTGGAAGAAGACGCATGCGTGTTAAGAAGCCCGGATCATCTCAGGGGCTCGGTCTGCTGGACATGCTCAACGCCCTCTTTCGATTACCGTCGTTCGTTCATAACTTGTTTCGCTATAGGTCGTCTATTCCATGCCTTGGTGACTGTGGCACGACTTCGTGACGATGGAATCAGGTCAGGGTTGTTGATGACGGCCAGCACTCAAGCGCACAAGGTCAAAATGAAGACATTGATTAGCATAGGGCTGAGCATGTTCATGTGCATCTACCTTATTCTCGCTTGACTATCTTCACAGCCTGTAATCATCACAGGAAGGCGTCGTTGGGAGACTTCAGGTTCCCAACATTTTATGATCGGTCCCAGGGAGCTGATGTTACTCTATAGTATATAATGAGCCATGCTCTTGTCTATATCAAGGTCTTCATGATTCTTACGGTTAAGGCGTCGTAGAGGCCCGAGCTGTATATGATCCCGGGCGGCCTTTTTCTGTGTGCTTGAATATCACGCACACCTTTAAGGCCAGCATGCTCTGATGAGCGCTTGAACAATCATCGTCACTCGCTCGATACCATTCCTGCTAATCATCGGAATCACCTCAAGGTCTGAAAGAGACGTGTAAGCACGGGAGGTACGACGCGCTATTATACTTTCTTGTGCTGTGTGTGCTCTGGGTGGTTGTTCCTACCTGGCCATGAGAATGATCCTTGACCAACGACTATTCTGACCACGCAAGCCGCGACATTGGCTTCAACGCGTCTCGGCGTGGCGGGAGAAACAAGAGTAGCCTGACCTGGCCAAACGCATTTGAGATATAACAGGACAGCACCATCTTTTTCTGCTCTCCATGTGTCTTTCCGAGAGGTCGAGCCTCTGTCCAAAATCCTTAATCCGGCTGGCCGAGCTTGATCGCCTACCACCTGGGTCCTGAAGAGTCGGGGAAAGTGAAAACTTTCGTCTTGCAGTTAGTCCTTGATCTTACGGGAGAAAGAATCAGCGAGAATTTCGCCTTGCCGGGCCCGAAGCTGATCCCCCATATATGGCTGGGAGCCTTGAGCATCCTCACGACTCGACCCTGAACTGTGAGTGGTCAAGATGAAGCGAGTGTATGACGGAGCGGCCAGGCGAGAAATTTTCAAGATCCCAACGTGCCCCGCGAAACCTCGGTGCATCGTCACACATTGTTGTTCACATACGGTCTCAGTATTCACTTTGAAACCCACAGCCATGAGGCATGTCTTGGAAGCATATGGGAATACCGCCACTGCGTCTGCTTCCTCGTGACTGCTGACAAAGTCAAGAAAACGAAACGAGCCAGCCTGCTACACCTCGATATATTTGCAAACCCCGCTAATGAATCCAAGCGGCACGATGTGCTGTGGCAATATAAGTTACAAGTATCATGGACACAGATCGCCCAGATCTTGCGGGCAAGGAACGATATCTCAAGACAAGTCGGCTCTTGGACTAACAATGCGTCGTGAATTAGTACTATGAAGTGGTGAATGGCATCGGACATCTGGCATCTGAAGGCGCGAACTACTAAGATTCAGTCGCATGTTGTAACCAGGACTTAGAACACATACTGAGAGAGTAATGCCGCAGGCAAAGGGCCGACCCGACGACTTCGAACGGGAGGCCGAACACATGTCGCGGCAACGGACATGGACCCAGGTGATGCAGAAAGTGATCTCAAATACCTCAAAGTCAGAAGATATATTACAGAACATATTGTCGAACGGCCTGTTGCGAAGCTACAAGGATGATCCTGGCAAGCCGTGTCTGAACTGAAACTTCATGGATGATACTGGCACGCCGTGTCTAAACTTTCATGGATGATACCGGCACGGCTGACGCGGTGATGTGGTCCGCGGAGAGTAGTCCCGTTGGCGACGAACCGTGGGGCACGGGTCTGACGTCGGTATCGGATATCACACTGCTGCCGACGGATACACCTAATTGGTCAATTACCGACTCGCAAGGCTGCTCGTGGACGTGGCGAGGTATCATGTAGGAGGTGGGTTGAAGCGAGCGACAGCGTCCCAGACGATGCGGTCCGCCTCAGTGACAGGGTCCAGACCTCGTGGCTGCCAATGACCTTGATGAACCTATCTATCTACATGTAGTCCTGGGCTTACGACCAGACATCTCTTTCTACTGCGTAATGCGACGCGACGTGGAATATGGCTAGTCAAATCATTGGTCGTCCTTCCTCTCCAGCAACAGTCTTCAATCTGCCACCGGCACCGGCAAACCAGCATATAGTTCCTGCATGGTGTGGCCTGAGATAGCGCAACTAACTGGCTTCTTGGGAATGAAGTAGTTGGAGTCTGGTCTGTAGCTACGGTAGCATGCCGTGTATGCAGGCCGGTAAAGTGTGCAGTGTGGAGAAGAAGACGAAGCAGAGAAGCACTGGCGGCTCGGCAGGATGTGTGAATGGACGCCTGCGACGTCTGGCACACTTATCGATGTGATTGCCCTGCATGTGTCACCAGATTGCACCTGGCAGATGGGAGAGCGTCTTGATCATTGATGAGCACCTCATCTCGCCTTGATTGATTCGCGCCCGACTTCGGAAAACCTCACCCTGAAAAATTCCCGAATACAAAGCTCGAATGGAAGTTTCCGCTGCAATACATTTTTGTGGCACCGGTGAGAGAATGGAGCCTGAATCCGTCAGGCTTCGAAAAATACATTGGTTCTGGATTGTCGAGCGGCTCGCTCTAGTTGTCCCGTACCAAACTTCACTCAGTTCGGGATGGTAATCCGCGGAACATACGACGACCCATACATACCATTGATCTGGATCAGCTGTCAAGAAGGAAGTCTACTCGTCGAATCGCCGGCACACAATAGGACCGCGTACATAGTAAGACCAAAGACCGTCAAGAAGCGGTACGAGTGCTGATTGCTGGAAAGAGCAGAAGCTGTAACACGGCCTGATGATTCTTGGGTAGGTGGTCTTGGAGAGTTCCATATGGATCGTGTGGAAGGGACCGGGTTTGTGGAGGAAAGTGGCCGAGCTTTCGGGGTCCCGGGGAAACGAGAGGTAATATGATCTTTGTGTATGATCGTGTACCATCCCGCGCGCACCGAGATGAATAGAGGAATGCCTTCAGGGATAAAAGCAGTCGCTCGACATTTTCCAAAGCTTGGTGGGTATGACAAAGATCCAATTTGCCAGTTTAAACAAGCGAGTGATAGGAGATGCTACGGTAGGACGCTGGCTAGACAGCGAACTGCTACGCTGAGCCGCAAGAACCACCCCGAGAGTTCAGGAGATCTTGGACGAGTCCTTCTTGCGTGCTGCATCGCTAGACCCGGTTGTTTATATGACAAGACGATATGCTTGAGAGCCCAATAACAGGTGCAGAAAAGGCCCGCTGGATATCTTCATAAGTGAACCAAACAGCAACGCCGTGAACTACGTGAGCCGGTGCGTTGTAGGAGCAGCGGAACGGCGCCGGGATTGCCGGTGCTGAATGGTGGGGATCGGAATCATGAACTTTCATTCTGGTCTCCATCGGTAGAGATGACTTCATCAGAAGAGACGTTTCTGATCCAGGAGCCCTGATGAATGTTCCGAGCCGCCAGGCCGTGCTGATCTTGTGTCGAAACAGACGCCATCAAGCCTCCAAACAGGCTAACAGACTGTTCGGCTCCCGGTAGATGTGAGCGTGCGTTATTAGTGGCCCCTTGTTACTGCTTCGGTGCTTTCCGAGGTCCCTATTCAGCCTCATAACTTATAAGGACAAGGCCGCCAAGTAATATACCTGAGAGAGCTATGATCAATAGTTTGTGTTCCAGGGGAAGTGCCTGTGAGCCGATCTCCCCGCTGGGGAACCAGTCCAGCCGTTCCAAGGTTCTGTTGGAGAAGGCAAGCGCGTCATCCCCTCGTGGTCAAAATTGGTTGCAACGGGTCTGTTTCCAGCAGATGAATTTAATTAAATATCACAATGGCAAACTTGCTTTGGAGACAGGCGAGGGGATCACTGCCCTCCTATGCAGAGACATACAAGCTTTGCCGAGGGATGATCGGTACATCGGATGTCCAAGCCATACGATCGGCTATGCTAGAGTGGTCATAAGGTAAGCGAGGCTGTTCGTTTCGACGTGCCGGATACATGCCGGTCAATTTCGCTGTCTGACAAAGAACTGTCGATGGGAATATGGCAACGCATCGTGAAGGCTGGCACCACATACCTCCTTTGGTAATATGATGTAGTCTGGAACTCGAGGCTTGAAGGAGTCGAGACTGCCCGTCACCCACATCACCAACACCAACACCAGTGAATGACCAGGAAGACAAAAGAACCCGGGTATCCATCCGTGAGCAGAGTTGAGAATTCAACAGCCGACCGTCCGACTTGCGGCAGCAATAGGAGGAGGCTGCAAGGGTCCGACAGACGATAGTCGGATAGATGATAGGACCCAGGAATTCCCCAGCCGGGCAGGCAAGCAGGCAGGGGGGATGGTGATGGGATCCGGATCAGCAAAGGAGAGATTGCATGTCGGGACATTCCATGTTGCCAGTCCTTCCTATTCGGCGCCACCGGAGGGGCTCAGGACCAGATGGGCCTAGCACCAGACTGTAGCGGAGGGAAACGACCTAAACGGGATTAGCCTCCCTTCGACTACCCCACCACACTACCAAGGCCCACTGTGTGAGTTCCGCTGTCCCCGCCGTCTACCAACCGCACTCACAAAAGTCAACAGGGTTGGCGTGTGCTTCGGTTAGGTACTTAGTAGGGTTCTTTGCAGATGTCAAATGCCCAGGTGATAGATCCCACCCTGTGACGGCCTGGGCTAAACTGCACCCGAACACCTCCAGCTCCAGCTGCAAATGCTGCTGGAGCACCTGCATTGCCGATGGCTGGCCGCCACTGCTGTGGTCAGTGGTGGCTCATCAAACGTCTTTGGCACCGTTGACACCGTTGACACCCGTCACACCCGTCCAGTCAGTCGTCCAGTCACAAACCACCGCAATTTACAAACATTGAAAGCTACAACTCCATGCTTGTGATGACAAGACCCTCCTCCACATTGATGTCAACCCACCCATCCCCCTCTCCCCTCTCCCCTCTCCAGCGACGCCGCTGCAGCGCTGAACCGCCCGAGCCCACCTGGCGGTTCACTGTAACCGTATATAGAAATTCCAGGGGAAGCCGGACCTGGTCTAGCGTCGACGGTCGTTGCAGCTTGCTCGGGCCCTGGTACCTTGCCAGCTTGCGGCTCTATTTCCCCCGATTTGGCACTTTCACCCTGACAATCTTCCCAATTCAGCCAAAATCTTCCAGGCCTCCTCGCCTGTCCCTATCGACTGTCTGGCTGGCGCGACAGTTGTACCTCCAGTCCTTACCTCCAAGCGTACGGTAGCACTTGCTGTAAAATGCATGTCTCGGACAGCCGGTACAGTCGAGACAGTTGGGGCCATCTCGAGTCTGAGACTGGACGAAGGGCATACAATAACATGCCTCGGGATGTTCCACACGTGCCTGGCCCTCGAGGACGCGTCGCGAAGTGACATCCCACGTCTTCGTGAATCGTCACCCTCATTTTCCAAGTGCCCGTCAAAGGCACAAGGGCTCATGAGTCAAGGGTTGGAGGGCTAATAATCAGGCAGTCAGGGTCAAAGCCCAGAGCCCAGGGCTCATCACCGCTCATCACCTCGCATCCCGGCCTGCCTACCTAGGTACTATCCTGGCCGCCTGGCACCCCTGGTCGCCGTCCTGGTGCCGTTGACGGTCTGGACGGCCCACTGCCCACCAATGCGGTAGGGTGGATATCCTCATAACATCTAGCATCTAGCATTTGCTGCTTGTCATCAGCTTTCCCTGGACCTGGTCATTGCTGGAGCTGCCAAGCTGGACATCTTTTGTGATCTTTGCCTCTGGAGTTTTCGCCTCGACCTGTCAAGTTCGGAAGAGGCCAGGAGACGGAGACGGAGGATCCTTCTGCTGCTGCATGCATACCTTATCGGACAGCTGTCTGTCGTCCTTGTCTTGAACCCGCTCTGTTTCTTTCCTGCTGCGCGTTTTCCCTGCGTTCTCTGGGGAATCCTTACCCTTAAAGCTGCCTTTCGTGCAACACGCTCCTCCTACTGCAGGACTCAGAATGGCGACGACCGAGAGCTGGTGATTGTACAACAACCGCAAGCCATTGGCTCCGACGACGACTATATACACGATCGCATTGCTACCCCCGTCTATCCAAGTACCACAAGTACTACTTTACAGCTTTGAATGTTGGTACGTTGCAACACACGCGGTCCTATATCGTGGCACACGAGCCAATCAAGCCCTCGACGTCGGAGCTTCTGTGACTCTGCCGTGCACCTCTGCTGAGCTCTTCGCTGTCTCTGTCTCGCGCGTCAGAGACAACCTGCGACGTGATCGATGGCTAATAAATGAGCATGCAGCTGCCGACCCTCTTCATGAACGACTGAACCCGCCCACGTTCTTTTCCAACGACATATACATTATACATCACCTTGCCGTTGATTTCACTCGATACGTGTCAAGGAGCTCGAGCGCATTGATACACAGTCCGTTGTCTAGGACCTCTCCCGCGGCTGTTATCACGCGTTGATATAGCCCCTTTACGACCCCCTCGGCGCCCACGTTCCCCTATGCACCCAAGCGGAGTCATTCACTGTCGAGAACCTGTGGTGTCACAGCGCAAACCAGGTTTCTCTCGATAACGCTCAGGCTAAGGTGAGCATTCATTTATACTGTAAATCCTCGACCCAGTGCGCGACTTCTCAGATGGCGGTCATTGTACTTCTATCAACACCACGCTCAGGCCTTCGCGATACGCACCGCCTGCTTGTGATGGATATAATACATCTGGCGGCTTCTCGCAAACTTAAGTTGCTCCGCATCTTCACAGCCCAGGCCGAGAAATGCCTGAGCCCAACCCTGTCTTTTCTGCTGCAACCCAAACGTCCCAACTCCCATGATCACTCATGCTAATGGTGGAGCCAGTCATATTAATGCATTGCCATTCACCGTCGTTATTCTCTTGCGTACGGAACATCACCCCACTGCAGGGGTGGGCGTCGTAGACCTCGTGTTTGGACCCTTTGCCTAGATTCATTAGAATCTAGTCTAGCAAACATACTGGGGACCGACCACTCCCTGATGCGAGCTCGCTTGTGCTCACCACTAGTCTTGGTCTTATAGAACATCGTCCTCGGCCGAGAACCCTGGGTCTACCCTCGCTGACCGCAGCCATGGCCGTCTGGGAAACAGACGACGAGCCTAGCAGCGCCGCTGTTGCTTCGCTACCTACGCCGGCTGATACGCCATACCGGACTCCTTCGCGAGCATCAAGGAAATCTCGCCGCTCGGTCACACCACCGGGTCTTGCTACTCCATCTCCTGCTCCACCGTTGCCATTCGACAAGGCCGAGAAGAATGCGAAACGTACATCGAAAGATATTGGAGGCGATGAGCATATCAGTGTACTGGACCCTCGCCGGTTTACACCTACCCTACACGCGAGTCTAGTCTCTGAGATACTCGCCTTACGCAGAGACCAGGAAGAGAAGCTGAAGATCATCGAGAGCCTGGAAACGACCTTGCACACTGCCCATCAGGAAGAGGAGTCACTGCAAGCAACCCTATCAAACACGGCCAAGGACAGCAGGTCAGTCAAGCGACAATTGGCTCTACTTGAAGGGGGAACGTCTTCTGCACTTGGCGAGCTCGCGCGAGAACGTGACGAAGCGGTTGATGCGATAACCGAAACGAGAAAGCGACTAGATACGGCGCAGAAGAAGGTTCGAGCGCAGGAGGATGATTCGCAAAGAGTTCATGATCTCTGGGCGAAAGAGAAGGATGACTGGGACGAGGAAAAACGGAAATTCGAGCGGAAGCTTCACGTCGCTGAAAGTCGTCTCAAGGTCGTCCTCGACGAAGTCGCTGACCTACAGACGGCACAGCTGGATGGGGGGCAAAATGGAGCAGAAAGTGACGACGAAGATATCGGAAAGGACAATGACGGAACGAGCATACGTACACAGAGTATGACCAACAGTATCCGGTATTCCATGTTCAACGGCCCGGGCACCGGCAAAGTCAATGGTCACAGCCTTGCTGACGAACTCAATTTCGACGACTTCGATGATGACCAGACAGACCCTGATGGTCGCCAGAGTGTGCTTTCACACTTCAGGCATAATCGGAACCAGAGCCGGGATAGCGTCATGTCGAGGACTCACAGGCGAAACCCGAGCACTGATAGCCAGATTCGTCCTGGCAGCGTTGCACGAGGCAGGCTCTTCATGAATTCGACTGTGCTCGAGAGGCTCGAGGGCGACATTCGGGAAGATGACGAGACCCAGCCGACGCCTGTCAAGGTGGACTACATAGATACTGGAGTGCAGTACTCACCGCCTCCATCGCCTGAACTGGTGCCCGTCACACCCTCTACTCCAGAGCCCGCGTCTCGTATCGAGAAGGCACCCGGGGTAGAAACTCTGGCTCGTGGCGAGTGGGAAATAGAGGCAAACCAGAGGCGCAAGAGGGTGCACATCAACAAGCCAGTACCCCTAGCGCCACCGAATAACACCGCTAAATCGATGACATCTTCTGCGGCTCAGACCTTCGAGCCTCTGAGTCCCCCGAAAACGCCAAAGCCTCCAACGAAAGAAATAACTACTGCTATCGGAACGAAGTCGGTACCGGCGGAGTCGAAGTCTATAGCCACTCAAACCGACATCATCCCAGCAAATGAGCAAGCCTCTACTTCTGCACCACTCCCAATCCCTAGTATTAGCATTATTCCTCCCACCAGTCGTCCGACGAGTCTCCATGGACATCGCTTGCCCCAATACGTCAAAGACGTTGGCTGCCAAGTGTCAATTCTGCAGTCCAAGGCGACACGATCAATCGCCGTCCAGACCGACGAGATCAGGATCGATAGAAGAATGGGCAAGCTGCCACCGCACCTTCACCCATCTGCCATTTCTTCGCGACCTACGTCCCCAAGTCCCGCAATGACTGAGGATGGCAGTAATCATGCTCCAGAGCTCGGGGGCAGCGTCCCTCGGAATCCACGTCGATTGGTAGCAAAACGAAGCTTCACGAGTGATTTGCCCTCATCGCCCCCAGCATCGCCGCACCTAGACAATGCTGAGACTCGTGACGCGTATCCCGGTAACAATGATGATGGTCCGCTATCTAGTCACAAGGCGCCTATGAGACGTCCACACCGCATAAGCAGCTTATTCGCCGGGTTCGACGGGGCAAGCTCTGATGAAATCGACGAGTTTGGGGATGGTGATGTGACCGACACCGAGTTCCGCACAGCACTCTCAGCTCCAAAGCCCCAAATGGTGTCGACCCGCCACAGTAAGCGAGCTCCCACCGCGAGAGCAACCACATCGCCCGAACCAATCCACACTACGAGACAGCCTGCGAGTGTGATGAAGCAACTCCGTGGATCTGAAGTGTACAGCAGCTTTAGCCTTGCTGAAGGCCGTGGCATCCCAACCCATAAACCCTCATCTCGACCGGCTGACAGATCCATTACCATGAACCCAAGTTCTCGGGCAGGTGTCATGAGGAAGGCAGCAATGATCAAGAGTGGTATGGCTTCCCATCACGGTCGATCACGAAGTCCTAGTCTTCCCGACATAATGGAACCTCCATTCCCCATTCCGACTAGGGCTAGTTCACGACAGCCACCTTTCACACCGGGTGCGCCTAGCGACGGCCTATGTAGTCCTACACGGATGGGCGAGAGCCTGAATCGTCGTGGAGTCCGAGGCAATGTGTACAGGAGCAACAGCATACGGAAAGTCCGCTCTGCTGCAGCACTGCCAGGAAACCACAGGCATCGAAGACGGAGTAGTCGTTCGCCGCCCGCAATGTCGCCCTCCGAGGAAGCTCCCGAGAGCCCCAGCCTACCACCGCTGCCTAGCAATGATATCACCTCGCCAAGAAGCAGTGAACGCAGCTCTGGACGGTACCGTAGCCACAGGTCGCAGCCGTCAACAAACACCGCCTTCACTGCCTTCACTGCCTTCACTGCCAACACGGAAAACACGGAAAACACCAACATGGGGTCAGTAGGTGGCTCTCAGCAGGCATCCGGAGTGGTCGAGGCTATAGCGCAGACTATGGTTGGCGAGTGGATGTTTAAGTACGTCCGAAGACGCAAGTCTTTTGGCATTGCCGACACCAACGTACGTAGCGAGGAGAACAGCAATGATCGACACAGACGATGGGTTTGGCTTGCACCGTACGAACGTGCTATTCTCTGGAGCAGCAAGCAGCCCGTTTCTGGCAACGCCTTGATGGGGAAGGCAGGCCGGAAATGTAAGTATTCCGTCTTACCTCTCGCCGTACCAGTCAGGAAAAGTCCAACTAACCGAATGCAGTGACCATCCAATCGGTTTTGGATGTGAAAGACGACAACCCAGCCCCTAAAGGCTCCGCCCAGATATTCAATCGCTCGATCCTGATTCTGACGCCCCAGCGAGCATTGAAATTCACAGCCGTATCGGCTGAACGTCATTACCTATGGCTCACGTCATTGTCGTTCCTTGCGCACTCGCAACAGGCCGTACCCGAGATCGTTGGATCCCCTACCCCAGCATTGAAGCCGAAACCAGGTCCCGACTTGGAGCTGTCGCGGGCCAAACTGAAGAGAGGTGGGATCCGTGATTCGATCCGGCTCACAAAGGGGAGACACCCAGCAATGACGGTTCATCCTGACAACACTATCAATGCTAGCCAGCTGGACGACGCTCTCACTTTCAACCCAGAAGCGCTCCCCCCAATACCGAGCCATCAACGGGAGATATCGATTGACACTGCTCAGCCGCCTTTCATCCCCCGGTTCCACGATCGTGGCCAGGACCGAGTACACGAACGCGCCAACCAGGTCGTCCTTCATGGACGGAAAAGGAGCAACACCGGAGGTCATATCCCACCACCTCTGTCATTCCGAGGGTTCTCGGGGGTTCCGTCAGGCCCCGCTACTTCATATCATGCTTCCACCAACAGCACCGCTGGTGCCAGTGTCGTGACAACCGGATCTTCCGATATCTACAACCAGTCTCAAGCATCCAGCAATCCCACTTGGGGCATGACGTCAAACGGCTCTCAGCGGACGTCGGAAGCCTCCTCGCGGCCACCCGGGAATTTCTTTGAAGCGATCGGGACTGTCCGCATGGAGGCTTTCATCAGCCCCTTGGCGTTCAACGATCACCCTGGTGAGCACGAAGAATGGCGACATCGAGCACGGCGGCGCAGTAAGGAGGCTCGCCGCCGTCGCAGTCGCAGCCGCCACCGGGATAGCTACACATCGCGCGGCACCCGTGGTACCCAAGCCACGGGTTCGTATGCCGAGAGCAGGACGGGAGAGGAAGATTACTTTCGTGACGACCCCTTCAAAGGATTTTAAACGCGGTTTGATGTCACTACCGAATTTTATAGTCGACGCGCGGAGATACCCACGATTCGTTACCCTTAGCAGATTATATGATATTGCTGGTCGTTCCTCTTACGCACGGAGGCCAGTCGACCGACCTCACCGGAGTTCGTGAAGCGTTCTTTTGCCTATTTCATCCGGAACTAGCCTGCTTGAGGAATATCAATGTACGAGCACGATCTGGATTTCGGCACGATACCTTTCTCTATTCCCTTCGCTAGCGTTCTCGCTCTGTATATATATACCTGCTCGCAACCGCGGCGAGGCATTCTCATACCCTCTTTTCTGTCGCCTTCTTTACAATGAAGGCACCCAAAGCGTTGTTCTTACCATCTTTCCGAGATCAAGGGCGTCGAAATCTCACCGGGCAGGAGAAAGGGAGAGAGGAGTGGACCACGGACAGCTGGATAGCGGCTGTAAATTGATTGAAGCACCTAGATGGCAAGATGGAATGGTCGCAGGACCACTGTAGGTTTAGGTACTCGGTTATGGAATCTAAGGAGATTTCTGTGTATATATTGGTTTGGAGTGCTCTGCGGGTGATTGTCTTGATGCATAGAATGTCCGGTGCTTTGATCCCGATCAGTGCCATCAACATACCGGTGTGACTATGCTGGTGAATACTTGGGAAATACTATAAACAAATGTGAACTGACATGAGGTGCTGATGTAGGCAGCAAGCCATATGTCGCAGCGACTCTCACGGGTTCAGTGGAAGTGATTGTGATTGTGATGATGTTGACATGCCGGGCGGTGATGCTCCGACTGCCTCCTACCTTACGGCTTACCTAAGTAAATCAGGCTGGGCACCTGAAGTGAGACCCCGCCACCCCGCCATCCCGCCATCCGCATCCCGCCGAACTTTGGCAAGGCTTTCGAAACCGTTGGTACCTAAACCTTGACCGACGTGATTCCACCGCCATAATCAAGCCATCTACCGTCCGCGACGTCTTTCTCTTGGTGGAACTTCAACGCCCCTGCACACACCACCTGCAGTCCGTCTCCTCGCACATACACAGTCGCCGACTACCTCTGCCGACGCACCTGGCTGACCTACCCGATATCCATCCATTACCCAAGCTGGGCCACCATCTACACCATTCGCCAAGATGTTGAAGATCTGGTCGATGGTAAGCGCCTGGTTTATTCGTGGTGGTGACGCACTCGCTGACGCGGAGGATTTATAGAAAAAGGAGCAGCAGAAGGCGGAAAACGCTGAAGGTGCGGGAGGGAAGAAGAAGAAGATCACAGCCGCTCAGCTACGAGTGCAAAAAGGTACGTTGCCCGCTGAATGGAAGCGATGAGAGACTGACGCATGCCCCCCACGCAGATCTGTCGGAGTTATCCCTAGGCAGCACGATGAGGACCATCTTTGCCGACGCCGACGACATCCTTAACTTCGTGCTCGAGATCAAGCCCGACGAGGGCGTGTACCACGGCGGGCTATTCACCTTCACCTTCAACATGGACCAGAACTACCCGCACGAGCCGCCCAAGGTGCGCTGCCAGCAGAAGATCTACCACCCCAACATCGACCTCGAGGGCAAGGTGTGCCTGAACATCCTGCGCGAGGACTGGAAGCCCGTGCTGAACCTGAACGCCGTTATTGTCGGCCTCCAGTTCCTGTTCCTCGAGCCCAACGCGTCCGACCCGCTGAACAAGGAGGCCGCCGAGGACCTGCGCAGCAGCCGCGAGAACTTCCGGAGGAACGTCCGCACGTCGATGACGGGCGGCAGCATACGGGGCACGAGCTACGATCGCGTCATGTTCAACAGGGCTTAGGGATGGATCGAGGAAATACCCACCGAGCGGTGGTTCTTGCATGAGTGATATCCATGCTCTTCCTCTTCACCCGGCACATATTTCGCATCGGATAGGCCAGTCGTGACACATTTCGGAACGACGCATTGGAACCATGGAGGCGGCAGTGATTCGTGGCTCGAGGATGGAACGGATGGTTCCAAGATTACCGGGAACCGCCCTTTCCTGGCTTTGTGATTACAGCAAGGCGTATCGACAGGAGCTGCATCTGCTTTGAGGCATCCAGGGCAGCATTTGGCTTGATGTCTTCTTTAGATTTTCGGTAGGCATCGAGCATCAGCAGGCAATAATGAGACGAGGGGAATGGGATGGCCAAATCGGAAGGAGTCGTAACCATCATTTACAGAATTTGGCGCACAGCATGGCATCGATCGGAGCCAGCATGACAGATAGATACAGGATTTGTGAATACAAGGATGCAGACCATGCGCACGGTGCGTCCGGACCCTTGAAGTGCAGTATACAAGCAGGCAGTGGATGGGTGTCGGTGTGCTGTGCGACCGCGACCGACATCTCTTGTCGTCGAACATGGCAGAGCCGGAGGATGGCGGAAGGTTGGTTGACTGCCCGTTACCTACCACCAGCATGTGGTATGACCAGTATCACCGACCACACATCCACCACATCCGGTGGAAAGTCATTTGTATTCCCTGGAAGATCTAGGCACTTAAAAGTCGGTCAATGTGTTTTACTTTCAAGGCAGACCAGGTGAGGTCAGCAAATACGGTACATATTATATACTTCGCATTCAAGGCATGCATAAGATATGGCTTGAGTGATTGCTTCGATACGTGCTTAAGCCGCCTATGTCGTTTCGGCGCCGAAACGGTTAAGGTACAGCTGGCCCCTGCACACAGCATGCAGGTGCAGGGTGCCCCACCAATCGCTCTGGCCGAACTCGACTCACCGCCGCCGAAGTCGCTGTCCAAGCTCCCGTCTAGCTTCCGCGCTGAAGGACACCCACCCGCCGGCCGAAAAAGTAGAAAATTTCTGTCCATGTGCGAGAGCGCTGGGTTTTGCAAACATAATACCAAAAAGACATATTTCCCATACCGGCTTTGCCCATTGCATTCCAACTACACCGTCCCTCTCCCTCTCCCCATCTCCACTCAACCTGCCATTCATGATGGCTTCCCGAGGCTTCTCCAAGGCTCTTCGCAGCCCGTTGGCTCGCCAATTGGCCTCGCCTGGCGTCCAGCGTCGTTCGTTCGTCGCGGCCACCAACCTCGTCCGAGCCACAGCGAAGCAGGCCCGCCCAGCTTTGGCCGGTGCTGCCAGCCAGCAGGTCCGTGGCGTGAAGACCATTGACTTCGCTGGTGTACCAGAGGACGTTTACGGTAAGCTCAATTGGCTTGGCTGACGGGGTTGCTGTGATTTGTGATTCGGTAGCTGACCATTGACCGGTTGCAGAGCGTGCCGACTGGCCCAAGGAGAAGCTTTTGGTAAGTCTTATCTACGTCACCCGTAGCTCAATGACCACAGATTCGCACGGGACAATGGCTGATATTCGATGCAGGAATACTTCAAGAACGACACCCTCGCCCTCATCGGCTACGGCTCGCAAGGCCACGGCCAGGGCCTCAACCTCCGCGACAACGGCCTGAACGTCATCATCGGTGTCCGGAAGAACGGCCAGTCGTGGAAGGATGCCCAACAAGATGGCTGGGTCCCGGGCAAGAACCTGTTCGAGATGGACGAGGCTATCAGCAAGGGTACCATCGTCATGAACCTCCTCAGCGATGCTGCCCAGAGCGAGACATGGCCCGCCATCAAGCCCCAGCTGACAAAGGGCAAGGTATGTGGTGTCGACAGCATGACTCATGCACGGCGAAAAAATACTGACAGCCGTGGCAGACCCTGTACTTTTCCCATGGTTTCTCCCCCGTTTTCAAGAACGTGACCAAGGTCGACGTCCCCAAGGACCTCGATGTCATCCTCGTCGCTCCCAAGGGCTCTGGCCGAACCGTCCGTTCCCTCTTCCGTGAGGGCCGTGGTATCAACTCGTCCTACGCTGTCTACCAGGATGTTACTGGCAAGGCCGAGGAGAAGGCCCAGGCTCTCGCTGTTGCCGTCGGCAGTGGTTACGTCTACAAGACCACCTTCGAGAAGGAGGTCTACTCTGACCTGTACGGTGAGCGTGGCTGCCTGATGGGTGGTATCCACGGCATGTTCCTCGCTCAGTACGAGGTTCTCCGGGAACGTGGCCACAGCCCCAGCGAGGCTTTCAACGAGACTGTCGAGGAGGCCACCCAGAGCTTGTACCCTCTGATCGGTGCCAACGGTATGGACTGGATGTACGAGGCCTGCTCGACCACCGCCCGACGAGGTGCCATTGACTGGACCCCCAGGTTCAAGGACGCCCTGAAGCCCGTCTTCAACTCGCTGTACGACTCGGTCCACGACGGCACCGAGACCCAGCGATCGCTCGACTACAACAGCCAGAAGGACTACCGACAGAAGTTCGAGGCCGAGATGGAGGAGATCCGCAACATGGAGATCTGGAGAGCAGGAAAGGCTGTCCGGTAAGTCATGATGCGAATACTCCACGGATGGCTTCAAATCGGAGTCCACTGCCATCTGGAAGAAACAGACACTGACCGAAAACTCTATAGATCCCTCCGACCCGAGAACCAAAAATAAGTGCATATGGCGTTGAAAGCTTCCGGAACGGTTATCTAAACGGTTAAAAGGCACAATACCCCCGGGGGAGGTGAAGAGAAAATACTTGTACTTATATCCAGGATTCCCCCAATACCATCATATGATAAACTTCTCATGTGAAGGATATTCGGCGTTTCTTTCAAAAAAGTCATTCATGGTGGCTGGAGGTCGGTCCTCTAATTTATGCGAGCTTGTCGATGAACCCGCGTTTACTTGATGCTTTTTGATGGTACCTCCGTTATCGGGACGCTCATGACTTAGGTGATTACCAGGTGGAATTTCGCACTGGACCTCTATGCGTCCTACCTATCAGATTACATCGACTCGTCCACTCACAGTGCTGCCATTACCTGCCTACTCTAGCCGCTTAGTATCTGGATCCATACACAAAGTGGCACACCTCTGACTACATATGTATACACACCCATTCGTTTACCCATCGTGACGCCCTGTTTTCTGTTGAAGGCGTAGTCCCTCGTGATCTTCACAGCCAGTTCTAATACACTGTTACCACTCATTTTCATTCACTTGAACAGCCTACCCAAACAAGGCGACGGACACCATGGCCGACCCGTCCACCGCGCCCCCACTGACCCGCGCCTCCGTCGTCGCGGCCCACGAGCTCATCAAGTCCTCCAGTAAGCAATTATATGAGTTATTTCATGCGCCTGTCATACATACACCTCAAGAGCCAGAACCGCCTACATACATCATACCCTATCTATAACTCTCAGATAATCCAGCTGCTCCCTAAGTACTGACCCGAGCCCGTCGCCAGTCCACCACACGCCCACGCTGACCAACGCGACGCTCACGGCGCTCGCGTCGACGATGCGCGAGCCCCAGTCCCTGGAGAGTTCGCTTTGGACGGGCCGCTCGCCGGCGAGCCCGACGATGCGGCTGTGGTTCAAGTGCGAGAACCTGCAGCGCGTGGGCGCGTTTAAAGTGAGGGGCGCGTTCCATGCGGTGGGCAGGCTGGTAAGGGAGGAGGGGTGGGTGGAGGGTGGGGGCCGGGAGAGGGGGGTTGTTACGCATAGTAGTGGTGAGTTTTGTTTCCTTTTTTTATGCGGTTTGTTTTGTTCTTGTTTGGGGTGGTGTTGGACTTGGTGATGGTGATGGGGATGGTGATGAGGGTGAGGGTGAGGGTGAGGGTGAGGGTAAGAGGTTGTTGAGCTGGGCGGTCTTGAGGGGGCTTTTCTGGCGTGGTGGTGTCTGGGTGTGAGTCCGGGTTCATGAGTTTTGTGTCTGAGAGGCTGTGCATACCTACCGGGTGAGAGGAATGCGAGGTTGGTATTGTATGTGATCCGGGGGTGACGATGAGTAGGAAAGGCTGTCGTTGAGGGGGCGAGTGCCCTGACGAGTGAGCCTTGAGTATCTACTCCGGAAAAGCGGAAGGCAAGCGTCTTGCGAGGTATACTATGCTTCAAAGCTCGACTTGCCTGTGGTTTGTTGCGGGGAGACATCGTACGGTATCATGTGCCAGCCCAGTGAGGTATACGGTCAAGTCAAGTGGCTATCCATATTCTGGGGTGGACTCAAAGAGCATGGCTCGAGTACGTAACTGCTCTAAAGACCTCATACTACCCACCGCCTTCCGTCCAGCAACCAATGCCCCTACCAGCCCCTACTAACGAGACACAACAAAAAGGCAACCACGCCCAAGCCCTCTCCCTCGCCGCGCGCACCAACGGCATCCCCGCGCACATAGTCATGCCGTCCATCTCGGCCGCGCCCAAGATCGCCGCCACCAAGGGCTACGGCGCCAACGTAGTTTTTAGTGGGAGTACGAGCGTCGAGCGCGAGGCCGTCGTGGCGAAGATCATCGAGGAGACGGGCGCAAGGCTGGTGCCGCCTTATGATCACCCCGATATCATATTGGGACAGGGCACGCTGGGGCTGGAGTTGCAGGATGATGTTAGGGGTATGATGGAGGCTGCTGCTGCCGCTGAGGTTGAGGGGAAGGAAGCAGCGGCTAGACAGCCAAAGTGCAGCTTCGCGGCGCCGGGTGCTGGATCTTCTGCTCCTCCACCCTCTGCTCCTCTACCTTCTGCTCCTCTACCCTCGACAACGACGACAACGACGACGACAACGACAACGACAGGGCCAGAAGAAGACAAGACCGAGCCCAAGACGACTACTCCCAAGCAAAAGAAAGGCCTCGACGCCATCTTAGCCCCCTGCGGCGGCGGCGGCATGCTCTCAGGCGTCGCCCTATCGTGCGAGGGCACGGGAATCCGCGTCTTCGGGTGCGAGCCGTCGTTCGAGGGCGCCGACGACGGCAAGCGGGGCTACGAGTCCGGGACGCGCGTCGAGACCGTGTCGACTCTGACAATCGCCGACGGGCTGCGCACGCCCGTCGGCAAGATCCCGTGGTCCGTCATCTACGAGCGGCGCCTCGTCGGCGGATTCTACAGCGTCGCCGAGGATGAGATCAAGAGCGCGCTAAGGCTCGTCTACGAGCGCTTCAAGATGGTCGTCGAGCCGAGCGCTGCTGTGCCCGTGGCTGTCGCGCTGTATAATGAGGACTTCCGGGCGCTTGTGGAGCGGGAGGCTGGCGAGGAGGGCTGGGATGTTGGGATTGTGCTGTCGGGCGGGAATGTGAGCTTGGAGGCGCTGGGGGAGCTTTTTGCGCCTGCGGAGGGGAAGTGAGGAGGGTGAGAGAGTGAGAGCGAGAGTGTTGTGGTGGTGGTGGTGGCCATGATGACTGAATGCATAGATGGATGACGGTCACGTATATAGAAATCAAGAACTGAGGGTTCTGAGACACGACGCATGATATAAAGGTGGTATCCTATATACAGGTGTTGGCAAGTAATCTAGATATCTAGAAGTTCGCCCAGGGAAACAACCAAACGCCCGCTGTGCAACGCTATGCAAGCCATGCTAGTCGTAACTCGTCATCACATAAGCAGCATATAACGCGTATATGCCGACCATCTCCCAGCACCTCCTACTCCCTAAGCCAGTCCACAACTCCCTATCGCAGACATTCATCGCTGCCTGCTCATAGCATCATCCATCTGAATCCTCCACCTCTCGGCATTGCGCCGCACCGTGAAGATGCAATAATTGCCCATGACCCACGCAATAATCGCCACGCCCGTAGCCAGCCACCCATTACCTATTGCATCGATGAGCGGCTGCCCGGCGATACCGCCGATGCAGCTGAGGATGTTGCGGACGAAGTTATTGAGGGCGACGCCGGAACTACTGCTTCTTGGCATGAACTCGGTCAGCATGGTCGTCGCCATGCTGAAGACCAGCATGCTGCCGAGGCCGAAGAAGAAGTTGGCGACCGCGGGCACGATCCAGTGCACGCCGTACTGCACCGACCAGCCGTACCAGATCAGCGCGCCCGGGTACAGGCTGGCCGACAGCCAGGCGTTCTCGGCCATGCGGAACTCGGGGAGCACGATGAGCTTGCCGCGGGCGTCGTAGCGGCCCGCCTTGCGCGCCTCACGCATCATGATGCGGTCCAGCCATGGCCCTCCCAGCAGCGACGCGATGAAGTAGCCCGACGAGGCCGGCACGTACAGCAGCCCGACGACGATGGGCGAGAAGCCGTACGGCGGCGCCGAGAAGACCGACTGTATGCTGATGTTAAGAACGTACAGAGAGCCAAACGTGACCGCGGCGTACGAGACTGTCAGCGCGATCGCCGGGAACCGGATGTAGGTCAGGATGGTGAGGGGGTCGATGAGCAGGCGTTTGAGCCAGGCGCCCGTCTTCCTCGTCTTGAGGCGCACGGAGCGTCGGCTCGGGGTTTGGGAGAGGCCGTTTTCGTTGCCGTCGGGGGGTGGGGATGGGTCGGGGAGCGTCACGGCTGCTGCTATCTGTTGCTGTTTTTCCCGCGCGAGCGTCTCCGGTACGCCGATCAGAACAGCCACCCAGACGAAGGCGCCGTAAGCAGCGAGAAACCACATTGTCGATCGCCACCCGGCGCTAGCCGTCAGTCCACCTCCGATGATAGGGGCGAGCAGGGGGCCCATGAGTGGCCCAAGATAGAAGATGCCCATCGCGCTACCACGCTCTCTCGACTCCCAGATGTCGGCAATGGTACCGGCACCGACAGCTTGCGCCGAGGCTGCCGCGCCGCCCGATAGCACGCGGAAGACGATCAGCATGGCGATGTTGCGGCTGAACCCGCTGCCTATGGAAAACGCGATGTTCAGGAGGAAAGAGGTCAGGTAGACGGAGCGGCGACCGAACCTCTCGGAGAATGACGACCACCATAGAGGGAAGATCGACATCGCTAGCATGTAAAAGGCGACGGCGAAGTTAACAAGCGTCGGGGCGACGTTCAGATCTTTCGCCATCTCGGGCAGTGCGGCTACAGAACTGTTAGCAAGCTGATCCACTGAGGTCCTTCGTAGGGACGATGACGGTGAAGGCAGGTCGAGTTGATGGGGTATATAGGTACGGCGGGTGCTTGGCTTACGGTAGAGTATAGCTGAGCCCATGGGTGCTGCGCAGCCAGCCAACGCTGCGAGGATCGTGATGGTCCATTTGGTCGAGTTCCCATAGTCATACGGTCGATCGACTTCTGGCAAGACAGCCATCCACGCCAGCAAGCCTCTCCGTTTGTTTCTAGGGATGATGATTGCAGGCATCGGCGCCGAAGAAGCAAGCGACCCTTCTCTTTGCGCCGGAGAGGCCGAAAGATCTCGTGGCCCATCTTCATCACTGGCTGTACTATGTATCGGTGGTGGTAGCCGTGGCGTGGGTCCTATCGGGTCTATCTCGATACTACGAAGAGGCGAGCTGTTGCGCCCCCTTTCCGTTGATCGCCGCTCAGGCGAGCTACCGACGTCTCGGAATAGCTCGTTCAGATCATAAGACTCATTGGACATCTCAACGTCCCTCCCGTCTTCGTGCCCAGAGCGGTACAGTCAGCTGGTTAGCCGCCGATCTAGAGATTAGCAGATAGCGGTGAAAGCAGGAGGTAGTAGGCGAGTGCGATAGCAAGTCAAGATGATACTTCGTGTGTGATGCTGGTGCAACGCGGCGCCAACGGATATCGGAGCGTCCAGGGGTTACGTGTGGTTTCCTGGGATGTAGTAAATGTAGTTGCCAAGAGACCGCGGTGCTAGATGTCTTGGTGAAAACAATGCAAGCAAATAGCAAGAAAGCTTGGGTCGTGTGAATGAGCTTGAATGAGCTTCAGAGAGAGCAAACCTGCTGGGGGAAGTGGGACTATCAGGCAGGGAATAAGACGAATATACCACCGTCCGCGGCAGTACATATGGGTGGATCTTCAATGCAGGGCACTGAATATATGTATCCAGGGTTGAATGCAGCCATTGTCCGTGGAGGGGAAGCGGGGGATGGCTTCGAGGAAGCATACCTTAATAAGAAGAGACGATAACCTACCTCTGACCAGTCACTGCAGGTCTCTGTGTATAATAGGTGCCATTCGAAAGGCCGAAGCACCGAGACCGCAGGCTCCGAGCCCAGGGTCCTCACCGGCTTGGTGGCTCCGGATGGTGTGCTCTCATCAGCAGGTCGGGGTTGCAGCAGGCAAGGGTGTACATATCCGCAAACGGACTGATAGCATAACGACCAAAGCTCAAGAGCATATATTGACGGGCTCCTAGATACCTGGTATCATACATCTTAAAAGCTTGGATGATGCGGTACCACATCCTCGACGAAAAGTTCGGCTTTGCAGTAAGGTTCCGGGAGACGTTGATATCGCGATCGTGCTACTCGAGGTCGTCTATCGTCCGATGTCCTCGTGTAACGCTCTCATAACGCCGCTTGCGTAATGCGGCTTCTATTCTATCCTACTACATCTCTGATCCATCTCTGATCATGCGCCACGGTCTGCGCGTGTGACCTGACCTCGGCACCCAACACCCTGTGTTGTGTTTTGGAGTGCCATAAAAGCGTCATGATGTGATGAAGTCAATGACTACTGTGCTATCAAGCAGCCCAAAGATGAGGGATCACTCAACTCGAGCATCGTTGCCGGTGCAATCGCGTCTTATGAGCGGTGAGGCACCGACAGGCTCCCGAGGCTGGTTTCCCTTGGGGTGGGTTATCGCTGAACGAACAACCTGGGAGCTGTCCCCAGCGACGATTGTTGCCTACAAGTTTGTCGGAGCAGTGGCGGATGAGGCCCGTGTCACAGCCATGGCCTCGGTTGACATACACTATGACTTTAGATGAACTTCGCTTCATCTGTGGTCAAGTATCTGTGTTGTCGGCGTGGGTGAGCGCAGAGGCAGAGAGAGGACCCGACTTTACGGCGCCTGGTATAATGGGCGGTGAGACGCCCTGGAAAAGTTGCAGGTTTAGGGGCTTTTAGGTTATGCAATACCTCTCCGCCCGAAAACCGGCAGTGCCCGGTGGTCAGTGCGCTAGCAGGTGAATCACACTTTGCAGGTGCTGTTTGGCTCTGTGAGACCTACAAATCTACAAAGATTCACGCTCTCCATCTTCGATACAGCGACAAGAAGAACGGCATGTCGTTGACAAGTTCATCCCCTGCCGAGGCGGCAAAACAAGCCAAGACTGCCTCTCACGTGCTGGCAACCCTGCCGACGTCCGCAAGGAACGATGCTTTGACGGCGATACATGCAGGCCTCGCCGCAGCTCGGGACGACATATTAGCAGCTAATGCTCGAGACCTTGAGGGTGCCCGCGTGGCTGCCGAACATGGTCAGCTAAGCCAGAGCTTGGTCTCACGACTGGATTTGGGTAAAAAGGGGAAATGGGAGGACATGCTGAAGGGCATCCTAGACGTTCGAGAACTTGAAGATCCAGGTAAGGCTGGTTACCTGCCATTCCTCAAGCACCAGTTGTCACGTTTTGAGCCGACTCTCTGGTCATTTCGAGTAACCATTCAATTCATCATCGATCAATGGATTTCTGTTTGGAATAATCGTCGCGTTCACGTGATTATACGGGCTCTGGCTAATGTTGCATTCAGTTGGCAAGGTGGACTTAAGAACGCTGCTCGATGATGGGTTGGAGTTAACCCGAGTCAGCTGTCCTATTGGTGTCCTCCTGATCATCTTCGAGGCTCGCCCTGAGGTAATCGCCAATATTGCCTCTCTGGCCGTCAAGTCGGGCAACGCAGCTATCCTCAAGGGTGAGACGCCCTATTTCCCTCCAATCCAAGGCTGATGTCGATCACTGACGAAATTTTCAGGGGGCAAGGAGTCTACTGAGTCATTCATCGCCATATCCAAGGTCATCTCCGCCGCGCTAGAGAAAACAAAGGTCCCCAACAACGCCATTCAGCTCGTCACCACAAGGGATGTGATCCCGCAACTACTGGAACTGGACCAGTACATCGATCTTGTTGTCCCAAGAGGCTCCAATGAACTGGTGCGATCCATCAAATCTGGCACCAAGATCCCTGTCCTTGGGCATGCAGATGGCTTATGCTCGGTCTTCCTCGAGCAATCGGCCGAACCAAAGACGGCGGCTGACGTTATTGTCGACTCAAAAACAAGCTACCCGGCTGCTTGCAATAGCTTGGAGACTCTACTGGTCCAAGAATCAGCCATTGAGACTACTCTACCCGTAGTAGCGGAAGCATTGATAGCAAAGGAAGTGGTGCTGCGGTGCGATCCCAAGACAAAATCAGCCCTGGCCAGCAGGTTGTCTTCTGAGCTCTCGTCTAAGCTTCAAGACGCCAAGGATGTTGACTACGATACGGAATTTCTCAGTCTTACACTGGCAGTCAAGGCGGTTTCTGGTATTGACGAGGCGATATCCCATATCAATACCCATGGCTCGAAGCACACCGACGTCATCTTGACCTCGTCGTCTGAGCTCGCCGAGCAGTTCATGTCCAGTATTGACGCTGCTGGAGTCTACTGGAATTCGTCGACTCGCTTTGCCGACGGTATGAGATACGGCTTCGGCACCGAAGTCGGTATCAGCACCAATATGATACATTCTAGGGGACCTGTAGGCTTGGAGGGCCTGACCATCTACAAATACAAGCTCCGAGGACAAGGTCACGTAACAGCTGTATATGGCGAGGGCGACGGGAAGAAGCCCTTCAAGCATCAGAAGCTTGATCCATGACGGTGTAAGTAGTGAGTTGCTCTGAATACAACTGCTATGCAGCCTGTGCAGCTATTTGCCCTTATGAAGGTATGTGAAAGTTATGAAATAGAGATGAACCTGAGAATGCCGCGGGCAAACTCGACCATCATGCAGGAAAGGGGAAGTTCCTGAGTGGGTGGGTGTTCTCGTGGGCTGCAGCCGGGACTGGCTTCCCCGAGTTTTGGCTGACATATCCATCATCTGTCTCCTCGATCCTGAAGACATACTTGACGGCACTAGCTTCCCCGTTCTTCAGTTTCTTCAATCCCGTCAACACACCATTCAGACCACCAGGGATAACCTCATACGGATGAGGCTTCAATCGTCCGTCCTCCAGAAGCCTCCCCAGATAGCGTGACCAGATGTATCCGAAATCCTTGTGGGTCGCGTGGACCAGAGGGACAGCACTGTTGATAGCAGTCACGCCAGCGGGGTATGCGAAGTTCTCCTTGTCCTTGGCAAACAAGTTGGGAGGCAGCACGGTGCTGACAGTGCCGCCATTAGGATCGATGAAGCGAAGGGTTGTTTCGAGTGACCCGTGCTCACTGATTGCGTCGAGGACATAGGGCACCTTGCTGCCCAGCCCTTCCTTCTCGAGGATCGCCTCGACGGCTGCCACGACGGCGTCTTCGCCCTGGCGATAATCAACGACGTGATCAACGAGAGTGCGTGCAAAGTCGCCAGCTCGACCGGCCACGCCGATGATAGGACCGATTCCGGAGAGCCGTGCGAGCTTGGCGGCGAATGCACCAACGGCGGACGAGACACCGTATATCAAGAGGGGCGTCTTTCTCTCAGCCTGTGCAGGCATGGCGTGGGGTGCCGGCAGCTTCATATCGCAAAAGAGAGCAATCGCAGCGGTGAGGGCTGCGACAGGCATAGTGGCGGCCTCCTCGAAAGATATGTTGTGCGGAACATGGAAAGTCGTCCAGTCTGGAGCCACGGCGTACTCGGCGAAGGCACCGTTCTCCGTAAAGCCGCCTTGCAAGGAGACTTCGTGAAAAGCCGCGACGCGGTCTCCCGGCTTGAACTCATACACGTCTTTGCCGACCGAGTATACGACGCCGGCCATGTCGTCGCCGCTGTTGTGAGGGAAGTTGTGCCTATGCAGGGGGTTAGCTCAAAGAGAACCGAAGAGGCTCAAAACCTCATGATGAGACAAAGCGTACCACAGCGGCATTTTCCAGTCCTTTGGGTTACTTCCGGCAACGACAACTCTGATCACAATTTCCTTGTCCTTGGGAGTCGGAATAGGGGTGTCGATGATGTCGACCGACTGGACATCCTCCTGAATATTGACAATCGCCTGTTTGGGCATGATGAACGTTTGATGCAGTTTCATGTCATTACCCAATGAAGACACCTTCTCTTCCTCTGGCTCATCGATGCGTCGGATGCTATATACTACGGAACGCTCCGCGGAGGTCCGCTGCAGGGGGCTGAACCACAACCCCTTACACATCTTACTTGCAGGTTTTGCTTACTAATTGTTCAGTCGTCCTTCAGTCGTCCGGCTTGATTTCTCATCAGCGTCAGTACCTCGACCGAATCCGCGGATCTCTATTAATAACGGTCCATGGACCTCCATGGAGCCTCCATCTACCACTTGTTCCTTCGATGACAACCGTCGCATTGCACGCAGCTATGCCGAGGAGAGCCCGCCAAGAACGAAAATCTTGTACCTCGTGTCGGGTACGAAAACTACGATGCAATCGAGTCCAACCATGTTCAATTGCTCTTCTCGTGGGATCACATGTAATTTCGTGACCCAACCACCGAGTCCCTAGGCAGAGTCGGTCTCTACTACGCTACCCACTGAGGTTGACCTCTTGGGACGTATCGGGCGACTGGAGTCTCTCCTCCTCCCGAAGCATTCCTTCAAAGACGGTCATATCACGAGGGATCTGGAGCCCAACCCCAGTTCCGAGGAGGTCATCACATCCGGAGTCCATCAGGGACGAGACAAAGACTTGCACTTGCTCGAAAATATTGGTATGAGAGAGGATTCGCTGGTATGTAGATATCCGTTGCTCATGAGATTGAGCCTTGATGCCCTTACGAGCGCCTAACGACCGTGTAGCTTCATTCTATTTCGACAGATCTGGCGGTTCAGATAAGAAGCACGCAGGGGATACTTTCTACGCAAGGCTACCTGCAGCATCCCGCATCAACCTTGGAGGACCCCCGATCACATGACACCATTCGGGTGACATTCCCGCCATACGAGGTATCAGTTCTGCTCCTCGAGAATTACGTGGACAATGTCGACCATGTGTGTCGCATACTGCATATCCCAACTGTGCGGTCTCTCCTCAAGACCTTCTACCTGCGGATGAGTCAAGATGAATCGGTTCTGCCAGGCCAAGCTGCTTTACTACTGTCGCTATTCGCACTCAGTGCCTTTTTCTATGAGCCCGCTCTCGGATCTGAAGTACCGACTACTGGACGCGACGCCGTTCGCCTCTCGAAGTTCTGGAGCAGTGGTGCTCTGGACGTTCTGGATCATTCGCAGCGGAACACCTCGGGCACACTTGAAGATCTTCAAGCAGTCATCTTGATGACTTATGTCACCAAACACCTCGATGGGTACTCGGCAAGAGCTCGTCTTCTGACCACAACAGCTATTTCGATCGCTCGGGATCTTCGCTTACATCGACTGGACGCTGAGAATGAGCCCCAAAAGGAACAGGGGACCAGCATTCGTGCCTTGGTTGACCTTGAAGTCAAACGAAGGATATTCTGGCACATAGCAGCTTCGGACTGGTGGGCACCTGTCTTCTCTCCAGGCGATTCTATTTGGCGCTCACTTCTTATCAGGCTATGGTCGACCATCTCCGGTCCACAAGAAGGCGTGTACTTCATCCATCCCAACCACATCCACATCAACCTCCCCAGCGACTGTAACTGCAACGGCGATGAGATGGCCCTGGACGATGACGATGAGGCAACAGACGCATCCCAACCGGCCAGCAAGACATTCTTCCTCGCCAGAGTCCGCCTCGCCCACATCTGCCGCGAGATGACGGACACGGTGCCGCTGGGGATGCCTCAGCTCAGGCAGATACCGTACGAGCAGATCATCACCCTCGACCAGAAGCTCACCGGTTACATCTCAAACCTGCCGGTCTACTTCCGCCTCGATGCCGAAAGTCGGCGCAAAAGCAAGCCTCTCGAGGCCCTATTCCCTCATATCCCTATGATGCGATACTGCATCTCGACCGCGGCTCATACCAGACGGTGCAGGCTGCATCAGAGGTTTCTACTGAGACAGTCCTCCGACGCGCGGTATGCCTACTCACGACAAGCGTGTCTGGAGTCCGCACGCGCGGTCATCGCGGGTTACGAAGCTCCCCAAGCGGCGGTAAGTGGTGGCTCTTCCTCCATCGCGACGGCGCGTATGGAGATCGCGGTGCACTTCACGCATCTCGCCCTCGTGGTCATGGTCACGGACCTGTGCTTCAATCGGGTCGAAGGAGACGAAGAAGAGAGGAGGAAGGCGGAGGTTAGAGCTGTCCTGCACATGCTTGAGAGCGCCAGAGATATCTCGAGGCTTCTGAGTCGGTCTTTGGATTCGGTGGGTGTGATGTTGCGGAAGCATGGGATACATCTCCAGGATGGATCAGCCTCGGGGACTCATGATTTGACTGGTAACCTCGCAGGTGTGGTGCCTGACGACCATGGCCCTTTCGACGATGTTCAGATGCAACAGGCTGAGCTGGAACTGGGTGGTCCGGGCCCTGGTTTCGCCATCGGCTCTTCTTTTGGGGATTTTTGGCAGACTGTGACGCAAGGCGAACCGAATCTCGACTCGGTTCCTTGGGACCAGTTCTTCTCGTCTCTCGATCCGCAACCTTTCTGACGCCTAATTGACAGCCTGTCATTGATGTTTTGCTGCTGATTCCACCGTCTTAGTACCTGTGTATTGCAATTGATCAGTCAACAGAGGCGTAGAGCAGGGTGACCCAACTGTTCAGTTACGGGCACTTTGAGATTCAAGCGCAACATTCTCCATCATGTAAGACCACACGATCGACAGCTGGTGACCATAGGTGGTGTCCACCCAGCCCATTGGCTGTAAGCCGATAATATCGGCCCGAGATGCAAGGACTGGGCACGGCACGATGGGGACGCCAGTCCATGCAGGGCCAGGTCCCAGTTGGGGCTGTTGGTCCCTTTGCAGATGTGGCAGCGCGTGCATATCGACTTGCTCGTATGTTGGTCTCTCGCATACCCCTGTGCTGTGCATATTTCCAGGGGCCAGGGGCCCTGTTGAGAAACCCCAGCAATGGGCCAACATTGACTCAGGCGCGCTTGGCACGACAGAGCAAGATTAGTAGCAGGGGGTCTAGGCACGAACCTGGGGCGACTACGGCTTGCGTAACCGTTCGACCCTATGCTTCAGCATCTGCCTCTGGCATACACCGACCATTGTCACTCGTTCCTCTGTAGTATCAGCATGAAGGGCGTACTCACAAGTCAGTTCGCACTTCTCGTCTTGGATGGGGCACATGCCTCAGCCCTTAATTTGATGTCCCCTCGGATTCCCATGACGAAGAATTACACGCTTCAGACCAACGGCACAACTCATGGATCCCGCGTCACGGGACATTGCACTGAGTACAATGTTCAGAACATTGACACCTGCTTCACCATCGCATCGACAGCGAATGTAACTTGGGCCCAACTGCTGGCCTAGAACTCGGACCTCAGCCCAACGTGTTCGTAAGTACGGATAGCTACCACGAAGCCAAAGGGCTCCGAAGTCGGTCGTTATTGATAGTGACTGACAACTTTGAAAAGGAACCTTCAAGACCTTAAGAAAATCTGCATTAGCAATCCTGCTGGCGACTACTCTATGCCAGACAGTTCCAATGGTAAGATGCGCCCAGGAAAGCCGAACGCATATGGCAAACACTGCCCCGGCGGGAAGCATTCTGATATGTAGGACTTCTCTCTATGAAAGTCTCTTAGGCTAACGCGGAGCGCCAGGTACCGTCGGCATCGTGACCACAACAGCGTGAGACATATACATCTCCCCCATGATTACGCAGAAAGAGACTGACAATCGAATACCAAGCTCTCTCCCATCTCCTACCTCGGATGGAACTAATGCGAGATGCGGCCTTTGGGCGTATGCCGACGTTGGAGATGACTGTGGCACCCTTACTGATCAGTACGGCATTTCACTGTCCGACTTGTGAGTACACTTCTAGCTCGTCCTGCTGCAGCACCCATCTCACCAACACACACTCCGTGTACAGCCGGGGTTTGAACCCCGAAGTTGGGGAGAACTGTACGAATCTCAACCTCAAGCACTACTACTGCGTTGAGCTCTCGAGATACTCAGGCTACGAGGGTTCCAGAATAAGGAGACCGTTCGTGAAGAGGCCCTCAAGAATGCCACTCCCGGACCCGATCATCGGCGATTGGCTGGCCAATTTTACCACGGCAAGACCTGTCAGACCTGTCATCCCGGTTGCTGAAGGACACGCGGCCGGCGAGGTAGAGGGCTGCACGCGGTGGTCGGCTCCGAAGAGTCACGCCACGTGCAAGGGTCTGCTGATTCAATGGGGTCTGGACATGTCGACATTCTACGAGTGGAACCCGAGCGTGGGGGAGGACTGCAACAATATGTCCGTGGGCACGTGGTACTGCGTGTCGATCGACGAGCACGGCCTCCCGCCCGAGCTGGTTGATACACCCACAACTACCGCCGCGACGAGCAGCACGAGCAATACGGGACCGTCCAGTGTGAGCACAGTCACTACGGGCGTCTCGACCCCGTCGCTTATCCAGACGGATATGGTGGGAGAACTGTGACGCCTTCTATCTGGTCGTAACCGGGGATGGCTGTCAGGCTATCGCGGACGCACAACGGAATCACCTTGGGTCGACTATATGCATGGATACCAGCAGTAGGTTCGGATTGCCGCTACCTTGGCTTAGACGATTACGTATGTGTCGGGATCTTTGTCAGCGTAAGGTTAGAAATAGCTGTCACCACCACTTGGCGTATCCGTGTCCCCTCTTGCTCCTTTTGGCGTGGTCATAAGCAGATGATTTGACTTGATATCCAAGCCCATTTGATACGCCCTGTGGGTAGAGACATGCAATGATCTCGGACAGATAGTTCGTCTGCTCTTTCAATCGTAACAAAGCCGCATCCTTCCATCCACACGCCTCATGACCCCAGGATCTTTCTTATGCGCGAAGCCGAGAGCGGGAATGAAAGGTGTCCGTGCTACCTCTCCTCTCTCCAGGACAGGCGTATGTCCAGGATGGCGGAATGGGTTCTTGGCGTCGCCGTAGAGGAATTCGCTGATTGCAGTACGTATCCAGATATACCGCCAGGGTATCACAAGCGCATTGTGCTCGCAGAGAACCGTGACCGTGGGCCTCTCTCCCACAGCTCGATCACGCCAGTCCAGATTGTTGTGCATGTCATCACACAGGTCCCTCCAGCTCCCATCGCCATGCACCCTATAATTCCGATTGCCGCCGCCGAGAAATGTCAGGAAGCCCAACTCGACAGATCGCACTGACCGTGGCAGTGCCGCAAGAAGGGAAAGCAGGTCATCCTGCTTGACAAGATAATGCACCAGTCCGAAGTGTCGCAGCTTGTGCCACCTTTCGACGGGCAAGATGGTGCGTAGTGGGACAAAGTTGTCAAGAGAGCAAGGCTGATGAAAGGAAAAGTGATCCACATGGCTTTGTAAACTGAAGTGCTGTATATCCGAGGCTTCGCTTAGTGCGCGCTTCAAGTAGCCGCTGCGAAACGACGACCAGCCTTCGTCTTGTTGCCCTTCACTGAGAAGAGCGAGGTCAAAGCGGCTGAAGCCTAGTCGCCGAAGTATAGTGACCAGGTTGTTGTACTCAGTGTTTGGCTCCTCGAAGATGTGAAAATTTAGGCTGGTGAACAGGTGGTTTACGTCCAGAATCAGCTCCGTGATGCCGTGGTCCCGGTTCGTCGTTGCAAGCTCGCTTGTAATAATATTGAAGCCCCTCCAGATGTCCTTTTCGGGTTTAATCGCCCACTCGGACATAAACGGAAAGCTTTCCTGCCGCTCTGAAATCGGCCAACCACGTGGGATCGGATAGTTGAATCCAGCTTGGAAGGCGCGTATCATGGGTGTCTCATACGTTGGGAGATATAGCATTCCATGGGCCGCGGGCGTGATGGTAATGCGCTTCAGCGCAGGGAAGCGCTAGAGGCCGTACCGTAGGGCATCGACATCAGCACCGCATGCTAAGACTTCTTCCTGTTGCTTGAGAAGACCTTGGTAGTAGTTCCAGGAGGTAGCAAGGGGTAGCTGCGCGTTGAGTCTCTGTTTCGTCGCAGTGAGGTCTGGGTGATTTGATTCCGTGACGCACGGGTGGCCGCATTGCAGATCCATAACGTTTAGCCTGCAAGCCTTTGCAAATCACTTGGGGCACTCTTCAGGAGGGGGTATCTCCCACGGCAGGCCTTCCAATCGCATTCGGTTAGATTAGTTGGGTACATAGTCGTACATCAGCTGTGTATCGTCCCAGATGATCTCCACGATGTCTGTGCGATATCCATCGTGGTCCGCGATTGCACGGAAGACTTCCACGTTACGCGGATTGGGTGACAAGAAGACCCTGTTGAGGCGGAGGGGGGCCCTATCGTGTATGAGTCTGCACGTCAAACGGAGATTCTTGATGGCGCAGTTGGGCAGGTACGATGCCACCGCGGTAAAGAGCTCCAGGGGAATGCGCACCAGATCTGAAGCCGCCGAAGAAAACATCGTAGAAGTGGTGCTATCGAGACCACGATATGGTGCCAACCGATAATGCGTTGTTGAGATGTTGGCTTGCGGTGCATGGCGCGTGGATCAAGAGAGAGAGAGAAGGTAAGGAGGGCCAACAACCTACACAGGCCCCACAGATCCAAAAGTACGGCGCACACCGTACGTACTATGCCGACATAACTTGAGGCTGACCGGCTGGTCGACTTTGAGTCAGACGAAGACGATGGGCTCCTGAACCAAGTATCTTCATCTAAGACATGCTCCTGGCTGCTTGCTTTACGGCCAAATAGATACGCTTTCTCTACGCGACCTTGGATGCCCACATCCACTTCAACGTGACGAAAAGCCGGCAACGTGTGACGATATCCCGGCAGTGTCTACTATCGCGCCTTCATACCCCCCACACAGAGTAGAATGCCTCAATTTGATCGCCCGGCGACGCTTTCTATCATAGTCTTGTCTGATCTCTAAATGCTCGTCCTCCACTGTCCCGAAGCCTCTAATGCGACCACACAGAGATACAATCCTGTACACCGCCATCCTTAGCGCCCGCATCATGCGTCCTCCGAGGCTTCACGTGCAGCAGCCTCTTCAAGCCATCATCGCGTGATGGTCCCGGCTGTCCTCGCAGCACGCCTCCACGCTCATCCGTTGCGACCGCCTCGCCTGGAGCCGAGAGGTACGCCATATACGCATGCGGAGGCGCAGCCCACGGCGGGCCAGGCTCGGCCGGGTCCTTTTCGGATGGAAACTCGAGGCAGACAAGCCTGCCGTCGGGCGCCAGCAGGTCCGCCGTGCGTCTCGCCCACGCCGGTCGCACTGAAGGCGGGAGCGCGCAGAAGAACTAGCGCCGTGCATCAGTCATTGCAATCCTCCAAGCATGCAGGTGATAGTCAGCCACCGACCGTGTAATCGAAGATCAAGTCGAACTTCGTCGGGGCGCCCGCCGCAACCAGCGCCTCATCCTTAAAGAAATCGCCCGTGAGCAACGTCGTCGCGCCCCGCCTTGCCGTCCGCGGCTCATACAGCCCCTGTGTCGTCGCCTCCTCGGCGTGCTTCCTAGCCTCGGCCGTGGCCCGCGGGGAGATATCCATGCCGTAAGCGTCGAAGCCGAACGAGCTGAGCAGCAGGACGTCGTGGCCCCTGCCACAGCCGGGGATGAGAGCAGATTTTCTGACGTCCGGGCTCGGGAGCGAGAAGAGCTCGGGTTTCTCACTGAGCAGGTCAAACAGCGCCGGGCTGTAGCCGCCGCGGTCCCACGGGGTCCACTCTTCCTCCCAGCAGGCGTTCCAGCGGGACTTGTACTCTGGTACTGGCACGTCCTGGAAGTGCGCCGTGAGCGTTCTGGGCTCTTCTGCTTGCTCGGCCATTGCACCTAGGGGCATGGCGTCGACGTTGATCACCGTTGGGAGTCTTAAAGAAAGACAGGGGAGAAGGGTTGTTTGCGGGATGGTCATTGGTAACTCTGCGTTAGGAAGGGGTGGACCCTGCTAGTGGCCCACCCCTTCCTATGCATCCTTATGCATGTGCCAACGAAAACCAGTCATGTCCGAGAATTTAGTCCCGCACTTGCAGATGGTACAACTGATCGAGCTTTATATGGAAAGGTTATGCAAAACGCGATCTATCGAACCATCTAAACTATTAGATTTCTTTTCAACGTCGTTGCCCGAGAGGTTAATTCCATGTAAAAAGCTGTGGACGGTGCTGTGGCGTGTGTGGGGCGTCACGTGAACCTCTCCCCAGGGCCACGAGGCGCTTCCCGGAGGGAAGAGGCGTTGCCTAGCGCACTGCGAGCAGCTTAAAAGAACAATACATGTTCTCAGGTGGTAGTGCTACCTGTTTTCAAGTATCATTCAGGTGATCGTGTGATGAGATGGGTAGGCATGCTTTGCCGTATGCGTTGGCCCTCATCCTTCGAAGAAGCTTGTAAGTGTGACAATCAGGTCTGCAGCTGCGCTGGTCAGGGCTGATGGGATGAAATATCTAGATTCAACGATATCTAAGGAAGAAGAGGCAAGGTCAAAAGAGAGAGGGGAAGCTAGAGGTATATATGTACATAAATATGTGGAGGTATTATGTAATACCGTAACGGTAAGGAAGTAGTCCTTAAGGATGCAGTCCTATTGCTTATTTATTTCGGAACTCTTCTTCTTGTAGGAGCCACGTAGGAAGAGGTTCATGAAGGCTATTGCACCTTGCATGCCCCTTTTGAGCGATCACAGACCTTGTGATCAGCGTCTCGGTTGGGCCGAGGGAGCTTTGGGCCACACAAGAGACATCCATCATCGCTACGGAGTGGCTTACGCGGGGTTCATGATCGCCTTGGTTGAGCTTCTTTGAGAGCCGACCAGAGTTCATTGCCATTGCCAGCATCCTTGCCAACGGCCAAGTACAGCGCAACGGTAACTTGCGAAGTTACCTTGTGTGAGATTTCGAAATGTTCTTGTCCAGGGAAAGGAATTCCAGCTAGTTTGGAGCCGCCAGAATGGCCCCATATATCTTAGATACAGAAGCAATGGCTACATGTCTAGAATGGTAAATCGTAGCGCCCTCCACCGCCTCAGTCATGGTCCTACAGGATGGGTAACCATCGCGTAAAGTTCTTTAAAGTTCTATACAGGTGTCCAAGATGGTAATGGTTAGCAGTTTTGCGTAACGCGAACTTTTTAGGTCCGCAAAGTTCTGATCCATAATTATTTATGGTAATAGATAGAACTTTACGCGATGGGATATGGAACTTTTTTATTAAGTAGGAATCTCTCGTTACCTGTCGGATTCCAGACGGTCGACGGGAGGATGATGGGATCGGTGGTGAGGGTGACTATCTTCTATAGTGGTGAATGCACACATAGGGGTGAGGTCCCTTGGACCTCCCACCCCTGGTGGTCCGCATCTAAACATCCTGCCAGCCAACGCAGTCATTACATCTGACATTACCTTATATATTAGCATGGCAGTTACGGGCAACATATACCCGACAAACCGTACCTCCTAGCATGTACAGGCAGCAAGGATAGTAATGATTGATTGATGATTGATGATTGATGATTGATTGATTGATTGATTGTATTTAACGTGGGGGGTAGCTCCTCAGTAGTGCAAACCACGCCTCCCAGAGCCTCTGTATCGCAGGGTTGTGGAGGTCTCAAGATAATAAGTACAGTCAGTCCCGCTCACGGGCCCATCCCCGTTGTTGCGGCGGTATGACCTTGAGGTCATCCATCTGGTCTTTTAAGAAAAGCTATCTATCGAGGGCAGATTGTTGAAAAGAACTTGCTCTTCTCCACGAATTTTGCCCATTCTATGCTCCTCTCCCCTAAGTATTGTAAACAAGCTGTCCTAGGCGAGTACCTAGGCAGCAGCCGGTTTTTCCCCAGCCTCTTACAAAAAAAAAATGTGTTGTGGTGTTTTCTTCTTACCACAGCTGCAGTGATCATTCGAGTCTGTATGCCCAAAGCGTTCATGGTATCTGGCAAAGTCGCCATGTCCAGATCTGGCCGCTAGAAGTCTGTGTAAAGTACTCCTCTTAAAAGATATAAGGTCTCTTTCAGTTACTGTATATGAATATACTTCTTGATACTTAGGTTCTAATTGGTCTTTCCATTATTAGTTGAATTCTTTCCTGCCCTTTTTTTTGAAATCTCTCTTGACCCAAGAGATTATAGGAAGGTTTGTTGTGTCTGTTTCTAGCATAGTACCCTCTTTTGCTAGTGTGTTGGCAGCTTTATTGCTATTAATATCTCTGTGTCCAGGAATCCACTTGACGGTCACTCCAGGAGTGTGTGCTGTGGCAAGTTCTTGAAATCGTAGAAAAATGTTCTGTGATGTCTTGGGTGGAGTCCCATTGAGCCCATCTACCACTGACGTGTTGTCCAGGCAGACATATAGCTGTTTTCCGTGTCCAATTGCCCTGGCTGCTGCAAGCCCTTGGAGAGCGCTATGGACTTCAGCATCTATTACTTCTGTTTAGAGAAGTCTGCCCTTTCCCTGGTATACTTCTTGTGTAGTGTTGCCTTTCCTGATAGTGTAGCCCCATCTAGTACGGATTGTGCTTTTGTTGTCCAATTGTGATCCATCTGAGTAGATAACAAGGTCAGTGTTCACATTTCTCTCTTGTAATCATTCCTTGAAGAGCTCTGTCTCTTTGTCTTTGTCCTTTCGGATTAAGAGCTTTTTTTATAATGGCTTGGTGAGTATTGGTCTCTAGAAGTTAGGGACTAGCTGGAAGTTTCTTTGTAACCTTGTTGGTTCCTTGCGGACTTGTATTTGGAGCCTGCCAACAAGAGGGTGTATTTGGTCTATTCGTCCTAGTCAGAGGCCGTGACGTTGTCTTATTGACTCTGCAAGAACTCCTGCTGGGGGAATCTGCGATTCAAAGTGTAGGATATGTCCAGGGTATGTTTTCCAGACTGGCAAGATAGCCCTAATCGCTGTTCGTAGTACGGCATCTATTGTTCTAAAAAGCCCCTTAATGCGACATGCTGATGTCCCACCTAAGCTCCCAACTTTCTCGATTTCTGGGTACCAGGCCTTTAAGCCATGTGTAAGAATAGGAATAATACAAGCTTTCACAGCCCTCTTGGTTAACTTTACTAGAAGTCCTTTGACTGTGTTGCATAGTCCTTAAAGGTGATTTGCTACCTTATTAGCTTTCTTAGCCCAGTAAGAAACGTGATTTTTGAAGTTTAATTTTTTATCCAGGAAGACACTGAACCATTGCATGGAATCCTTGGCTATTTTGTTCATTATCCTGTAGCAGACTGGAGGGTTGTCTGAGTTCTTTTTCCTTGAGAAGTGCATAATCTCAGTTTTGTCAGGGTCAAATTCAATAGCGTTATTATGTCCCCATTGATTGAATAAATAAAGATTTTCAGAAGCCTCTATAGCTGTTTCCTTAAGGTTCTTTCTAATGCAGAGAGTCGCTAGATTGTCTGCATATCCAAAGCGTCTCTTTTTTATACCAAGTCAGGCACAAATTGGCTCTGTATACAGCATGTAAAGGATTAGAGAGGTTGGTGAGCCTTGTGGTAGCCCACAAGTGAGAGCTTTAATATCAGTCATGATACCTTCAAACTGAACCCTGGCGGACCGCTCGGACATGAATGACTGGACCCATCTTATGAGAAAGCCCGGCCAGCCCTGTTCTCTCATGCAAATCACCAGCCGTCCCATTAGGGCAGCATCAAAGGCCCCTTTCATATCTGACGTGACTACTATTGCAACGAGGCCTTGGTCGAGGGCCTGCTCAATATCGTGTATGAGTGCAGCTACCAGGTCAGTGGCAGAGCGCTTTGGTAGAGCTCCAAAATGTTATGGAGTTAGAATTCCAAATTTGATAACAAATTAGGTAATTCTTTTCGTGATGAGTCGTTCTAGGCCTTTACCAAGACACGACAATAGCGATATTAGTCTGTAGGCCCTGGGATTAGAGTAGTCTTTCTTTCTTAGTTTTGGGATCATCACTACCTCAGCTACTTTGAATGGTTTAGGGTGGTGTCCAATCTGTAGACAGGTCTGGAAAAGGGCTCTGATATGTTCCCTAATGACTGTCCAGCAAGCTTTCAGAATCCGTACTGTGAGGGTGTCTATTCCCGGGGAGTTGCTCTTGGTCCCTATAGTGCATCCTTCAGCCTCTTCCAGTCCGATATAGTATTTAAGGGGGATGTGTGGCTTGGGTTGTGTGATCTGAGCGGACCAGGGGTCGATAATCTCGTTGTCTGAGGTACTTCGTTCAAGCATGGCTGAACGTAATGTATTTGCCTTGCTCTCTTATGACTCAAATATTTGGTCTCTTATGATGATTAGGGGGGAACGCAATCTTGCTGATAGCTTGTGCCAAGAGACGATTCTGTATAGGTCCTTTGGCTCAGTTGCTGAATTGATTAGAGTCTGCCAGTATTCTCTCCTAGCTTTCTGAACCACGTGGCAAAATTCCCGTTGGGCTAAATTCCGCCCTTCTTGGCTTATAGTCTGTTTGGGAAGGGCCCTGTATGTCTGAACAGCTGCTTTACAGTCATCATTCCACCAAGCAATGGGCCTAGATTGTCGGGGCTTTTTGCCCACTGTCCTGATACAGCCTTAGATCATATTGATCAAGCTCTATATAAAGGCATCCACCTGGCCAGGGGATACACCCAGCTGGGGGAGCTCATGAATCCTGGTTTGGACATTATCTGCCAGCTCTTGTAGTTTATCGTTCGGTACTATCTAATGATTTGCCTTAAAGATTCTGTCCAGATCTCCCTGGATTAGAATGACTATTCGTAATGTCTCATGATCTGAGGTGTACTGAAGTGCATCATTGACTGAGGCTTCAGCCATGGGGACATCTAAGAACACCAGATCTAGTACATTTCCGTCATCATGTGTTGGGACATCTGGTTTAGAAATCAGATCCAGTCCGTGGTCTGCCATAGTCTGTGTAAGTATAACACCACCATGATATCCTGGATTGCTCGAGTCCCAGGATGGGTCGTCAGCATTGAAATCTCCAGCTATAATGCAGCCAAAAGGTGGAGTCCATACTTCTAGAATGTCATCCACTTCCTGTGGGTTGTCACATGGCCGGTAGACACTGGCAAATATAATGCCTTATACCTTGACCTAGGTGATGTCTCGTATAGCATAGGGCCGAAATTGATCCGCTTAAAGGTGTTTTCTTACATAGATGAGAGATCTGGGCCGTGTACTGTCGTTGTCCCAGGAATCCACTGGGGAGTAAATATCGTAATTGGGGTGTGTCTTTACTCCCATTCTCCTGCCTGGTGATATGCCAACCCAGGGCTCTTGTATCAGAATGATGTCTATTTGTTCTCCTTTATAGTCAGCGAGGTTGATGGCTAATTTTGTAGGGCCTGCACTTTTTTGTCCTCCTGTTATATTCACAGAATGGATGACTATATGCCTGTGTTGATGTGTTTTGTTTGATGTATCTAGTATTGACTGACGACAATGGTGTCGGCATCTTTGGGATAAGCTGTATTTATTGTGTCGATTTGTATTGTGGTGTCTTTGTTATTATTATTAGGTGTTGACCTAGCTTGGTTTCTGCCTTTATTAAAGGCTTTAGATCTGGCTCTTTCTCCGGCCAGCCTTATTTCCTGGATTTGCTCCCATGTGTGCTTATGGATGATACCTTTCACGACTGTGGGGTGTACAGGGCATTTGTCGAAGTCGGTAGCATGAGGTCCTTTGTAGTTGATACACTTTGGGATTGGTTTTTCGTAATCCCTTTGGTGTACTGCGCTGGCGCAATGTGCACATACTTGCTTTTCACATCGGTAGTTCCTACCATAGTATCTGAAGCAGCTCGCACACTGGTGAACCTTGGGGGAGTATTGAATGTGCCTTAAGGTCATTAAGTGAGCAAAAAGCATGAATGGTTTCTTTGCTGTATGGGACAGAGAGATCACCCATGTAGTCTCCGGATCAGAATCAACTGTGTTTCTTGAGAGTATGCACCTTAAAGGTCTGTCACCTGTTTGGGCTTTAATTTCATTAGTAACAACAATGTCGGTAATGTTGATTATTAACCCTTCCGCATTGATGACCTTTCTTGGGCATCTATTGACCTTGTAGTGATGCCAGACCGTATGGGTCTCGATCTTTTCTGCCTTGAGAATGTCAGTGATTTCTTCTTGGAAGGCAAGGAGCTTAGTCTGAGTTGGCTTGTCCCTTAGGTGTAAGGTAAATCCGGAGGGGCACCGGGTCACTTCTCTAAGCTCTTAAGGGTGGAGCTTAAGTCTTCCATTCAGTGTAGACTTTATTCCGTAAGGCTCTAAGTGGCTATTATCCATGCGGACAAAGACCCGGAGATCATTCTGTTTCTTTTTTAGTTGGTTGGTAGTGATGCGGGCGCCAGGCTGTGTTTTCTTTATGGTAGTGTTGACTGTCCGTGAATGCTGTTGTTGGCTAGAAGAGACAGCTTGGGCGAAGGTCATGATGGGCTTTACCATCCCTATTCCCCCAGGGATGGTCTTCCTTTTAGACAGATCTCGGGTTTCTAACCACTCGCTCAGATATTTAGAGAAGAAAGCGCTGAACTCCTTGGCATGAGAGTATAGTTCGGTTCCAGCTTTCTCAAGTGTCTTATCAACCGCTGTAGCACACTCTTGAAACATTGTCATCCTGGCTTCATAAAGGTGCTTGTCTTTAGCCAGTATTCTGGCAACTTGGTCCTTGCACTCTGAGGAGGAGGTTCTATTCTTTATATCGCGTGTAATGGCTTGGTCTGTCGAGATTTCGTTCAATTGAGGCCGTTTCATTCCAGTGGTGCTGCTGTCATTGATATTTCAAGATTTTCCTTTCAGAGGGGAAATAACGGTGAAGTCAGCCTCAGAGACCTGTGACGGGCTGCTGCTGATGTCGTCAAGCAGCGCCTGGCGGAGCCTGCTTGGAGTTGCCGGGCCGTATGTCTTTCTAGGGGCCGGGGATTTGAGCACGCCGCCGGTGGTTGTCTTTGGGACGGCCACGGGCGTGTTTAAGGGCCTGTCATGAAAGGGTGCCATCCGGCTTGTGAGAAAAATTCTCTTGTGCCTTGGCAGAGATAGTTAGTTACAGAGAGAAGTGCCTGCTTTAGTGCAAATATCAAGGTTGCGCCCTAACAGCGGGGCGCCAAGAAAAATAGTTGTTTTTGTGAGGCTGTGTTGCATCTTGCAAGGATAGTAATGATTAGTGGTTCTGGGGTATGGGTCTGAATCCAATATGATGCTTGTAATTCTCGTGCTATACGTACCCGTTCTAATGGAAAAGTTCCACGAGAAAGCTCCCATCGCCCAGAATCTAACACGCCACGGTAAATCTATTCTATTGCTAGCTACACAGCCTTCTTGTTTCTCAGAAAGCCGTGACGTCGACTGGTTTCCATTTGACAGGACACTTTGATCATTCTGTTATGGCATTAGGTAGTGTGACAATCAGGCCTGCAGCTGCGCTGGTCAGAGCTGATGGGTTGAAATTCTAGATTCAACGATATCTAGGGAAGAAGAGGCAATGTCGGAAAGAAAGGGGAAGCTAGGGGTATATATGTACATAAATATGTGGAGGTATTATGTAATACCGTAACAGGTAGCCCCGCGGGACTGACCCCTATATATATCTATATGTCTTCTAGCTACCTCTTCCTGAGTCCTTTCTTTCTTTACGTACAACAACGAAAGTCATTCTGCAGTCACCAGCAGTCGAACTGTGACACATTCGCACCTCCGAGACCGAACAGCTCTATCTATACCCAGACCTTACCCACGTAGCAGAGTCTTACAGATCGATTAGCCATCATCGTCAGCAAACATGAGAACGCTTGCTCAGTCGTCCGTCATGAAGCTAGTCATTGGGTTTTTGGCCCTGCTTCTTGTTGTTCAAGTAGGTTAGGCCCATATTGGACGATATCCTTCAGCTTACCAAGAGGATAGGCGGATGGCAAGGAGCTCTCAGATGATGACATCAAGGCGATTTATGATGCCAAAGAACAAATCATCTCCGCCACTTCTCCTTCAGATCTGCTTTTGTTCCTCGGTAATCCGGCATCGTACGTCTTAGCATGTTGTTGAATGGCGCGCAAGCCACCGTGGCGTTCAGGGAGGTGGCAGTGCACCTACAAGGCGAATAGGGCATTTTTAGGCCACTTAGCCCACAATAGGATTTTCACACAGACAACAACATTACGGAACACACCAGAATATACGTTTTCACCTATCTGAAAGCCCGCACGCACTGTTTGACAGTTATGAGCCCGGATTAGCGGTGCGCATCTGACTGACGATTATTTTATGATTATATACATTCAAAACGACCGATTGCTCGTCAGATTAGACCCACACCTGCGCAAAAGATACACGAAAACAGCGCGTACTCAACAATAAGATGTCTACCGATACAAAGCAGAAGAGAACCATCCTGAACGATCAAAAGGATTGGGATCTCTGTACGAAGACTTTGTTAGCATCGTGCCACCTTCAATCTGGCTGGCGATCGATCCCGAAACCCAGAATCCCGACCCGCTGCTGCTGCCTCCAAGGGCACCGACCTTCGATGATTTCAGGGCTGGCGCTCTATCATACGCGGCCCTGAATGCTGGCAAGAAGCAGCTGTATCTGGAAGCCTCTCGTATCTATGAGAGAGAAAAGAAGGAATACAAGGAGTAAGAGACCAAGATCCTAGATCTGAGAGAACGCATCAGGAGCTCTATTTCAGCTACCAAAAGAATCCCCCTTTGAGCGAACGAATCTATTCGAGACTGGCTAGTCACCCTCATTCAAACCACGAAGCCCTCTGCAGCAGATACAACCCGAATGGTCACAGAGGCATACGAACAAGTCGTTCACCCGAGATCGGCACTCAAGTCTGAAAAACAAGTCCTGACCTTCCTAAACAACTGGGAGAAGGTGATGGCAGATGCCACCTATCACAACATCCCACATGTGATTGAACCTATGTTCTGGATCAAAGATTTTGCTATTGCAATCCAGGGTTATGCACCAACCTTTGCAGACAAGCTCTATTTAGACCATGTCTATAACCCTGTAGGAGTACCTAATTATCTTGAAATCAGCCGACGTTTCCAGGCCTGGATTGCGCTCCAAGCAGCTGGCAGCCAAGCAGGCGCAAGAAGAGTCTAGAGAGGAACTGCCTTGCAAGCCGATCAGCCTCGATTCGCGGGAGACCGGAATCCTTCTGCAGAGGATTTTCCAGCTGATCCAGCATCCAATAAGAGGCAGCAATCCAGAAAACGGGGACGGGCTGATACTGATTCTGGAGGTCATCCGAATCAGAAGCCTAGGTGCCATGGTTACGAAGGTTTTGGTCATTACCTTGCCGATTGTAGATGTGTGATACCAGGTGACAGACCCCCCACGAGGAAGGCCATCCAAGTGTTTGGCAAGAAGATAAAGGAGGATTCAGACCTCGCAAAAGAGGTGATAAAGCTCAGAGACGAGCATTTCTGTCACGGAACAGCTGGCAGCTTAGGACGAAGATGCCCATCTATTACTCCAGATGAATAAGAATCTACTGGTGAGGAGGGAAGAAGGATCAGAACCACCAGCCAATTCTGGTGGGAGATTAGATCTTCAATCCCGCTCCACAATTATCTATAGTGAGTGCAGCGGGGCAACGCGTCCACCCCACCAGATCACCTGATGAGCGCACGTACCACCGTGAATGGATGGATGGATGTCAGATCCATCACAATTTCACAAAGATAGAAATGAGCAGCAGGCAGGAGGCCAACACCCAAAGCATGAAAATCGAGCGTGAGGTTGCGCGGAGAGGAAATCCTGTATTTCAAGGACAAAGAAAGGAGAAGTCAACGAGGTCTAAACGCATATTTTCCACTCGTCATACGACTATCCAATCAGTTATTCGTCCATCCTTGACTCGGGGTCTACTCTCCACGTGTTTAATGATCTCAGCCGATTCAGGAGCTTCAGGAAGGCTCCGCGAGGCCACTTTGTTGTAGCTGGCAATAGTGAGATCCCCATTCTGGGATACGGTGAAGTAAGCGTCAGAGTTACTCGAGGTAGTAGCACAGGCAACCTTATTCTCTCCAAAGTGGCTTACTGTGTAGATTTTGCCTGTAATATCATCTCTTACAACCTTTTAGAGAAATGAGGGTACTACTGGGATACCAGGAAGAACACCATCAACCGCAAAGACGGCTCCATCTTGGGAGAACTTTCCAAAATCCATGGACAGAGAGTAGTCGAATACAACCCTTCTCTCACATACGAAGCAGCATTTCCTGCTGCTGCAAGACGCCCCCAAAGACAAACAACTGTTACAAGACCAAGTTTTGAGGGTACAGCACTCCAATGGCACATTCGAATGGGGCATATTGGCCCTGAGCCTTTGAAGCAGCTTGGATTACAGTGCTGAGGCACTTCCTTGAGAGGCCCTCAAACGCACGAGTGCGAAGAGTGTGCTCGCGCCAAAGCACATAAGCTGCCTTCACGTAGAGATCCAGATCTCAAGGCTACAAAAGCCTTCTACCGCATGCACATTGACTGGAAAGAGATTAAAGAAGGTTATAACGGCGTGACAAGGATAATGACTGCTGTTTGTGAAGCAACAGGTCTTGTAATCCCCTACTTTTGTTACGGAAAAACAGCAGGAGAGAATGTTGCCAATATTCAAGATCTAATCAACTTCGCGAAGCGGCATCGGTTCAAGATCCGGATCATCAGAGCAGACAACGAGTTCTTCACTTCGATGATGGAGGATTTACTGTATGAAGAAGGGATCATCCCAGAGCCCTCTGCTCCTCACACACAAGCATAGAACGGGCGCGCTGAGAAGCAAGGTCACATTGGTGTACAAAAGGCCAGGACTATGAGAGGCAAGTTACCACATAACTTGTGGCCTAATATTGTGGATGCTGCCTTTTATCTGTATAATCGCACTCCTCGCGCCATTTCAAAGTGGAAGTCATCATACGAGTGTTTCTACAACCAGCTGGCAGAAAAGGATGGCCTAAGAGGACCACGATCACCACAACTAGCCCATTTGCGAGCGTTTGGCTGCAAGGCGTACGCTTTGAAGAAGGGCAGGAGAGTTGAAAAACGAGGAAAACCTAGCAAATTATGGAAGTTGGATCCTCGAGCGTATGTTGGCTACCTTGTGAGATACGATTCTACAAACATCTACCGTATCTGGGTACCACAACTTGGAGAGGTTATTCGAACCAGAGACGTGACCTTTGACGAAAGCACGTTCTTTGATGGCAAAAAGGAAGCAGCAGACGCTGAGATGATTGCTAATTTAGAAGATTTAATACAAGAGATTCGACTGTCTGACGCTGAAGTTGAGAACGAGCGAGCCCTAGAGTCAGATGATGAGATCTATCAACCAGACGAGATACAGAGCGAATATGAAGATGACGAGGCTCGCAGCACTATCTATGTAGCTGGCAATCGCACGCCGTCTCCAGTTGTGACGGCCTGCACAGACCTTCCCACATGACAAGCCGATACTTCCCAATAAGGGAAGGATATAACCAGAGGATCCCCTTAAAGGGGCAACCTCCCGCTGTACCTATCTCTCTCTCTCTTCCTTTCCTCTCCAGTCTTGATATTCTCGTCAATAGAGTAATAACTGCTTGCTGCAGGCCATGTCCGAGCTCCCCAGTATGCTCGCCGTGACACTAGTTGCAGCTGTAGAAGGTGGTCTGCCTACTCCAGAGGCTTCAGAACACAAAAGAGATCCATCTGCAGCATATGTACACCTTACAGCAGCAGCACGAATCATCAGAGGCGGAGAAGACCCCTTAGAAGGGCAAGATGATCTTTCTGAAGGGGTGAGAGGTGTTTTTCACTCTGAAAGGGTGAGAAAGGAGGATTTCAGACCTCAATCACCTCCTTAGACACCTCAACAGTCACGATTTCACGAGTTCCGAGACTTTAAACCTGTAACTCGATTTGCTGCTTTATTTGCAGCAGGTCGCAAGTTCAAGATACATCGCAGGGACCTTGTTCCGGAGCCTAGGAACCACCGAGAACTAGAGGGACATCCCATGAAGGAGTACTTCACCGGAGCGCAAGCTGAGCATCTTGAAAAGCACAAGATGAATTCATGGACCGAAGTGGCAAAATCGGAAGCCAAAGGACAGCAGATCTTGGGTTGTATGTGGGTTTTCGTATACAAAACGAATAAACACGGCTTCCTTGAGAAGTGTAAAGCACGTCTCGTCGTGTGTGGCAACCAACAAGCACCTGGAGATCTTCACACAAGGGCTACGACCCTAGCAGGCACCTCACTACGCACACTGCTTACAATCACGGCAAGATTCGACCTGGAAACTCGACAAATGGATGCCATCAACGCTTTTATGCACTGCGACCTTGACGAGCGGGTGTACATGCGAATGCCCCCCGGAACCGGCAACAAGCAGTGTATTTTGCGCCTCAACAAGGCTTTGTATGGTCTCAGGAGGTCACCACTTCTCTTGCAGACCAAACTAATCAATGCCTTCAATAATTTGGGCTTAAAAGAGGTCCCCCAGGAAGCGTGTGTGATGGTCAAGGGCAGCATTATGGTCTTCTTTTATGTTGATGATATTGTATTCGTGTATCGAAAGAAGGATGAACCCGACGTCGATCTTACCACCACAGCACTTGAGAAGAGCTTTAGAATCAAGCTGATCGGAGACCTCAAATGGTTCCTTGGGATGCACATTATCAGGGATAGGGGTGAACGAGCCATATGGCTGTCCTAGGAAGCATATATTGAGAAACTGGCTAACAATTTTGGAGTACCAACACAGGGCAGGGCTCCAGATACCCTGATGATTCTGAAGGAATTGCTACCAAACGATCGGCAGGCAATGAAACGAGACCTAGAAGAGTACCAAAAGAAGATTGGATCGATTCTTTTTGCTGCAATCTCTACCTGACCAGACATCGCTTTTGCCGCCTCAAGGCTTGCCCGATTCAATCAAAATCCATCGATCGAGCACATCCGCGCTGCAGACCACGTGTTACACTACCTGTATGGTACTCGAGGTCTTACAATTCGATATAGGAAGGGTGATGGCTTCAAACAGCTGCTGTGTGCGAGTGATGCCTCCTTTGGAGATAACATAGAAGATCAAAAGAGCTCTCATGGCTACGTTATCAGCCTTTTTAGAGGACCAATCGCTTGGAGAGCCAACAAACAGGATACTGTTACCACTTCGAGCACTGAATCTGAGCTGTTAGCAATCACTCAGTTGGCAAAAGAGGCCATCTACCTGAGCAGGCTATTCAGGGCACTCTCTCTTGAGCTGACAGAGCCCCTGAATCTTGAGTGTGATAAGCAGACAATCCGTTTGTTGGTTCAATAGGCAGCAAGGCTCCAAACAAAGCTCCGTCACGTCGATATTCACGCTCACTGGCTTCGACAGGAGGTTTAGAGAGGAACCATCACCGTTACGTGGATCGAAACGAGCAAAATGGCTACTGACGGTCTGACCAAGGTACTGCCAAAAGGGAAGTCCAAAACTTCATGGATCACCTTCGACTGGAGGATATCACAGCCAAATTGGACCGTATGAAGCTCAATGAGCGGATTCAGGAGAAGATCAGTGACCTGAAGGTCAACATGGGGTCACGCAGTCAGAGTGTTTTGGGAGTCACAGAGACCTTGAATTCGGCCCTGATTTGACCTTGTTATATGGATTAGATGACGAGGCCATCTAAAGGGGTGTGTTGAATGGCGCGCAAGCCACCGTGGCGTTCAGGGAGGTGGCAGTGCACCAATAAGGCCAATAGGGCATTTTTAGGCCACTTAGCCCACAGCAGGATTTTCACACAGACAACAACATTACGGAACACACCAGAATATACGTTTTCACCCATCTGAAAGCCCGCACGCACTGTTTGACACATGTCCGCCTCTTAAAAAACAAGTACAATTATTAACTATCTTTTAGTTATTTCTATTACGCGTTTTCTGATAAAGACGACCGCCGTGTAGAGTTACTCCCTATCAGCGGGGTATACTACAGTGACCCTCAAACTATACCTACCCGCAAACAACTCGAAGCCTACTTATCTGTCATACTTGAGCCCAAAGTCAAACTACACTCTGGCCACTTCAATCGAATTTTTACAGTCGGCCATTCGAGCACAGGACAAACTATTCAAGGCTTTACGAAAATCCTGGATGCAATGCAAAGCTCTGTCACAGATAAATATGAATTTATTAACCTTGTTTCTAAACACCAACTTGAAACCGGCAACATCCCAGATGGTGGATTGACTTACAAGTTCGTTGAGATGGATGATAACGAACTACTGATAGATTTAATCACAGAGGGTAGATATCCTCGCCTTACCCCCTTTTATCCAAGATGGAAGTGGGATACCATGGATCCATGGAAAGAAACGGCGGAATTAATCGACAACTCCCCGCAGAAGAAGACGATTGAAAAGATACAAGAGGGGCCGTAAGCTGGAGCCGCCAGCCAAGGCCTGGGCCAGAGGGAAGGGGGGGGGAAGGGGGTGGAAGTGCTGGAATATGGAGTTGGACACCCCTCAAGGTCACCAGGTACAGAATTTGCCCTAGCAGCCCCGTAGACATCTAGACGTCAACAATAACTGTCACTCTTCTTGACAAGCTTACCTCGACGTGATCTCCGCGCCTGTAAATGTCGAGGATGGCAAAGATTAGCGTACTTTATACGCTAGGGCGCTATGGTTCTGGATCTTTCTCAGGAGAAACACGTCGAAATATAGATGAACACTAGTATCTAGATGACTGCCACCATTTATATTCTGACCCTTTTGCCGAGCACCTGACGGGAGCCGACCCTAGTCGGCACGGTAGCTCAGTGGACGGGTACTGAGCGTCCGCCGTGACGTTGACAGTCGTAGACACTTTAAACATACCATCCCAACAGCGTCACAGCAGGGCTGGCTTTGTGAGATTGAACTGCATGTACCAGCTTATACTACTACATGAAAGGAAAGACCAAGGACCCTTCTCTTGCCTGAACTGCTTGGCCACGAGAGTAGACCGCCAGTCCTCGTCTCATGAATACCATGTGCGTATTCAATAGCAGAGCTTCTGGTCGACAAGCTTCTCACTCAACTTCCACAGCAGTTCAGCATCCACTATGCTGAAAGCCCAAGGATTGACAGTGTCCTTGGCTGGATCCGCAATGCGGCAGTCGACAAGATACCCATGCACCGCTAGAAGCTATAATACCAAATTTCGTAGCTAGTCAGCACCCAAGCACGCAATAAGAAGGGCTTGGTCTTAGAGGGTTATCGTGTGGGAGAATACATGAACATACCATCGAGTTCTGGGTCAAAAGCCGCATATACACAGGTGGCCGCGTCCCCGTCGTGTGTGAGGAACATGAAGTCCGAGAAAGCCCACCAGACGTGGGGATTCCCAAATATCATATCCGCGGCATCTATGAGACGGTTTCGACCGGTAAGCTCATCGACTTTGGGATTCTACGCCAATAAAATAAATGGGGACGAGATACTCACTGAGGGCTCCCATCTCGACAGTCCAGTCAAGGGGAGTACCAAGGTTGGAATGGATCACCCCAGGGTGTAGACTGTATGCTCGGAGGTGGCGCTTGGCCAGCTTCTCGGCTAAGGACACTGCCATGAGGCAATTGGCAGTCTTGGACTGGCCATAAGGCTGCCACTTCTCGTATGATTCGCCATCCTGCTAACAGCAAGACTCAGGTCAGTATCCGCATTGCACCTGATCATGTTTTAGAAGAGCGACAGCATGGAATCCGCGACGTGCTGTTGGATAAAAGGGCTGTCACCAGTGGCGCAGCCATATATAACTGAACACATTTATCGACTGGTTGGCGACAGCGTCCTTGATTGATAAAAGTATGTACAGGTATGTTTCCATGAATATAATATACTGCCTCACCTCGGGACTTCTGGCCCACGTGGTTTCGGACATCCAGAATAGTAGCTCGTGTCGGCTACCTCACAACTCCGTCAGACTCACCCCGTCAGAGGGAAGCCTACATAGGGCGACCTCATGCGCTTCGCTTCAGCTCGGCGACCTGGAAGTTGTAGTTGCAGATCCCGTCCACGGCCGTGGACACAACGTCCTTGGCTCCGGTCGCCGAGATGATGATGTTGTTGTCAGCATCAACGACCTCGACGTACTGGCACCCAGTGCGCATGTCGGGGGCAGAGAAGTAGTTGAGACCGACGTCCAAGTCGGTGCTCCTGATCATCACGCTGTCGCTCCACACCTGGACCTTGTACCCGGTGACGCCCTCGCCAACGACGACAGCCCAGTTCACGGCGTCCTGCGCCGCGCCGGCGCCGGGTGGCTTGCCCGATGTATCGGCGGTGCAGTCGGCGTCGACCGTGAGGGCGCGGTACCACATGGAGCCAATGACATCGGAGCCCTGAGGCGGCCGCATGCCCGCGGCGTCGGTGCCGTTCGTGAACGCATTGATGAACGAGGTGATCAGCGGCTGCCAGCCGACGTGCGACCAGTCGTCCTCGTTGGCGTAGGCCAGGATCTGGTCGTCAAGACCCTCCGACCATAAGCTGCCGATGTAGTGGCTCTCTCCCGCATCGTTCCAAGTGATAATCTCGACGAATTCGGGGCGTGACTCGAGCGAGAGGATCTCGGTCATGCGCTGCGGCATGTTGACCTCGCCGCTTCTGTAGTAGAGGTTGCTCTCCCAGTGCTTGTACTGCAGACTCGACAGGCCCATCATGTAGGCCTTGTCGGTGGCGCCGTCCATCACGTACTCGTCCAACTTGCTGCTGACGTTGGCTGGCGAGTTGCTCTGGCCGGGCCAAGCTTGCTCCCAGCTGAAGAGACCATCGACAACACTGCCCCACGACGACATCCAGCTAGCAATGTCCGTGTAGTAGCCCTCGGTGTCGTCGAACATGGGCACGAAGTACATGGTCTTGCCGAGCTGCCCCAGGAAGCTGGACCAGTAATCGGGGCCTTGCGCGGCCGACTGGAAGGTGCTGAGGAAGGGGTTGCTGTTGTCACCCGCATGGTAGTAGGCGGAATGGTCGTAGTACTTCTGGATCAGGCTCGTGTAGGCATACACATCGGCCTCCTGGCACGTGTCCAGGGAGAAGAAGAGCTTGACCTTCGTGTCGGCGGCAGCATCGAACAGTTGCTGGATGGCATCGGTGGCCCAGTCTGCAGTGGGGTTCCCGACGTTGAGAGCAAAGGCCGCGATGCCCATATCTTGAGCTGCAGTAATGTCTTTCGAGGCGTGGTCGGTGGTACCGTCAAGACCTTGGACCTACGAAGACATGTTAGCTTGTTGTGACATGGTGTTCGGCTTTGCGTGACGGCTTACCATGTAATGAGCAAAGACATCATAGGCAGACGCCAAAGGGGTCAGAGCCGCGAGGGCAGAAAGCAGCTTCTGGGAAAGCATCTCGAAAGCTTAGAATACCCGCAGGGCAAAGACGGCGATGGGGCTGAAAGAGTGACGGTTGAAATGAATGTAATGAGACCTGTAACACTGTTACACGCCAAAGCGGTGTAAAGAACGACGTGGTAAGGAACGAAAAGACAAAGAACGACTATAACTCAAGAGAGAGAGAGTGTGTGTCCAAACATCATCCTCATAGGAGTCAGGTTCTCGACTCTTTATATCTTTTGAGTCGCCATGGCCATTGGCTTGTTGACCTAGGCTAGCCGCAACTTGCCATTGGGCGTTGCGACATGCCTATGGGTCTAGGGATATTATAAATGTATTTTTGTAGTTGTGATGGAAGGTTATGCATGCCAGCCATGCAGCAAGCGCGGCCCCAGGACGTTGATACTTCCCTAGTGGCGCCAGACACCCGGGATCGTGATTACTAGGACCCCACCATGTGAGACGCGGACTCGCGCAAGCGCCCCCCTTTCATCTGATATACCATGGCCGGCAGGATCAGGAGAAACCCCCAATACCTTATCCCACATCCAGTATCCTCAATGAACAAGTACCACTCTACCTATGACATGAACAGCAGTGCTTTAAAGACCAAGCATTTCTCAATGGTTCTATATGAAAATCATTCACATAACTTGCTGTTATATTATGAAGCGTTGGAAAGTAAAGGTGGTAAAGTCTAACCGTGATATTAAGTGGGCAATTGGTGGTGTGGCTAGTGGACACTGGATATGGGGTGGGGGGTTGGTTCTTCCCTGACCCTGCCAGCCCTGCCTGCATGGTTGCTTCTTCGTCGTCACACTACGAGGCGGGGCAGCGGAGAGTCCCGCGTGTCGGTAAGTTGGTGTGTTTCAAGTGACCATTTAAATTATCGAAACCTCAGTACAGCAAGGGAAAGGCAGCTTGGTGGGTCAGGTCAGGGGCTCCAAGAACATGTAAACATTATTAAGCACCCACCAAGTTGAACGACGAAGCTCCATGTGGTCTTGAGTCAGGTTGCGACTTGCGCTACCATGCTCGCGACTCGAGTACTGTTCCACATTCTCACCCGTGGGGAGATCGGACGATATATAGTCAAGGTATCTTATCAGTTGCATTAGATAAGGTATAAATATCAGCAGAAATAGATTGGACCAAGGTTGGCCATTATTCCCGTGAGGATCCCGCCTGTGCCGCGTAGATCTTTGGATATAACATGTGGGTATTGGAGTTCGGGACCGAACAGACTCGACAGGGCAGCGACCGAAACCACTACATGCATGTTGCGAGATTGCACAGATGTCTCTTAATAGTGCACTTCGGCCAGGAGACCGATAGTATCTGGAATCCATATCTACTTGGCTTTGGGCTACTACGCATACACAGTACAGCCCGTTACAGCCCGTCTGCGGGCATAATGTAACCCACTTCCACACGAAGTGTTTACTCCAATCCTAGCCTGACTGCAGTCAGACAGAATACGGTAAGGCTAGAAAAATACCCTCAATCCGCTAAAAAAATACCCTCCTGTACTTTAGTTTGGGTGCGTTTCTCAACAAACCAAAGGTATCTTTTCGAAAAGCGACGGGTTAGGAGGGTTAGGATTAGGGTTAGTGGTTAGGGTTAGCCGGGGGTTTGGGGGGCGGTGCGAGCCCCCCATCTGGGAATGTGTCCTTGAGCGCCGTGGTGGTGGTGATGGTAGTGGTGATGGTAGTGAAAGTGTGGTGAGGGTATTTTTCTAGCGTTACTGGACAGAATACCTTGGGAACCCTGTCGTCCGAAGGGTAGACCATCGCTACCCCTGAGGCTAGCTAGACTCTCAGTTCTGGCTACAATCTTTCTCATTGTCTTCTTTGGTGAACCAATGGCTGGATCGAATCTCTCGAATGCAGAACTCCAACAGAAGCTCGAGTCTCAGCTAATACGATAACGTCTACTTATATGACCAGTCGACAAATCAAGCGGAGTCTTACAACAGAAAGAAACAGTTGTCCATGACTGCGACTAGATGACGGGTTGATTTGCCGTGTAACAAACCACGTTCATGTCCACTGAAGTCGGTAAGCTTCAGAAATGTGATAGCTTCAAGCCTCCATCAGCATATCAAGCAAGGCTGGGGTGGCATGTCCAAGTTCACATGCAACATAGTTCCTGGTAGATGACCTACCCCCTGTGTGAACACTTGTGGCGGATACATCTATGTTTACGCACATGAAAGTTTGTTCTCTGAACGATCTGGACATCTCTGGTAACGGTGGATCACATCGCCTTCTCAGTCTGAAGACTCTGACTAGGGCCTCCTTGTTCAGGATGAGGGCAGGGGCTCTCATCCTAGCAATGCCATGCCTGCTGTCCCTTCCTATCCCGAATCAGCAAGTGACATCTTGTGTGGAAGCTGCAGGTACCCGCCATCCCCGCTCTCTAACCACCTTCCTTGTCGAGCGTGGATTTCCAACGCCACTTATTCGAAACACCGACTCTGGTCTAGATGTATTCTGTGGGGGATAGTGGTGAACATTCATCATGGCCCCATCCACGCCATATGGAGTAACTATCTGGGATTTCCCGACCTTCATAAGGGAGTTTTCGTTACCATCATATTGGACGAACTGCATTGTTATACGCCGTCCAGCGTTCACAGTCTTGTGCCTACCCTTGCGAACAAACATCATCGAAGTACGTATTCTTGAGAGCCTTCGGCAAGATCTGGTCATACTCGGATGCTTCTTCGATCGATCCTCTGGCCACAAATATGACCAACTGAATCTTAGCCGTCTCCGCGACGAAACCACGTCTTCCAGGTCCTTCAGCTGCGGCTAGCGAGGCGACCGATTTCGGGACAGCCGTCCGGGTGCCTTGAGAGCTTTCAAGAAGCGGCACCATAGTTCACTTGTCCCAGCGAACAATGGACAGCTAGCTGTGTCGGACTCACACGAACACATGCAGCGGACAGGAAAAACTTGTGGGTAGTCGTCGTATTTTCTACCTAACCCTAGATTCAGGAGGTACTGGAAACCTCTAGGGTGACAACCAGCCTCCGTCATCTCCAAGCCAAAGGACGAAACTAAACCGTCTCCGCCAATGAGAATACCAATGGCACGTACGACACGTCTCAAATGGACGTCGACCTGCCATACTTTCAGAAAGAGACGGATTCGTCAAAGGAGGACACCAAATGCGGCTCCCATCGTCTACACTGTCATCTATCGGGGGTCGAGGTACCACTTGGAATTGTCGCCATTCTCGATGGGCCAGGACAGGATGTCAGCGCCGGAACTGGTCGAGGAGCCCTTGACGTTGAGCTGGCCGCGGCTGGCGATCTTGGAGTTGATGCTTTGTGTCCAGTCAGTCAATCACTCAGTCAGTCCGTCCACCTCGAAAACGAGACCCTGGGGAACCCGCGAGAACTCACGTGAATGTGTCGTATCCGTTTGTAGGTGCGGACTTCATGATCCACTGGCACGAGGGATCGCTGGGAGATACCTGCGGGGTCGATGTGATGGTATTGTCGGCTGTTGTTGGTGTGTGCATCAAGTCAGCGTGACGCTCAGTGGTACATTGGACTCATTCTCCAGCTTGGGGGCACTGACCCGTGGCGGTGAGGAAGTACCCAGTTCGGACGTTGATGATCAGGTACACGGGCTCTACCCAAGGACCGTCGACGAGGGCCAGCTGCCACAGAGTGTTGGTGGAGGGATTGGTTCGGTCGCGTGTACTGGAGCCACACAGGTTCTTGTCAGTATCGAGGGGTTTCATGAGGACGGGTGCTGGGTGGGTGATGCTCACTAGGTCTTGACGACGGCGCCAGAAGACATCAGCCCTTCCCACGAGTTGGCACTCAGGGTCGGTGCCTGGTACGGCACGATCTCGTAGACTCCGGGACCTGTGAAACCCATCTTGAAGGCAGTTGTGTAGAGAGGAAGGATAGTGTCAGTTACTGTGTGCAGTTGTTTGTTGCTTGCGATGTGTGAAACATTTTCCACTGACAGCGGGAACAACAGGATATTTATAATTTCGATTTGGTAGCCCTCGACGGTTTCTTCCTCTGACGACCATCTCTGCTGAACACCTTTCTGGTGGCTGGCTGAAGCGCTCCAATGCACCCACCGCATCTTTCCACGAAAGGTCGAACATCAACATATCCTGTCTCTGTATCCATATCCGCAGCGCTCATGACTGGTCGATAGCAAGGTGACAGCCAGGGCTGTTCAAGCTCAGCAGCAGACGTGTCGAATAGTTCCCTGTTCCCCTGTTCCTCGTGGCTAGCTGAAACGCTCCAGGCCACACACCGCATTTTCCATCAGAGCTGAACTTCCAGAAATGTCTTTTCTGCATTCCTTTGCCATGTATGACTGGCCGAGAGGAGAATTGAAAGATGATCGCTCAGGGTTACATGCTGCGACTAGTGGGAATAGTATATACTGCGACCCTCGTTCGGCACATTCAGCTGAGCCATCACTTTCCCCGCACGATACTATAGATCTACCTGATGAGGGCAACAGCGACAGAACTGGACAGAATTACGACGTTGCAGACGAGGAGTAGCTGATGAAAATTTGATAGAAGTGACCTGTGACGCAGTGCGACTTATTGAGAGTAAGACCAGAAAGAGGACAGACCGACTTAGTAACTGGCACTTCGCGATTCGAGCCCAAAGTACTCGCGGTCGTGTAAGTCCACATGATCGACAGTCAGTGATCGCATCTCCTGACCATATTGTTTTTCGATAACTTCATCCAGTCCCGAAGAGCTGATCCAGATCCGAATCCACGTCCGTGGGCTCCCCTCCAGCCTGTAGCGTAGAGCGACCCTCGCCGGGACGACGCATCCACCCAAACCACAGCAACGCGCCGATCTTGTCAAAGCCCAGAGAGCGCCAAAAGCTCTCAGCCCGCGAGAGGGACTCGCGATAGAACCTCCCAAAGTCAGCGGACGACCTGAAACCCTGCGCCTCGGCTTCCTGGCGCATGACTTCCGGGTCAGAGACCGTGAACACAGAGCGCGGCTCGGGGGCCTCCTCTGCAGCCCACTGCAACACCCGCCCCAGGACCGTCCGGAAGAGATCCGTGCCCACACCCCGTCGACGGTTCTCGTCGGCCACAACTATCCGGGTCACGACGAAGACCCAAGAGTCGTCGAAGTCGGCGCCCCAGAAGCCCCTCCCCTTGAACTGCTGCCGAATTTTGCCATCGCCGTCGTAGAACTCCTGGCAAAACTGCGCCAGGACCTGGCTGCTACGGCCCACGCTGTAGTCGAATCGGTGGAACGGAGGCATCAGCTCTCGCTTGACCAGCATGCGTTCGCACCAACCCACGATGGGGCCTCTGCTGTTGCTGTTGCTGCTCGGCGCTCGACGCGCGTAGCCGAGGACCTTGACGAGCCATGGGCGTCTCTCTTTCAGCGAGCCGGGATGGGTCTCTGGCCTATGGCCCTTCCGGTGATCTATGTTGTCCCACGGGTTGCGCGTGTCTGCTTCTAGTATCGTCACGTGTAGTCGCTGTGTGTCGTACGTCGAGGTGCTCTCCAGGTACAATGCGTGGACAAAAGTCTCCGCCCGATCCCCATTTTTACCCCTTCCATCTACTACACCCTCCAACTCAATTGAACCATAACGCACCCAATTCTGGTGATAAAATTCTCAAATAAATTGTATTTAATAACTAAGTCAATAATGTGTATACCAACCACCGGCGCGCCTCACTGTAGCTATTCGGTCCTCTAATGACTCCATCAAGACCCGAACCTGCTCCGGATCGATCTCCGACCACGCCTGCTCAATTAACTCGTGTGCGTAGCGATAATGGAGATACTATCCTTTAATTCAGAAAATTCAGGCTCAATAGCACGTATCTTCTTCTTTAGAAGTCGCTAAACGTGCTCGATTAGGTTCATATCGGGGCTGTGAGGAGGCCGGTCGATACAGTGGATGCCGTGCTCCTCTATCCACTCCGGAACACCGCTAGTGAGGTGAATTTTCGCGTTATCTTGAACAAAAGGATCTCCAGCCTCGTAGAACAGAAGCAGGCCTTCCTCAAGAACCCATTTATATGACTCTGCGGATACTCCTCCGCGCGGAGCATCCGGATCGAGTGGGCAGAAGACCAACTTGCCTAGTCCTCCTTCTCCGCCGCGTAGCCAGATCATAGACCACACCATTATCGAAATACGAGATTTGCCGTGATCCGTCTCGTTCACGAGATCATAACGGTACCGCTCTGAAGAGAATCGGATGGCCCAATCGCCTGGATTATCGGATGAGTTTTGGACCGTACATTTGTCTGAGAACATAGCTCGCAACAACTCCTCCAGGCGCTCTGGTGTGCTATAATAATTGGTAAAAGCGAGCCTCTTCTGAGCGTCCTCATCCATGAGCTTGATTCGCTTCGCTGCGCGCCACTTCTGGAGGCCGTGTGTGTGACATATCCTCTTGATAGTCTTGGGAGAGCACGAAACGCGGGCTTCGTTTCGGATCTTCTGTTACGTCGCCCTGGGGAGCTCTCTCGCTTTCTCGATCACACGAGCGCGTTCGCAAGTATTCAAAACGGGTGAGCGACCGCTCCTTGGGGCAGATTTCGGTGTAGAAGTGGCCTTAAAGTTGGTGGTAATATCAGAGATGGTTTTCAGGCGCTTCGTTTAAAACGCGGTTGCAACATCCCTGTGCGTTCTGCCGTCGATTCGCGCCGCCATAATTGCCGAGCGAGCTTCTGAAGTGAATTCGCCGTTAGCGACGCGATTACCGCTCAATTCGTCCCCAAAAGATCGTAAATCCATTGTTAATTACGGTGTTGAAAGAGTGATGAAGTCGAAGGGTGATTGACGCGTTGTTTTGATCTGAAGGAGATTGTGGTGGGTCGGGCGGAGACTTTTGTCCACCCAGTTTAGCCCGGTGTGCTAGTCGAAACCCTGGGACCCCATGTTTGCGGACTGCTGCAAGCCTAGCAGCTGTCAGAGCTCATAAACTTTCGGTTTTCGAGCTCGTTTTGATGACCATTCGTAGATGAATGGTATGTAGAAAGCTCATCTGATGTTGTGTCCATGTTGCGCCGCAGGCCACAGGGGCGACAGACATACTGTGCGATGACCCGGGCGCCGACACCGTGTCGATTGCGCGATACCTCGGCTCACGACCTGCGGTCTACAGCACGATGCCCGATACCCATCTCATCGCCTCGATACTCGCGATCGAGTTTCTCAGTCTAACAGGCCAGCAATCATTGACCAATCTGACTTATATTCCTCACTGCCCTTCGTTCCGTGGACCAGGTCATACGCGCTTCATTATGGAGATCAACAGCCTTTTCGATGTCAAAGTACGTGTCCCGACCCGTCTCTCAGATCTACCACCTCACTGCAAAGATGATGCTTCAAATGCTGACATTTATCATAGGGGAAAGTCGTGCTAGTGACTGGAGGTAAACACCCCTCACAAAAGCAAATACCACGACCCTTCTCCATCCAGCCCAGCTGACCAGCCCGCCCACGCACCCCCCACAGGCGCGCGAGGCATAGGCCGCATGATCGCAACCGGCTTCGTCGCCAACGGCGCCAAAGTCTACATCGCCTCGCGCAACGCGCAGGCCTGCGAAGCCGCCGCCGCCGAGCTCACAGCCCAGGGGCCCGGCACCTGCCACGCGATCCCGGCGGACCTCCTTTCGCTGTCCGAGTGCGAGCGTCTGGTCGCCGAGCTGCGGCGCCGCGAGCCCGCCCTGCATGTTCTGGTTAATAATAGTGGTGCGACCTGGGGCGCAGCTATTGAGGAGTTCCCCGACGAGCAGTGGACGCGGATCCTGACGCTCAATTTGACGCGCACGTTTACGCTGACGCAGAAGCTGCTGCCGTTACTCGAGGCGGCTGGTAACCGCAGCGGCACCACCAAAGACAAAAACGAAGACGGCGGCCCGGCCGCCGTCATCAACATCGGTTCGATCAACGGGCTCAGCGCGCCGGCGGTGGAGAACTACTCGTACAGCGCGTCCAAGGCCGGGCTGCACCACCTGGGGCGCCACCTGAGCCAGACGCTGGGCCCGCGCGGGATCACGGTCAACACCCTCGCATGCGGGCCGTTTGACACGCGCATGATGGCGCACGCGTTCCGAAACTTCCGCGACGTCATCGAGGAGGGCAACCCGCTCGGGCGGCATGGGCGGCCCGGGGACGTCGCGGGTGCTTGTATCTTTCTTGCTAGCCGGGCTGGGTGAGTGATGCTTGTTTCTTTTCTCTCTGTTTCTCGTGGTTTTCTTCTCTGGTTGGTTCGGATGGGGAGAAAGGGGGAGGGTCTCCTTGGCCAGGTAGTATGGTATGCTGACAAGTGAGCAGGTCGTATGTCAATGGTGCTACGATAAACATTGACGGTGGTGTGCACTTGGGTGCTAAGCTGTAACAACATCTACATATTGCCCCTTCATCTCGAGGAGTGAGGCCAGAACGGGGTTAAGCCACATATAAGGACGGCATCCCAGCAGTGCCAAAGGAGAGGAATGGGTTTCACTTATCTAGGCGCCTCATCAAGTACGACTTCGAAACCTGAGGTTGAATAAACCCCTAATGGATCATATGGGAGGGTACTAGTGGTATATGCCTAGCTTCCCGTCACAGTCAACTGGAATTTACGAAGCATGTATATTAGCATCGTACGTGTAGATGAACGATGGGCTTACGTTCGTGGACATTATTTGTAATGGGGTATATCATCTACCAACAAACGCTCATCATGCACCCAGCATTGGGCTCTGCACAATGCTTACTTATAGTACATACTCCATACGGATTCTTACACGTCGCTCGCGGGCAAATGACTGCTATCTTCGCATCAGCTCGGTGGCCAGCATTTTTGTGATATCCGCAAAGTGTGCATGTTCAGACCCGGGAATTCGTCCAAAATATGAGTGAGTCTCAAATCCTCCCACCCCGACCCTTTGTCGGAAAGTAGGTGTGTGTAAGAGAACACCGTCGCATCGAACAGCCCCGGCTGCGAACTACCGAAGAACCAGGGTTTATTGCCCAACTCTGCTTCTAGAGCCCCGAAAGCCTCCCTTGCGCCGTTGTAGATAGCTTCGGGATCGATGACTAGTCTGCCGGTTGATTTGAGAATCTCCGATTCGGCAGCCCGTCTCAATTGGTACAATACTGTCGTCCTTACGGCCTGCGATTTGGACACCGGCGCAACGTAGAGACGCACGAGCAGAGCCGAGTGTGATGGGCAGAGGTATAGATGATAGAGCCACGCGTTCCGTATCCGGTGATCGAGTAGCGACTCGTAGGCTTCTAGTCTTGCACTGGATAGCTCGGGTAACTTGGAGATGCCATTGTCGAGGCCATGGTCGATGCCATATTGCTCGAGTTTACTGGACGGTATAGGAAGCGGAGATTTCGGGTCGTTTGGTCTCGTGGGAGGGAGGAGGAATGGTAGTGCCCCTGTAGGTGAGGCGTGGTTGCTCGAAGGCAACACAAGGAAGGCCACACCGGCCAGCCTGAGGTACGTCTGCGCTGAAGGTCAGCCTCGAATAGCCAACCAGCCTACGGGCGAGGAGTGGTCGCGTACCTGCCACCTCAGACAAGACGGATTATAGCTCGGCAAGCCTTCCAGAGCATCTTTATCCGATATGAAGACGTAGAGAGTCGCTACATGTGTGGTGCCGGGCGACCGGGCTGGTAGCTCGTTGGGAGGGTAGGTCAATAGGGGGAACTTCTTGAATAGTCGGGCTAGTGGTGCTGGTATAGTGAACCAGCCGGACGGTCCAGGTGGTCTCGGCCTTGAGCTGGTTGCATCCTGTGTTACTGACGCCATCATATGGGATGAGTCCGGAGCTGGCTATGATAAATGTGTCGTCGCATGAAAGCTGTCTGCTGTGCTCAATGCTCAATGCTTAATGGCGGCTGTCCTCCGGCGCAATGGGAAAGCTCCGTCAGAAATTTGGATAACGATAAGGACCGATAGCGCGATGACCGGTCGTGCCTGCCTCGAATGCGCGTCGCTTGTGTCGGTGTGGCCGTGTGGATGGCGGGCCGTCAACATCAGTCACCCGGCTGGCTGCTCCCGTCACGCCGCCGTTCGAGATTGGCCGAAGTTAGAGCGAGCCTCCGACAAATTCACGTTTTCCAGTCCCCGTCGGTTCTCGCCGAACCCACTCGGGTGGGTTATCCCAGCCAAGCGGTGGATTTCGTAGGGGTCTTGTCTCCAGAACTCCAGGTCCACGATTAGAACTTCTCGAAAGTAGAACCGAGAAGGCCAACAAGACCGCGCTGCCATCATCGACGGACTGTCCGACTGTCTGCTAGCTGCCAAGAAAACAGAACACCGGACTGCACAGTAATTTCCCGTCTTACTACTTACTACTGCAGTATATGGTTCCATGGTACCGAGTTTTCTTCATACCTGGCTGCCACTCAACAGGCAACTGCATCGATATACCGGTGTGCTGCTGCATACGGCAGCCTTGGCAGCCGGCGATCTCAGGCGCGAATCCTCGGCTGACGTGAGCTCTGCTCAGGAGTCAGCAGCTTATTTTATTATTAGAACAGGAAATCGGTAACCGTGCGAGGTTGCCGGTCTGCCGGTGCGAGTTGGGTGATGAGCAACCGACGATCATAGCCTTCATAGGCAAGTGCCAAGTTGCAACTGTCCTCCACGATCTGGGGCGTGAATGCGGGGAACGAACCCCTAGCCGAAAACGGTCTGTCGCGTGGGGTCATTGGGGTGGCTGTTCAATTGAAATCTGTCAGGTCCGTCTAGATTGTGGATCCCGTCAAGGAGCAGCAGCAGCACCACCCGAAAACACATCGTCGACTCGAGTGAGGAGATGAAGGGAGACGTCTCGCCACTAGGTAATCTCAGGAACCCAATGGTCGCCGCCAAGGCCGTGCAATACAAGAAAACCAGGCCGTTCCATACATTTCCCGGTGAGAAATGCACTGTCGGTTGGCAAGGCAAGTGAGAGACGGGATAGAAGACCCCGTTTGATTTCATGTATGCTGCAGACCGCACTGCAGGCTGCAGAGTCGGTCTCCTCCAGCTACGAGGTCGTTTCAGCCACATGTGAAGACGTATGTTGGGAGACGCATATTTGACAGGCTAATAATGCGTACTCACGGTCAGCGAGCCGCTCTCCCGCCTACCGAGTTGGTCAACGACAACATCAGAGAAAGAATCCGGTCCTCCTCCAGGCACCGTCACCGTTCCACAACAGTTGGTGATCCCCTCACGTACATATATCCATGGATGTATAGATATTCCGCCGCTCAGCATCCACTCCATGTACGATGATGTAGCATCCCGCTCAGGGACGACGAGATGAGAATGGAAGGGCCCGGAATTTGTCAAGGTCGCATTCGACCTTGAACTCTCCGGCCCGTTCCTACAGGTACGGATCTGCTCACCTTCTTCCATCCATGTTTTACCGTTACACTCGACGCTGCTACCTGGCAGCTGAGGAATCTCTTCGTGCATGGAGGTGTGTGTGTTAATAAGGTACGGCTATGGTAACGGCGTTGCCAATTTGCTTGGCTATATTGCTTCTGCGGGCGGACGACGTTGAACAGACTGACTACCTACATGAGACTATCACGACTGCCTATCGAGACCGATGTCGTAGTTTACTTCTTCGCCAAGCAGCATCTCAAAAGCGAGTAATGAAGCTCTCAGGAAGGCGATCTGGAAATCCAATCCCGCCGGTCTATGTCTATCCGAGTTTCCGTTTGACACTAAAATTGGACTTGGATGACGACGGGAAACCTCCAAGAAGCTATCTTGGAGCTCGTCCTCCTCCACTTCCCATTTTGAGGTCTGCCCTTTCCCCGAGAAAACCGCCTGCGGCAAAACGTACAGGCAGGACAGGCTAGCTCTTTGTCTCGATATGCCGTCCCTGCCCGTCTTCCCCGTCATCAGGATGGTCGTCTCGATTTCCGTGTATCTGTTGTCCCACCCACCCGGCTAGCGATGCAGGCTAGCTGGTCTCTGTCTTTCCACCAAGACGAATAGCAACAAGATCCCCCCTGTCACCGAGTCGCTCGTCTAGGAATCAACATCGTCATTTTGAGCGCTGCAGCGACGGAAACCCCGTCTCTCAAAACGCATTTCTGGCAATGTCACAATATATATATCTGGAGATATTACTGTTCACCGTGACCTGTGCCCAGCCTAGGTAGATTGCTCACCGTTACATTTTGCATCCACCAGCGTGACACCCTGCACAGCCCGACTGGAGAGAACCCGGTTACGGTCACAGTTTAGGGAGGAGAATCGACAGCCTGGGGGTGCTGCCCCTGGTCTCACATCTTGTCATCTGTCGTTGGAGAGTTTTATTTGGAAGTCGGGGTGAACACCCTTGACAACCACACAACCTCTTTAAATCCTGACCTGCCATCCTGTCATCCACACTCATCCTCTCAGCTTCCCATCGGTTATCAGGAGTACCGCGGCCCATTGAGAAACCGACGCCGGCACGCCTCTACCGAGTAGGAAACAAAGCAACATCCACCTCCCACTTTCTTGTGGCCGTAGAAACCAGCGTTTGGCTCCCTCACCTCGCCCCATCACGAACTCATTACTTGCGTGACCTTTCGATAGGTTCTCTAAGTTAGTAACGAAGACACCTGCGCATCTAGCTAGCTACGGTGGCCAGCTAGGCAACCAAGTCGACCAACCTTTAAACCCCGGCTGCGACGAGCGACTAATAACTCTCTCCTCGCCTTCTGCCATTTCCCAATCCGGACTCTCTCGTCAGCGGGAACAAGATAACACAAAGACACCCGCGCAAGGCTCTTCCCCACGCTCTCTCTTTCATCCCGCCCAACACCGCACATCAATAGACCGCAACCACCACCACCTACTCCAACGGAGCGATACCTAGTCTGCACCTGCAATCTATCTGTCGTACGACATCGTACCATCTGTGTTCTCTCGACATCGCAACTTGTGGAAGTGCGATCCAGATCAGGCGGCGCAAATACTACAGTCGACCTGCAGCAGCTGCAGCCAGCCGAGGCATTACAGGAAGATCACCACAATTCCGCGTGGAGAACATACCAGGTGCCACCTTGGCTACCCTGCCCGAAAATCTGCCAACTGGCAGCTCACGAGCTTCCACCATCTACCTCTTCGCCTTGCTATCTACCAACCCAAGGTACTCGCACACTTCGACCAGCGAACCCGAAACCACACACCTACTCTCTCCAACAACCCACAACCCGCAACCATGGACGCCCGCGCCCCGATCTCCTCGCCCACGGCAGCCTCGTCCTCCTCGACGCGCGCCTCGCCCTCAAACAGCTTCGCGCCGCCGCAGGCGCCGCAGCAGAAGAGCGCCGGCACCGACGCCTTCATCCGCGACCTGAACCTCGTCGCCGAGGCGGCGAAGCGCGCGCAGATGGCCGTGCTGATGCGCGATATGGAGGGCTTCGCGATATCATAGACGCCCGTCTCTACATGGTGCGGTTGCGGTTGCGCACGTGGCCTGCCAGCAGACGGTCTTCGCAAGTTCTTTGTTCTCACTTCCTATGGTGTGCTACTCGAGACACTTTAGACGAGGAGAGCCGAGTCTAGTCTAGAAGTTCTTACAGTAGGCTGGCAAGCTGGCTGGCTACTATCTTTCTACTGCATTTATCATTCTTCTGCATTGCATTGCGGGTCTGGCTGCGAATCGAGGCGAGCGGCGAAACGGCGAAACGGCGCAGATTTCGGCCGGTTTTTTCTTTCATCTCTTCTCTGGCTGTAGATGCAAGCGGACAGGCGGACACTACTAGGACAAGGCCGGATTGCTATGGTGGATTGACTGATTGGGCCCTTGATTTGACCGCCTTCCATGCGGTCAAATCGTCGGTATGTGGAGGGTGGAGGAGCACCATGCGCATTTACACGATGACGTGGGGGGTCCCCAGGAACGAAGACCTCACATTGGGGGGCATTCCATTCCTACCTCGGCAAACCCGACCATTCTTGGTCCCACGCAAGCACGCGACCGATTGAGCATTCATGCATTTCATTCATCGCCCCGTCCGTATACCGAGGACCGGCGCACCGCACGAAAACGGACTCGGTCAATGGAATTGGGAGACAACATCAATCAGGTGCTTGCAACTCATTACGATGTACACTGTCTCAAGTGCAGCGTCTCGCCGAGACTGAGTGGGCAATACGGCAACACTACCAACGACGGAAATCCCTCTGAAGAGAGACGGACTTGCACCTGAACACCACGGGAGGCATATTTTCAAAGACTCGCAAATGCCACACCCAAAGCAGTCCGCTTCCGCACAAGAGTTTCTCATATCTTTTTCTCGGCGCAAAGGACGTTGACGGAGTGACGGAGTGATGGAGTCCCGGACGGATGGATGGGCGCCGGATCAGCGCTCTAGACGAACTTTCCCTTTTTCTTTCCTTTTGCTTTCCGGCTCTCGCGAAGTCTTCGATATCTTATGAGAGGCGTCGGTGGTTCATACACAGTCCATAGGGAGATTGACAGACGGTCAGTCAGTCAGTCAGTCAGTCAGTCAGATACCAAAACCAAGAATAAACTATAAACCAATTCTACAACCTTGGACTGACTACCTTATGGGGATTGAAATATGTGTTCATATATCTATGTGAGAATGGGGTATGTACCCAGCAGCTTGAGCAAAAGTTCACCGCTGGCTGGTATGAATTGAACATCCTGCCGTATATACCTCCCAGGCAAGCGAGTCACTTACGATGAGATGATAGACCATCATGGCAACCTGACCAGATTTCGCTACCTCGTCTTCAGACGACTCGGCAGAGAGATGATGTGTAACAATCAAGTCTATTCAGCTAGCTACACAACCGAACTCGCATGCATACCGACATTCGGCGATCCTGGGTAGGTAGCAACCCGTTCAAAAATACTGCCGAGCCGATCCTCGCCTGTGTGTGTAACGCAACGCAATGTAACGCAACGCCATCGCAAACAAAGACTCGTTTGATCACCATAATTCGTGAGTGATTTTACGCCCATACTGCCACTGCTAGTTCCTGATTCGTACCACGCTAATGGGATATTAGCTGCGCCAGCAGATGGCCGTGCCACGAACCTCTTGCACCGGCGACGAGATACTAGTGTAGCGACTAATAAGAAGCCGTGATGTGACTAGAAGAAGAACCGACAAACAAAATGTCGATATCACCGACTGCCACGCGCGAATCCAAATCACAGAGTTATCCACCGCTGGTATGTCTGTTGCATGCGCTTGCCTCCCAGCTACGAAGGTGAAGCTCCCTCGCCTCCAATGATGTATAAGGACATTGAGGTAGATATATGTTGATGCCGTATGGACAAGTGGGTAGGTATTTTGGGAAGAGGGGAGGGGGTGGTGTCAAGTCCAGTCTGGTGGAAAACATTTGGGCATGTGTTCAAAGAGCTGAGAGGTGGCAAGGAACGTAAAACAGTCCACTATTGTTTAGAGCCAACACCGTGAGCATGCGTTCACCGAGACCTCAGACACCGTATGCAATAAAGACCTGAACTACCACAGCCGGATGAGCAAGAACCCAAGGCAATCAACGACCATAACTCCGGTCCCATGCCACTCCTTCCGTGACAAAGCAAATTTGAGAAGAGGAGAGGTCCATCTGCTTATGTATGGATGCTGGTCGTGAGAATCTGAGATGGTATGGGGTAGTGCCTGTCGAGAGAGTACTTCAGCACCAGCGAAAGGTGCTTAGACTCTCGCAGAAATAATGTAGGCAAGGCCGTTGTGAGTTGGTGCTAGCACGCCGTCAAGGCTTAGAATGGTTGAGACTTTGGTATCTCGTCGATGACAGACTGGATCGTAACTAGAGACCCAGGACCGCCATCTTCTCGAAGGTAATCGAGAAACACGCTGGTTTGCCCATAGAGGTTTTCTAGTGCTGAGCGCGAGGACTTTCCCAGAGAAGCTGTGAGAGACATTAGGATGCCAGTGCCAATGAGCAAAGGGGCGGCTGAACGTACACAGAATGGCTGAGTTGAGCTCTTCAGCAACTACCACTCTACCTTTCCGGTCAAGCAAAGGCGCGATCTCTTTGACCTCGAGCGGGTTGGTGTATGCAAGTAGAGCGAACACGTCATTGAGCGTCCTCCTTATCTCTCGTCTCGGATCGTCTTTGAATTCGGCTTCAAGAGCCTGGCCGTACTCGATCAGATCGTCTTCGTCCGCTTGGGGGTCTATAGCGTCCTCTTCCATGCTGTCCGAGAAGCCATTCTCGTCGACGTCCATCTCATTAGGATTGTCGTCGCCATAGTGACCATTACTCCTCTTATTGACTACAGAACTGGATTCTGCCGACTTTCGCACCATCTCGATGAACTTTCGACATCTTAATCTGAAGTAAACGCCGTGGTTGTCATCTAGCACCTGCGGGTAAAAGGTTCTGGTGAGTTTTAATGCCTTATCAATGTCGCCCTCCAGTATAGCTCGCCGAATGCCTACTTTGAGTTAGCAAGAAGAAGCTCTTGTGGGCGACGAAATGGCCTTACGTTGTCGATTGTGAGCATCATCGTCGTCCTTGATGTTGACACCAGCTATTGGAACGTCTGGGTTGATTCTGAGAGCTTGCTGCTCGTTCTGAATCTCTCTAGCAAAAGCCCGGGCACTCTCGACATAGCCGTCATGCTGTAGAAACTGCAAGACCTGGATTACAAGAGTGAGTCAATCTGACAGTGCTTCAGCCGATGGCTCGTGACTTACAAGCTGCTGAATGAGATCCGTCTCATTTATCGGCGGCGACATCAGCCTCTTGATACTGTAATAGTGAGTCTAAGGCCATCATATACGAGAAGAAGTCTTACCTGGTTCTTGAGATGGCGTCCTTGATCGTCTCCTGCTCGTCCTGCATCAAGTTTGTCAGTGTTAGGTCCTCATCGCGTAGTCCGCATCCGGCAAAGTAGGTCGCAACGAATGAAGGACCGTAGGAAGATGCCGGTGGCTCGTTCACATTAGCGGAGACGTACCCTCATAACTTTATCAATGTCGTAGTAGAATGGAGATTGGCCGAAGTTCACACGGATATGTTCGCCGGTTTTCTTCACACCAACGGCAGGGTACAGCTTCCCCTTGATGTCACGAAACGCAACGCCTATGTCGTGGTCAGATCCTAGGTCAGAAGACCGTCGGCGCATAATGCGAAGTCGAGTTTGGAGGGTGATGAGAGGAAGCATACCCTGACTGATTCCGTTCTTGGTGAAGAATACCTGACCAGTACGGAAGTTTACGCCACATCCCACAACATCACCAACACCAAAGGTATCCTTGTATCGCTTTCCCACGTTGCCGCCGGAGTAAACATCGCCATCGTCGCCGTGATAGCCCCATGATTCAGGCTCCCATCCGGGTGGCCTGTTGAGGTTCACGTTCTTGCCTAGGAAGCCAATGCATACGGTGGTCCTAATGTCACTCCAGTTAGACGCGACGAGCACCCGTTACAAGAAACTCTGACATACTCGTCTCTTCTCTTACCCATCAAAATCACCTCGAAGTAATATATGCCCGCCTGCGTGGGCATGGGGTGATTTGCACGGATTGAGCACACTTCATGTTCTTGTTCCCTGGAATTCCGGACTGTCTGGTTGTATTTGACCTCGAGTCCATCGACGGAAACCTCCAATCCGATAGATTTGTCTTGCGTGCTCCATCGCGTCGGCAGGGGAGCAACGGGCTGATCGCTATCAAAGGCGGGTGCTCGCTCAATCAAATCATAGGTCATCCCCAGATGGGACGCTGGTGGCTTGCTGCCCAACGAAGCGGAAGCCGGACCTGCCTGCGATCCACCACCACCTGCTTGTTGCTGGGTCTCTGTCTGTACTCGTTTTGCCTCATGAGCCTCCCCGAGCTTCTGTATGTAGCTGGACCCCCGCAGATACGATGGTGTGAAAAAGCCACTGTTCATATGTGGGGTGTAGAAGGCGTCTGGGGAATCACTGTCCATGAACCTCTCGAACGCTCTCGACAGCGGCGGCAGCTGCGGGCCTCGGTGTGCTGAGCCTGATGCCCCTCCATCCGGGGAATGGCCGTGGTGTTCGGGACTCATGCTGTGGTGTCGGGACGATGGACGGGTCGAGTAGAGATCGGAGGAGTCGTTTGCGGGATTGAGGAGGTATTGTAGGCGGTTCGTCCGAAACGAACTCGATGCAAGGCCGGGGTTGGAACCGGATACTACGGACGCGTAGGAGGATCTGATACGAGGTAGGAAGCCAGTAAATGTTACATCTGGATTGAAGCCAGACGGGCCATGTTGGAATGGATTCGTCATGTTAGGGTGTTGTTCGCGCCGACCCGTGAACGGGCAGATTGGTGGGCTGGCACCGGCCAAGTGCGCAAGTACCTTGCCGGCCAATGGTCGTGCGTTCAACCTTCCAAGTTGCTTGGGGGAGCTGCAGCAGGACACGAAGCTACCTCAACCAAGAGGGTTGCGGTTTCGAGGACGAGAAGGTGCTCGACAGCTCTGGTGGCGGAGGCAAGAAAGAGCCGCGGTGACTCGGTAGGTATGCAGTGATAGTTGAAATAATCAGTTACGGGTAGAGGTGGTCTTGAAGAAAGCTTGGCCAAAGGTTGCTCAAGACCGGCTTAAGATGTTGGCTGAGATAGCATGACCAACTCGCTCGCTCTATAGATTGATCTTGTCTGTCTGTCAAGATGCCTACATGTACTGCAGGACGCCGGTCAACACACAGAGATTTGCATCGAGTCAAAGAACAATGTAGTCTATGGTAGGCGAGGTCGTGTGGCAAGCTCCAGGTTGCATGGATGTGAGATAGCTGGATAGGTGATGTGGATGTCGAGTGGTGACCCGATATGACCCATGGACCCATGCGGTCGATAGGCGACTGCGGGGAGGCAGTGGCAGCTGTCGGAGCCAGCCGTGCCAGTTGTCAGTCTACGACAATTCACCAAGCGTCAAGAGCGGCTATCACCTGCAGTGCCAACTGCCAAATCAGTCACGAGGTCAGGAGGTTGTCGCATGTCTCGCGCCGACCCAATTCTGATAGTATTAGCGTGGAATGGAGTTATCAATGCGCCTGCATGCGGTGCTCGACCATCGATTCTTGTTGGTGTTAGGTTTGCCACTGGGTGTGTTGGAATCAACTCTCTCATGCCGCAAAAGGACACGAACGATGAGAGACATGGGTTGTTGTTTGGTCTCTACAAGGTACGTTCAACACGGCATGGAAACGTTGGAACTTGAAAACAACACAACCACGCACAGCCACCCCAGCCGGGTACGTCAACATAGACTTGTATGGCTGCCGGCGATAGATCATGCAAGCCCGCCTTGCATTACCATATCTTTACGCGTGCATATCGGCATGCTGTATATTTAAACATAAAGGGTCAAGCCGCCGATAACGCGGAAAGGGGGCACTTCAGTGGGCATGGATCTCATATATTTCTTGATTGGTGAATATGCATTTACCGGGGGACATAGGGACTGTCCCTTCCACAATGACCTGGATTCAGGCGCCCAGGTCGTGTTGACTCCTTGAGTGCTAGAGATAGACATCTTATTGGAGTCATTCTCTATCCAGACGTATCGATAACATACTACATGCTTCAAGTGAGTGTACACTGTTCATAGAACACAGACCCCTGAGTTTTGAAGCAACGTGACTTGGTTCCCGGTAGGCCTTTTTTGGAAGGACCCAGCTATTGACCCAAGCTTGTGCTTCGAGACGGCATATTGGACATATGTTGTTCCCTAATTGTCCCAGGCTGTCTGAAGAATGTGATCTTGGTTCAGTACAGCTAGTCAACCGTATCAGTTACTCACATACTCCTGAAAGGAGCGACACACATGTCTACCTGCGTGGGTAGGTAGTAGATAGTGTATATGGCTGTCAGAAAGACAGCCCATGTATTTTTTTGGGCCGAGTAACACGGCACGATTACTCTGTATTGTACACGTACACAATCCTGTCGTATATCTCTGAACTCGCCCGTGTCAAAGCAGCGCTAGACGGCTACCTTACTCCGAAGAACGACTTCTCGAGCCCGTCATGGCTTTGCGAACCACCTGAGCGACCAGTGGTTCTGTGGTGAACTCCTCTTTATACTACAAACAGAAACCTGAACGCCGTGCTTTTTGTCAACTGAACTCCGTGAATCCCTGATAACACTGTATCGCTGACAATGGTGGCGTGAAAGGAACGTAGGCGCAAATGAAGATCATGGGTTGTACATGGCTTATGAAGCAGCGGCAACAGGCATGGGGACCGGTGAGCTGGCGCTGACACTGGGCGGCAGGCTACGTTGTTCATTTTCGACGTTGCTGTTGCTGTTGTTCTCGCTCGGCTTCTGGCTGCCTTCCTTGTTTTCCTTGTTGCTACTCTCGGCAGAAGCAGCCGATTCTTCAGTGGGGGTTTCCGGCTTCGATCTCGGGGGTGCGGTCCAACGAGGGACCTCCCACATGACACCAGTGAAGCTTTTCACCCTGAACCCGCCTTTGCCCCATTTGCGACAAGGGGCGCCAGATCGGTCGAGGGCGCGGAGGCCCGCATTGATGGCTCCCTGGTTCGCTTTCGGTCCAAGCTTGTGATATGTACCTCCATTGCCTCGCCCTGTAGGATCGATGGTACCATCCTCCCTATTAGACTTGATTAGCAAGTGATCTTGGCAAGTGTGAATGCCATGAAGCCTCAAAAACGACAATGAGCGACAAGGCCCATGCAGCGCAGTGGCCTTCGAGATGGACGTTGGCACAAAGAGGAATAGTTGGCACTCACAGTCTGGGCTTCTTCTTAGGACCCGGCTTGCCTCTGATCTTAGCTGTCGGGTCATTGCCATTTGCTCCGGCTGCACTTCGCTTCACACCCTTCTTCTTGGGAGCTTCGCCCGGGGGCCCCATCGGCACTTGCGACGGGGTGCCGCTGGCGGCTGGTGTACCCGGACTCGACGGGGTGGCATTATCACCATTCGATGCGGTAACAGTGGTCTCGTTCGGAAGGGTACTCGATGTAGCAGGTGACTCCTTGACGGGCGACTCCTCCTTGACGGGCGACTCCTCCTTGACCGACGATGGATCAAGCAGTCTGCGTAGCTTGTCGGGGGCCACTCGTAGAGTGACAAGGGCCGATGACTTGCCCGTTGACTTTCGGCGGTCCTTGTCCTTGCTGGGACCCGACGTCTTAGTCGTAGACGGCATGGCGGCGATGCTTGATGTTTGGTTGTGTCAAGCGTGCGATGGCGAAAGTGGTGGTGTTGATCAAGAGTTGGGTGAAGGCTGGGAAAAAGGAATTGTTAGGTTGCAAGCCTTTGGTGGGATGGTGCAGACGTTATTCGTTCAGGTTGGGTCAGGTCATCAAGCCGATAAAGTGTTTGGGCGATCCACCAGATCCGACTTCCAAAGCGCAAGGGGGTTACGCTGGCCTTCTGGCTGATTTTTGCTTGTCGGGGAGGCGAGGCGTGCGTGGTGCAGTCTCTGGTTTGGGCGATAGGTTGCCGTACTGAACTTGCTTGGCTGGCTGGCTGGCTGGCTGACCGCCTAGGCGCTGCGGTGGTGGTGCGTTGCGGTGTTGGTGCGGCGGTGATGCTGATGCTACTCTTGCCGGGGCCGCACCGACGGGTGGTGGTGACGATGACTGATGACTATTTGGCTATGGGGTGGCAAGGCAGAGGGTGGACGGTGATGATGGGAATGGAGGAGGGCGATGGATGGGAGAATGGCTAATTATGGGGGGTGCCGTGGCCATTGTTGCCCTTTGGTGAAAAGTTTGGGGCTTTGGTCTCATTTTGATGGTTTTGGCCGCAGCGCACAAGACTGGACTGGGCGACTGGGCTTGACGGGATGCTTTGCTCATGCTTTTTGGGCATTGGGAATTTGTGAGGAGCCAGAGCCAGCCAGGCGTCTGCGTCTCCGTCTCGGTGGTGCGTGGGTTCAGTTTGGGAGTGTGGAGTTGGGAGTGTCCTTCCCACCTTCCCCCTGCTTCTCAAAGTGCTAGTTCTCATGCAGTTAGACTATTCTGGTTACAACCTCTGTGGTTGGCCAGAATGCATGATGGATCACGTGACTCGGTACGTACTCCCACCCGCTCAGACCACATACAAGAGGTACCTACCACATGCAGCCCGGCCGGGTTCCAGCTCCTCTAACAAATCTCCAAACGCGGTTAATGTGCATCGCGACACTTTGCCGTTTGCAGCCAGCGGACTGATGACACCCTGCTGTCGCCTGTCTTCCATTTCGGCTGGCCTAACACCTCTCACCTGGACTCCCGTCTCTCCCGTCCAAAGCACTTGACACCCACGCAATACATCGCTGGCCTTTCCGGTCATATCCCCATTGATAATAGTTTATATGCAGAGATCAACATCGCCCCTGATTGTACGATGTAAGGGAGGACGTGGTGGTCGGCTCCATCTCTTACGGTTCCAGAGGTCGAGAGCGAAGGAATGCATCTATGTGCATCCGTCAACCATGCTTCGCCTTTACGGACATTACGCCGACACGACACCGTTTGCTGCTGATGTTGGTTGCCTTGTTGGCTCCCTGTCTCCGTCATGCGTGATTTTAAAATTGGACAGAACACAGCCAACCGGTATCATAATCGCCAGGCTAGTAGTGCAGCTGATGCTTAGGTAGTGCTACTAACCAGACATCGCGCCAGCGTCAACAAGGTAATCAATCTGTGAATGACATATGACTTTTTCGCAAACTCGCCAAGTTCACGACCAAGGTTCCACGCACAGCCCGCTGAACTTTGTGGCCTCCGCCCTTCTCAACACCAAGCTTGACTGACCTTTCGTGATGTGACATGCAGGTCGAACCGACCGCGTCGCACAGACTAGCCAAGTTGAACTTCATGTCTTGACTGGTTTGGGCTGTCAGTACATGTACAGTCATCCCTCATGCCTCATCACTCTCAGCACACCTGGGCAATTCTTTTTCCTAATGTCTACCCATGACGCTACCATAAGCGAGCGCCCTGGAACAAGCAGTTATGTTCAGAAGAGCTACTTTGAATGCTCAACCAGAGTCATATTCCACCCTGCGATGGCTCCCACTAAAATATCCAGTACTTCGGTTGAGTGGTGTACGGGGACTTTTGCCAATCCTGTGTGGCGACCAGGGAGGGAAACGGCCCCTCCAGCTCGCTCGAGTCAGCGATAAGCTCGCAACCGGCGTCGTCATCGTGGCCTCTTTCGGGATCGGCAGCGAGTCTGCGAGTGCGTTAAAATAACCCAAGGTCGCTCGCTGTCCTCAACCTTGAGGTCGATCCAGAGTCTCCCTCATCACGACGGTCCCAAAAATCTCAGCGCATTCGACAGCCATCCAGCGTGGCGGATGTGCTCCAAAGTGGAATAATAGGTTGGAGCGTGTTTGCATAGCAATGCTCTCTAGCCCAAGTCAACACCGTCATCACCAATCAGCCAGCCTTTGGCCCATGTCAAACAGCCAGTTGATATCTTCACAGGACTAATTGAGTACACGATGCGGGCTAGGTCGTCTCCGAAGATGGCGGGTACATGAAGAGTCCAGAACAGCGTCTCACAATCTGGACACAATTGATTGTTGGCCAAACGGCCACCCGCTTCTCGGATCGCCAACATTGAAGTTCGGTGACAAATTTCTTCCAAGCCAGCAACCAACCAACAGCGTCTCGTGACATTTATGGACAAAGACGCCGATAATCATCTTCCCGGCACCAGCAGCTGATAGTGTAATGGGTATTTCGAAGCCGAAGAACCCCTTCTCTTTCACTTACTATCCTCAATATTTCCAGGCTATCATTTTCCAAATTCAACACCATACGGTAGTAACCTGTGCTGACTCATTTCATATCTCACAAATCACATCGCGAAACTAAACGGGTAATCATGAAGATCACCCTGACTCTCCCTCGTCTGTTATGTCTTATTACATGGCCTATTGGTCCCAGTGCGAGCAAGGCCTGCCATCAGTTGCGCGGCGAAGTGGCCTGTGATGAAACCAGCGAACAGACGAGTTCCAGCAGCAACACTACCGATCTCGAACCTCGTGTAGAGCCAACTAGCCCGATAGGAGTGCAAGCAGCGGCCTTGTACGATCACGATGCTTCTTGGCTAGGAAAGAGGGCGACAGAGTTGGATGATCAGGAAGACGAGTTGCAACAGATGATGGAGAGTTTGAACAACGCGACAAATCAAGCAATCAGATACATGAGGGACCTCGCGGCCTCGGTCGAGTCTATGTCCACAAAACTGTCGATGCTAGCGACTGGAGCAAGCACTACATCGGCCGCATGGAGCAGCGAAACCACGACAAGCAGCACAAAAGATCAAGCGTCTTTGACCGAGTCAAGCGCCAGTGCATCACTTCCGACGCCGACCTCCACGAGACCAACCCAAACAGTGAAAGTTGTACCCGTCACTATCAGCGGGATGCCATCATCGACCACTGTGACAAGGCTCCTCACATATCCCGTGCCAAGCTCTGGTGCGGCCGAGGTGTCCGAATACACTACCACTACAACTTTAACGAGTACCAGCACCATCACTGTGACCGTACCGCCAAGCGAGACCTCCATGACCATCAAGTCTACGCGACGGTCAAGTCCAACATCCTACGTACCACCTGCATCTTCAGCCACTTCTGCGACGATGTCATCAGGGCTGTCCCTTCCCACCGCCATCACTACACCGTCCACAAGTAGCGACACTGAGCTGTACTTCATTACGGTTAGCGACTCATCACGGTCGACGAGTACCGTTCACACAACCGTAACCGTCTCCGACGACTGTTGGAACGCAACGACTACATCGAAGCAAGCTTCAATAACAGCAACGAAAAGCCAGGCTGGCAACGTCACCGGCTCTGGCTCTGTCCGTCCGAGCACGATCCCATCTCACCCACCTCTTCCAGGAACAAACACCAGCACCACCTCTTCCAATGCCGCCAGCACCGGCCCCTTAACAGTCACAGCGTTCCTATCTATCACTAGCTCCAGCTCTATGCCTATCGCCAGCTCCGGCTTTATACCTATCGCCAGCTCCAGCTCTGTGACCTCCAACACGAACTCGTCCCGGCCAGTCACTTCGGCAGCAGGTACCAGCCCCAGCAGCACCGACTCCAGGTCCACCACGTCAAGGCCCACATCGCTTACAACGCTCTTGCCCGTCACTTCGGGAGCGTCGTCAGGCATGCCCAAAAGGAACCACATCGCACGTCATCTGGGCGCATTGCACCACCCGCTGACGTATATCACGACCGTTGCGAGCTCGATACTCCACAGTACGGCGTCGACGAGTGTGCCCAACGATGCGGAGTCGGCGAGGGATCGGTAGTCGTGGCTCGGGTATGGAGCCCAGCGGCTGGACCGCGGGTTTGGAGATTTGATGATATAGGATAGGTGCGCTGGAGAACACTTATTAGTCCCAGAAGGATGACGGATATGCAGAAGGCGGTTTGCTATCCCCACATTACGGATTGATAGGATTCTAGGACACAGACTGATTGCATGGACATAGAAGGTTGACGGTTTTCAAGGAGACTTGGGTAGCTTTGGATTAATAGAATGGTATTGATTATCTTGTTGCCAGTAGAGATAGCAACCTGTTCTCACGATGAATATGTGACTGTTCCTTATCAAGGTTCACGATGGCGTCAACCGTCGCGGGAACCTTGATGGCTAAGACAATAAATAGAATGGTATTATTTGAGGTATAGACGTAGTTCGTCAAGTCATATCTACTCGTTTCGCACATATCGCGTGCCTCCTACGGAGCGTGAGTTTCCGCTCACAGCGGGGAACGAAGTATGTTACACTCCCCGACCAGAAGTCTCCGAGCCCACTTTTCGAGCAGCCCTACACGCCTACACCTTCCAACTTTCAGCATTCACCACGCACCCATCTCTCACTGTAATAATATGAAAAAAACTGTATTATATAAGCCATTCAATAGTGTGTGTACCAACCACCTGCCCTTTTCACTACGGGGATTCGGTTGCCGAGAGATTCGACGAGAACGCGTACATCCTCAGGATCGATCTCTGACCACGCCCTTTTGATTAACTGTCTGGCATATGCCTCGTGGGCAATATTAGCCTTTAAATTAGCGAAACCAGGCTCGATTTCTCTGTATCTGCTTCTTTAAAAGTGCCCAAACGTGCTCAATCGGGTTCAAATCAGGGCTGTGAGCAGGCCAGTCGATCGTCCAGATGCCGTGCTCCTCTAGCCACTCTGGAGTGCCTCCAATTCGATGGATGCGAGCGTTATCTTGCATAAAAGGATCCCCAGCCTCATAGAACGGAAGGAGCCCTTCCTTAAGGACGTCTTGATATGAAGCTGAAGATACTCCTCCGCGAGGAGCATCCTCATCGGGCTTACAGAAGATGATTTTGCCTAGGCCACTTTCTCTGCCGCGTAACCAGATCAAGGCCCAACACATAATGGAGATACGGGGTCTCCCATGACTCCGAGGATTCACGAGATCCTGCCTGTAACGTTCAGAAGAGAGGCGGATGACCCAATCGCCCGGATTATCGGGTGAATTCTGGACCGTGACTTTGTCTGAGAAGAGTGTTCGTATCAGCTCTTCCAGAGCCTCTGGGGAGTCGTATTTATTACAAAAAGCGAGCCTCTCTCGTGCGTCATCTTCCATAAGCTCGATCCGCTTCGCTGCCTTCCATTTGCGAAGCCCGTGAGCGCGAAGAACGTGCTTGATAGTGGTATGGGAGTTGAGGACCCTGCTCTCCTCTTGAGCTCTCTGTAGGTGGCTCTGGGGTACTTTTGTGCCATTTCAACTAGCTGAGCTTCTTTGCGCTTGTTTAGAGTCCTTGTGGCTCCCTCTTGAGGTCGAGAGACCGTGGTGTTATGTTCTCTAGTAGTGTTGATACTGTCAGTCACGGTTTGAGGCCGATCCAGATGGAACGCGCTCGTGACATCGTCGCGCCTTGCGCCTGCCGCCCTGGCAGCCACAATAGCTGCAGGAGCTTCGGAAGTAAATTCCTGGTTTGGCCCGCGATTTGCGGTCAGAACTGTACCAACCTTTTGTAAATCCATCTATTTGGTGTTAAGTAAATAAAAGGTGAAGAAGGAAGGGGGTCGCGAGCGCCTAGACGCGTTTTGAAATTAGCGTGGTGGATGCTCGGAGACTTTTGGAGGGTCAGTGTATCAAACGTGCTCAGAACGAGTCCACGCTTGAGCTAGGTCCGGTCCGGCAGAAGCGTTCACGTGCCAGAGGCCGGAATCTTTTCCGGCCACGACCGGCGCACGGCGGCTTGGGCGGGGTCCCCTACCCAACCCACCTCATCGTGTGTCCCGGATGACACAGATTAACACCCTGCTGTACCACGCTGAAAATCAAGGGGATGTTTAAATATTGAAACCATTGAATCTTTATATAATTACCAAAAGTAACCCAACATTCCCAGCACATGACAAGTATGATGCTCGAAAGCCCCTATCCGGCATATCGAGATCACGACGAACGTGCCATGGAAGCCGCGTTTCGGCGGTGGAAGAGTTGGCAGCATGTGAGACGAGTACTAGTTCCATGATAGCAGATAGAACCTTAAGGCATGTTCATTGGCGTGGTCTCACCGAGGGACGGACGGCGTCGGGTGCTTATCATAGCAAACGCCACCTAGCCCGATCCCTCTGGTGGTGGATGAGGCCGGAACTGTTCCGGCCACGAAGTATATTACCAGAACCCAGCACCCGAGCCCACCGGTTCGAATCTTGACTCTAAAATAATCAGACAAGCGGAATCACATGAAAGTTCATAGCAACCGCAAATCCAGATATTCATCAAGACAGTACTCAGTCTCCCCTCCCTTGCCCATCATGCTAATCCCCAACTCGTCCTTCGAGGTCCTCCAGGACACCAAGCCGGACAATGTCTCCCTCCCGGCCTTCATGGTGTCGGCGACGCGGGGCTTCCTGCCGCGCATGAACCCCATCGTCACCCTTCCACCAGAGTTCGATGCTGTCGAGACGCTCCTACAGGCCATGCCCGTCCAGACCCTGTCGGGCGAGCCAGGCCTCCTCGCTACAGGACAGCTGGGCGACGCCGTGCTGCAAGAGCTTCCCGACCTGACTGAACAGGTCGAGAAGTACTGCGATGACCTGCCCATGATGAACGCCCTGTACCGCGACTACTCCTTTCTCGCTTCGGCCTTCCTGCTGGAGCCGTGCCATATGAGATTCATCAAGGGCGAACCGTACGGGCTTGGTAAAGCTTTCTTGCCGGCTCAGCTGTCTCGTCCCATTGTTCGTTGTGCTGAACTGTAAGTGCTCGTCACCATACATCTGAAGCATCCGTCCCTGACAGTTCTCAGATGTGGATTCAAGCCCTTCATGGAGTATGCCGGCTCATATGCTCTCTTCAATTACCGTCTCCATGATCCCGATGGCGGGATGGACTACTTCAATCTGCGCCTCATCCGCGCCTTCGAGCACGGCCTCGATCCTTCTTCATCGGAGGCCGGGTTCGTGCTGGTGCACGTCGAAATGGTCAAGAACTCAGGCGGGCTCGTAGACGGCGCCATGGCGAGCCTGTCTGCCCTCGCCGACAACACGAAAAACAACACCATCGCCGGGCGCGCGTCTCTCAATGCAGGCCTGCAGACCATCCTCGCCGCCGCGCGCCGCGTCAACGACGTCATGGAGGGCATGTGGACCAAGTCGAAGCCGCGGTCCTACACCAGCTTCCGCACCTTCATCTTCGGCATCACGTCGCAGTCCATGTTCCCCCACGGCGTGGTATATGAGGACATCAACGACGGCCAACCACTCAACTTCCGCGGAGAGAGCGGCGCCAACGACTCCATGATCCCGCTGCTGGACAACTTCCTGCAGATCACGATGCCGGACACGCCCCTTACAGAAATCCTGCGGGATTTCCGCGAGTACCGCCCGAGTAACCACCGGCAGTTCCTCGTCGAGGTCAAGAAGGCTTCTTTGGAGTTGGGGCTGAGAGACTTCGCGCTTGCGGTTGACGTAGACGCGAGGGCGGGTACTGTGTCCGAGGAGGAGATGCAGCTGGTGAAGGAGTCACGACTCCTGTGGCTCGAGCTCCTGAACCAGGTGCGCGATTTCCGATGGCGGCACTGGTGCTTCGCGAGGGAGTATATCCTCAAGCAGACGTCTCACCCGACCGCCACGGGAGGCAGTCCCATCGTCACCTGGCTGCCCAACCAGCTGCAGGCCGTCATGGAGGAGATGACGGAGATTTACGAGGGCGTCGGTGGCCGGGCTGGGCCGATGGATCTCGGTGCTGGGTGTCGGGATATCATGGATCTTGTCGAGCGACAGAGGCTGACGCTGCGAAAGGAGGTGGACAAGTATTGTCAGGAGCGCGGTGTTGGATCTGATTGAGAGACTCAAGTTTATTTCAGGGGGGTAGCGTTGGAGCTCTAGCTGCAACTGATAATGATTCTTGTGCGTGCGCACAAAGGATGTGGAAAGAGCGATGTCGTCTTGATGCGTACACGGTCAGCTCCACGGGCATGAGTGGTTCTGCAGGCCAATGGGCCCACACCCCAACCTTCTTCCTACAACAACAACTTCAGAGGCATTCGCGGTCCGTGATCGAGTCAAAACCTGTGCCTTTACGTTGTTACTCCATCATAATCTTCCAATACTATCAATTATGTCTTCCTAAGTGACCTCTAAGTAGCTCCACGGGCATCCCTTCAGAGCGGAGCGACCTGTCTCCACCACTCCCCACGCTCTGTCATCGTGCCGGATACGCACATTGAAGATTCGGAAAGGGGTGTGATGCGTGATCAGGGTATACATCCCGATGCCGGCAGTGGGCGCCCTTATGACCTTCCATTTGATATCCCTTATCTGTGGCAAGCACGTCTTGACATTCGTCGAGTACGACATGACGATACCGTCCAGACCTGGGGTCATTATGCGTGTCCATGCATCCATCATCCGACGTGGGGCTGCGCTGCTACTGCTAGTTGACCCCCCACGGAAGCAGGTGGTGATAGGAGACTCCGCTACACGTAGACTGTGTGAGTGGATCGGACTGGAGAGAAGCAGGCACCGCCGACCCGGAAACTCTGTTGACGTGCCGGCCTCGCAGTGCAAAAGACTTAAGGTTCATATACTCGTACCTTACGACTTGTGATTCATATCGAGGGCAACTGCACTTGCCTCCTAGTTGTACAAACTCCCGTCTCAGCTAACTACCTCTAGGTGTTCAACCTAAGCCCGTCATCCCTGGAAGTTCATCCCTTCAACAACAACAACAACAACAACAACAACCCCAAGAAGTAGTATAAACGCCACTTACTTTCATCGATAACTTGACAGAACCATCTTACTATAGACGCTTCTTGCTCTCATCGACAACTTGACGAAGCCAGCTTAGCACAGCTCACCAGCCATGGATTCCCACGATGCAGCAGACCTCGTGAACCCGCTCCACCCGTCGGTGGTCGGTCTGGTGGATCCAACCTACGCTGAAATCTACACTCAATACCAGGGTAAGCCATGATGACTTCGAGATGCGGGCCGTCCGGATGCTTACAGGTCCTTAGCTCCCAAACTCCGAGCGGACCAAGTACCATACGAGGAGTATATCAAGGACCCGCAGAAGTACACCTTTCCCACCCACGAGGTCGCCAGCACGTCCCCGGAGGTAGCCAGCAACGAGATCTATCCAGTCACTGTCTGGAGTCCACCAGGCAAGATCCAGGTGCAAGTGTATGTGCCCACGCCAGACGCTATAGCCAGCGGCGGCCTCAAGAATGACGATGGGCTACCGACGCTGGTCAACTTCCACGGCGGCGGGTTCGTGCTCGGAGGCTTGAAGGACGACGAAGTTCTCTGCCGGCAACTATGCCAAAGAGTGGGCTGTATCGTGGTCAACGTCGACTACCGCACAGCCCCTGATTACCCGCATCCGACGCCCGTCTTGGACAGCTGGGAAGCGCTGCAATGGGTCTTCAAGTGGGCCGAGAAGTACAACATCGACCCATGGAGGGTCGCGGTGAGCGGACTGTCTGCTGGTGGATGTATCGCGGCTGTGCTGTCCATACTTGCCCGAGACAAGCCCACGCGGCCGCTGGTTCTCCAGCTGCTCATGGTGCCTCTGGTCGACGCGCGTTTCGTCCCCCCGTCGGTCTCGTGGGGGCCGAATCCGTACCATAGTTACGTCCGTCTGGAACACGCTCCAATGCTGCCTCTGGTGAGGCTGAGCTGGTTCTACAATCTATGGCTGGGAACGGACGAGGGCCGAGAGGAGAAGGTAAAGGACTTCCGCGCTTCCCCTATTCTGGCCGAATCGCACGCCAACCTGGCGCCGGCGTCTATACGTTGTGCGGGCGTTGACCCGTTGGTCGCGGAAGGGATTGCATACTACGACAAGCTGAAGGCGGCTGGCACACAGAGCAAGATCAAGGTCTATAAAGGACAGGGGCATACGCTACCGCATTGGGACGGTGCGAACCCTGCTTCCAAGGTGTTTGTCGAGGACTGTATTGGAGACTTGAAGGGGGCATTTTCCGAGAAGAAGATCGAAGCATGGGATGACGGAGAGCTTGGGGACACGATGAAGTTGCTTAGTGAATAGGCTAGTTTCTCAGCAATAGACCAATGAGACAGGAGAATACATGTATAACGGTCTGCATACTTGATTCGGCATTGACAACTTCTTTGAATTACCAGGATCGCCATCTCGGGTTTCATGAGATGCTCTTACTCCTGAGCTATCCGGCCGATATGGGAATAATTTGCGTTGATGCTTCTCATATGTAAGTCTGCGACTCTGCCCATTGCCAGATCAGTTGAGTGTGAGTGAAACTCATACACACCGGCATCTTGAACTTCGCAAGAGATTTACATCTTCCATCAAACCTGTCGATCAGTCTCAGCTACTGCTATCGGTGGAAGCTGCAGGTACAATAAGAAATTCTCCAAAGTGTCAATGATACACGTGCTTCTGCCATCGTCAGAGATTACAAAAGACGGAACAGACTCCCTCCAAAAGCCTCGAACATCTTCTGGTACAGTCGTGATACCATGTTATGCCTTGGAATGAGTCTCAAGTCCTCTTTCGCGCCGTCTAAGGTTGAAACGGCCATAATGAAAAGCCAACGAGACCCGCTGTTTGGCTGTCCGGTATAAGAACGTCAGATATCAGTATATAATAAATGGTGGTTCGTTTCTCGATTTCATACCACCTCTAGACAAGCCCGCAACAGGAACTTCCATCATGGCACAATTTCCTCAGCTGCGGCTTGAGCTTCGGTTGAAGATCTGGCGAGTAGCAATACTCGCAGCGAACCGAAGGCGCCTGATTCCCCTCGACGAACACTATCAGGTGCTGATGACCAGCCATATGGAGAAATCGATGTTTGATATCAACAAAGAGAGCCGTGATGTCGCGCTGACTCTCTACCCCGTCGCACTGCCTGTCTCATTCCACTACGACGTTGATACCGAAGGTGGTTTAGTCGGAAGCAACACGGAGTCATGCGACGACGACTTGATATCCATCGAAGGAGTTATTGGGTACGCAGGCTATTTCCACGCTTCCCGCTCACAGGGAGTCGTCCGAGTCAGTCCAACGCACGACATCTTCGTGTTAAACTGCAACACCTTCATCTGGGACTCGCGCTCTGCTCCGTTTCCACGGATCTGCACGCCTCCGCTGGCCGTCGAGCACTGTGGGCAGATCAAGCACATCATGGAAGTGGATTTGGGCACAGGTGGAACATGGGAGCTGAGCGACGACCAACAAGAGTATGCGGTGCGACAGTCGTCCAAGAATACCACGCACACCTATGATCGAGACAGGATCCCCAGTGTCCGATCGTGCCACCATCTATGGCTCGGCCCCTTTCGAGAAAAAGACTTCTATAAGCCTCTGAAAGCCTTGCCCGGGCACCAGGTCTTCGAGATGTGGGGCGGCAACACCGTCCTTTTCTTCGGGAAGAATCTAAAGAGAAAGATGTTTCATTCCAAGCAGAAAGAAGAAACCTTTGAGAGGCGTGCGAGGATTGATCCACGACCTTTCGGCATGTGACGCATCGGCCTGAGCTTGTGGAGAAATTGACGACCTTTTGTATGATCGCCGCGGAATACTTCATAATGCTACCATAGACCACCATCTCGCAAAACCGACTGTTCTCCCCAAGGTCAAGATGTTAGCATTCGCACTTTCATAGATGGTCGTTGGTTCCATAGTAATCTAGCAGGATCCAACGTTTGGAAATGAGAAGGTCGTCAGTTCCATCCAGACACTGAAAAGCCCCTTTTCCCCCTGTTTGGCCCGGTATTCTTCCTCTCTAAACAAACATCGTGGCCTTCCCTACAAAGACTCCAGTTAACAGCAACCATCGCCAGCTCTGAGCCGTTCTAACAAGGGAACATCTGCCAGGGAGTTAACAACCAACTGAAGGGTAAAGCTCAACCAACTTACCTTGTTGGTGGGCTGAGTGGTTGAATGCTTTGCGGTACACTTGCTTACTTACGGACAAGGCCCTGTGCACTGCTTGCTTGCTTGCTTACCTTGCCTACTCATCATTCATCCTAAACAAGTGCGAGATTCAGGGACTCACATTATGCTTTTGACTGATCCGTCGATCTTCTGAGATACAGCCAGACTCGCCTTGCGTTTTTCTGTCGCTCGTGCTAGCTATGAGTCGAGGAAGGTTGAGGCCGATATTTCGAATTTGCCCCAGAGTGGTCGTGAAGCCTTCTTCTAGACAGTTTGGAGGAGAACATGGGCTGGTACTCAATGCCTTGAGCAACTGCAAGTTCTCCGCGATCAACCGATTGTCACCCATGGATTATTATGGACGTCTAGGAAGGACATAATTTGTTGGCATTGCTATCCTTTGGCCCGGAATCAGAAGCCTCACAGCGATGAGGGGGCATGTCTGGCTGAGGTCTCAGGCGAGGGAGTGATCCGTGGTCTGGGGACCGTCGTAGCTATAGCCTTGGCATGCCGAAGTCGTATGGTCTCAGAATCACAGGACCGTATGCCCGATAAGGTCACGAATGAGAACAATGCTGGGGTTGAGGTGACAATGGGCAGGACCCCGGGATTCATGAAGTCTCTTCCCGCCTCGACGCGTGCTTCAATCAGAGCAAGGCATGGAGATGATCAACCAATGGTAAGCCTGCTTCCAAATTGCACAGTAATTGACGTGCATGACCCGTGTTGGTTGTAGAGCGGCCCACGATGCCACATTACCCCCAGGATCCCCAGATCAGGCTTGCCGGCTAAATGGGAAAATGCCCGTAGACGAATTTTAAGCGATTCTTGGCGATGCTTGCCATTTGCTCAACTTCAAGTAGGATTCGATATAGCCTTATTACCCGCTCCGAGTTATCGGGCCGTTGGGGAGCATTCCACGTATATGAAAGAGCCAGCCAGCTGATCAGGACAGCTCGCCTTGACCAGAGCTGGACCTTCTCACCGGAATTGGCCTTCTCACGATCTATTCTCCAGACTCTAGCTAGTACCACTGTCACTTCTTCAATATGGTCGGTGTAGTTGATACGGACAATATCGTCCATCGCATGGCGATGGACGATAAGGTCCCCTGGTACCAGAAGAAGCACCTCCGATATCTGTACTTCATGCTGTTCCCTTGCCTTATGGGCATCGAAATGACATCCGGATTCGACTCTCAGATCATCAACGCCGTGCAATTGGTACCCGCATGGACTAATTGTATGTAATTATGGCCAGTTGGGCCCCGTCAGGACAAGAGCTAATCGCACGCGTGTTTACAGACTTCGGACACCCAACAGGTGGCTATAAGGGCATTTTGGCCTCAGCGCTACCACTGGGTGCCTGTATCGGTCTTCCTTTCATTCCGCTCATTAACGACAACCTGGGACGAAGGTGGTGCGTGATGGTCGGGAGTGTAATCATGATCATCGGCTCTATCCTCCAGGGGTTCGCACAGAACGGTAAGCTGGACCTGGCCTTCGGCGTCTTGCACAACACAGTACACTGACTTGTTGCACAGCGGCTATGTATATCGTTGCCCGACTTATTGTTGGGTTCGGGCTTCCTTACGCCATCGTTGCTGGGTCGAGTTTGATCGGAGAGCTTGCATACCCCAAGGAGCGAGCCGTCTTGACTTCCCTATTCAACGCGGCCTACTTCATCGGGTCCATTACCGCAGCTGGTGTTACGTATGGAACGCAACTGATTCCATCAGATTGGTATGTTCAACTCACGCGTACCCTTCCGGGCATACGCTCCTGTGACGTCCATGAAAACTGATCCAGCTGACTCCCCAACCTCCAGGTCCTGGAGGTAGTCTTCCTACCTATGCTCACTAATGCGATATGGAAAGGGACTGACAAGCTTCCATAGAACACCCTCCCTTCTGCAAATGTCTCCGTCCCTGCTTCAGGTCGCCCTCATCTTGTACGTACTTGACTACCCAGTAATGCTTAAGGGGGTGGATGGTCCCGGATTAGCTAATGCGATCTTCCCAGTTTCCTCCCCGAAAGCCCTCGCTTCCTCATCAGCAAAGACCGCCACGAAGAGGCCTTGGCAATCCTGATCAAGTACCACGGCGAAGGAGACGAGAACTCGGAATTCGCCAGGGCAGAATACGCCGAGATCAAGACGACCATCGCGATCGAGATGGAGCACTCCAAGAAGTCATGGCTGGACCTGGTCAGCACAGCAGCGAACCGACGCCGTCTTCTTATCGGCTCTCTCGTCGGTATCTTCTCGCAGCTCTCCGGAAACGTCGTCATCTCCTACTACCTCGGCGACATCCTCGCTCTCGTCGGCTTCACCGACCCTCAGTTTGCGGCTAAGTACAACATCGGGAACCAAGTCTGGGGTCTCGTCTGCGCTGTATTCACGGCACTGATCATCCGGAGGTTCAGGCGCCGGACTATGTACCTTGTCGCTATCTTCTGGTGCTTGACTGCCTATGTCGCTTGGACCATCTGTGCGGGTGTCGCCGTCACTACTGGCTCGGATGTTGCTGCGAAGTTTTGCCTGTTCTGGATCTACTTCTATCAGCCTGGCTACAACATTGGCTTCAATGCCTTGACCTACAGTAAGAGTCGCTCATTCTGCATCAGAGAATCCCTTTGCTGACTGCGCTAGCGTTCCTCGTCGAGCTGTTCCCCTACGCAATGAGAGCACGCGGTATTACCGTCTTCCAGTTCTTCGGAAAGGCTGCACAGGTAAGCCAGCCGATATCGCAGAGAGTATTCCGTCAGCTGATACGTTATGCAATGTAGTTCTTCGGCACCAACGTCAACCCGGTCGGCCTGGACCCCGACACCGGAATTGGCTGGAAGTTTTTGATAGTCTACTGCTGCTGGATCGCCGTCGAAGCTGCCCTGATATGGTGGCTTTGGCCCGAGACCAGTGGGAGGACTCTGGAGGAACTCGCCTTCTGTAGGTCTTCTGAAACGACGAATGAATCTAGGTCCAGTGCTAATTGTCCGGAACAGTGTTCGAGGACGATGAGAGAGCTCACAAGGCGACCGAAGCTGTTGAGAAGGTTATCCACCACGAAGACATGGAAATATCCGAGAAGGGCGGCACTGCGACTACCAAAGAGGCTGTTTAGGTTGGTAAGGTCAGACTGCAAGAGGTTTCTTCCAGGAACAATAGACCCATCCAAGATTTGTCAAGATTTGGGCTATGTATCTTGTGAATAGACGAGATGCTTCAAGCAAGCTAGGTAATGAGAAAGGGTACCTCTTAAGCAATTCTCTAAGATGCCTACGCATATTCACATGAATTCTAGTCCACTCAGGGATCTACTGGAATGCTTCCATAAGTGGTTACCAGGGTTACCCCTGGTACGTTCCTGTCGCGGTAGTGAGATACTGGTGCCATTCCGGGGAAGTATCTAGAATAATAAGATCTGAGGCTCCTCCGAAATACAGAAACGGGGCTATGTCACATACATTTGAACATATTTTACAAACCAGTTTCAATTGACAGGAAGTAAAGCTGCAGGCGGTATCGACGGGCTTGTTCGATGGAGCAAAGCGGTAACTGTCTAGGCATAAGTCCCAGGCAATCGCATATATCTCGAGCATTAACCGACCTCGATGATGGTTGGGCCCCTCTGGTAAGTTCCATTATCGAAACAAGCAAGTTCTTTGAGTTTCAAAGAAACCAGCCGTCTTCTGAAAGAGATAGTTCAGATGAATGGGGTCTCTAGAGATGTAGAACAAAGGCGAACGTCGTTGAATCAGATTTAACACATAGCTTTGTCCTCTGGACCCTCAGCAGTAGTATAATACAATTCACCAGTCCTCCCCTCGATGACAACAATGGTCACATTAAACCTTCCAAACTATTGCCTAACGTTGTTGCCACCTATCAATCTTGCTAGGAACCAAAGTCGCCAAAAATGTGCAACAAAGTCTACCTCCCCAAGTGGTGTCTCGGCCACGGCCCGACAAACGACTGGGAGCTCTACAAAACCCAAGAGTGTGACTGCGGCATGACTCCTCTGGACATCTATCGCCAGCCTCACCCGTACTTCACCTTCCGCTGCGACGACTGCGTGGCGACAAACCGTTGGTTCGAGAACAGTCCGGCTGGCATCCAGTGGCGGCATGAGAATGAAGGGGCTGCGGAGAAGGAAGAGGTGAAGCTGAAGAAGCCTGTGAAGAGCAGGCTTGTGAAGCCGAAGAAATGAACAAGTAGTAGGGCCTTGTATGATGACAAGAACAAATGTATAATAAAAATGTTGAAGCCCTTGACGCCTTGACTTGCCCACTGCTTACCGAGGTTTCGCTTTAATATGCAACAAAATCTCAATATTCTTCCCTGTATTCGTGACTGACGAGCTTCAGTGTATCTGACATCGGCATGCCGGGCACCCTACTCACCAATGCTTAGCGTAGATCGCCTTGGGAACAGGCGAAGCCTCCCATGGAACGAATCCGTGGGAACCTTGCCTATCCTCATCTGGATACATCATCCTCTGTCCACGCACATGATACCTGGTTTCAAGCAGAGCCTTCCTGCGGGGCTTCCTGCCATTAGAGCCAAAATAGTAGTTGACGCCCTGACCATGGCCTCAGATAGCCTTCTTGGCACCACATATCGTCTAGTTGGCATCATAGAGCCCTGAGATGAAGAGTGTTTGCATCTGTCGCAGAAGAGTGTTTTTACATGTTGTGTGTGATGCATCGTCCCAAGAACGTTGCTCTATGTGCGAGTGATGGGAGGCGATATGTACAAGGACGAGGTTGCCTTCCCTACCCCATGGCGTTTTTGATATACCATTTCCGCAAATGTGTCCAGCAACTTATAGCGTTGCCGCTGCTTCTGCTGCACCCGCAGCTTTGAACGTCTTCTTGCTCGTCCAGTTTATCTCGACGTCATGCATCCATTCCATGTATCTCGTCCAACCTGTGTATCTTCGTCAGTAACAGCTTCGACCGTCATCGATATCGTCTGCGGTAGGCCTACTCCAATATGCGAATTTGCGACCAAAGTACTTGCCCGCAAAGGGCACCAGTATCATGGTCAAAAGCAGCTGTAGCTGCTCCAAGCTGTGTTCCCACTCCTTCTGCGCATCGTAGTCGTCGTCATCGGACACAAAGCTCTCGGTCGATGTCGAGGGCAGAGAGTCGATCTCATCGTTGTCCGAGGGTGATTCCTCGGCCATGGCGAAGGAATCGGAGAGTGACCTGGCGGACATGGTGTGGAGGCGGGCCGCGGGAAGGTCAGGTTTAGAAGTAGGTGGGCAGTAGCGGACCGGGCGCTACTATTGTCAGATCTGAGGCATCGGGGCCTAGATTCACGACAACTGGAAGCTACAGCTGTTCGCCTAGAAGATTCTTGCCGTTGTGATCTGGCGGATGGTGTAGAGCTCGAGTCGTGGGCAGCTTGGAAGGTCACTGTCGTAGGGTAGAGTGAGGTCGGTCGGTCGTGACCCATGATGCTTGGCGACCTTGGTGGAATTGTTGCACAGCACTATTTCCCATCAGTGCACAGACCCCTGTGCTAGACCCGGACATCGGCCATTGATGAAACATGACTAACATCGAGGGGAGAGGTGGGGCCCGTAAGGCAGAGGGAACGGCTTCAGCAACAGTCACCCGCCCCAACCAGACTGATAATAATAGTACGGTACCTAATACCAAGAATCAGGCGCAAGAACAGCGCCATCCTCCCGCGATTCCAACCTTGAACTTTCAACGTCATAGCACCTTCTGCCACCCACGACTCTGGCCAACTGTCCAACCTCACTGCCTCACTGCCTCACCAACCTCGACGTCTCCCAATTATCTATCTGCGCAAACACCGACCCAGACCTGCATCTACTCCAAACGAGAACGCATACGCATACGCATCACGACATCCCATCGATATTCGCTGCCGACCCGCGACCGGCTGATTGGACATCCATCGACTACCTAAAGAGCCACGCATTGAAGGAACGGAAGAATACAGACGTCGGCAGGGTTCAATATGGATGCGACAGAGGCAGTAAGTCTGACTCGTCACTCGACACACAGACACACTCTACGTACGCACCGGACCGTGTATCCTGTACTGCTGTACTGCTGTATCCCCTCGCGCTCGCTTCCTGGTCCTTGGACGGTCAGACGGTCTGCCGTGGCGAGTGCAGATGGGGGATGGCCATTGGCAAGCGCCACTAGCGCAGAGGCGATGGAACCAAAAGATGCGGCGAGATGCTGCCCCTCCAAACTGCCCCCTCCACCAAACTTGTGCACAGCAGCCCACCAATCACCACCAATAGCACCACTGCACAAAATTCCCCAGCTGAATCGAAAAGAGTCATCATCCATCCACTCATTCATCCACTGCCACTTGATTCTTGAAACCTCCCTCCCCTCCAACTCCACACCACTCGACCAACACCGCACAACCCACGAGAAAGCATCGCAGCTCAGCTCACCTGTGTCGCGTTTCTATAGGAACAACGTCCTTCGACCCCCGATCGCAAGCAGAGAAAGTCGGTCGTATTTCACTCAGAGGCAATCGTGGTAGAGGCAGACGGAAAAGTCACAATCATGGCGTCCGCCGAAGAGACAAAGGACACCGCTACGTCCCACTCGCTCGCACCTACCGACGACGAGGCACCCCCGGCCGATGACGCTGTCCTCGACCTCGGAAAGAAGAAGAAGAAGAAGGTCAAGAAGACCGAAGATGGCGAGGGCGCCGACGGAGAGGCCGCTGCCGATGGCGGTCTCGACTTGACGCGTGAGTGACACCCAGAGTTTTCTTTTCTTCAGGTTCTGCCGCATACCGAACGCAGTAAAGAGGAAGATGGTATTTCGGATTCCTGTACATCAAGTCATCGCCGGAATCGAGCCACCTACCGAACATCTAATTACGCTACACGTCTCGAGATCTGTCTCGTTTTGCCCATCGACCACCAAATACATTGCAACTATCATCAGCTCGCTACACCTTTCGAAATGAACGCACCTACACACGCTAAGGGCCATCTCGTCGTCCGTTTGTTTTGCGCAGCAAATGCCGCGAGGCCGTCCGCGCATGGGCTTTTCGAACTGATTGGTTGATTCAATTGCTGACTGTATGGCGCTGTAGTGAAGAAGAAAAAGAAGAAGAAGGTTCCCAAGGAGGGAACTGAGGACGAATTCGCTGCCAAGTTGGCTGCTCTGGACCTCGAGAAGGACGGAGGAGATGGCGAAGAGACGGCTGCCGGTGAGCAGTCAGGCGACATGGAGCAGGGTACCGGTATCTGGAAGCACGACGAGACCAAGGAAATTTCGTACGAACTGTTGCTCGAACGATTCTGTAAGTTTCGCCTGTCCCCTCTGTCTTCTACACATTTGGGGGGCGCAGTACGCCCCTGGATCGACTCCATTTGCCCCCTGAGACCTACGGTTGCTGACCTTCAAACCAGTCAGCCTACTTTCACAGAAGAACCCCGACCACGCCTCCACCGGCTCGCGCAGCTACAAGATCCCTCCTCCCCGTAAGCTCTTCTATTACTTTTTGCCCCTGCTCCGCTGTGCTCCTAGAGCTCAATCCGTTTGAGACTTCATCACGCAACATGCTCCTGGCCTATTGCACTAGCATCCTAGCCTACTTCGGAACGCTACTGCCTGAAACAATGCTGACTCAGTGCTTCAGAGTGTCTCCGAGAAGGAAACAAGAAGACCATCTTTGCCAATATCGAGGAGATTTGCAAGCGTATGAAGCGTTCATCGGAGCACGTCACAGCATATCTCGTGAGTTACCGACCACACCTGAGTTCGGTCTTGAACCTGTACTAAATGCCCAACAGTTTGCCGAATTGGGTACCAGCGGTTCCGTAGCCGGATCCAAACAGTTGGTCATCAAGGGTCGCTTCCAGCAAAAGCAAATCGAGAACGTGTTGCGCAAGTACATCATAGAATATGTGACTTGCAAGACGTGCCGCTCGCCGGACACGGATCTTAACAAGGGCGAGAACCGACTGTACTTCATCACATGCAACTCCTGCGGTTCGCGTCGGTCCGTCACTGCCATCAAGACTGGTTTCTCTGCCCAAGTCGGCAAGAGAAGAAAGATGCAAGGTTAAGCTGGATATGCCAGTATACCTGTTGGTCTGGTACTATGGCGTCACGCTGCTTTCTAGGAGCAGTCTGGGGTTTCTCGACAGTACCTACATAGGTCATTACTGAAATGAGAAATGAACCATTACGATGTGATGTTCTCACAGCCGATACCTGATGCAGGACTTCGTCATAGTTGTATGGCTACGGCGGTTCTGAAACTGGTAGAAGGAGAACACCCGTAGGCTGCTGCTCGGAGCAAGCCATGACTGTCATTCGTTATGCGATAATGTCACACGATTCGCGGCTACGTATTCCATGATGAGAGTTGACCACGATACGATGTACTATAGACTGGGGCAACAATGGCAATGGGACCTTGATAGCCATGTAGTCAACAGAAGGAGGTCAGAAGCTGCTTTTGTACCTACACACATACATCCCATCGCGTTGTACTGCCCTTAATCTCTTCGGTGCGTCCCTTTGACCCTAACAACCATTGTTTATTGGCCTCGCCCATGTGCTCATTTACCTACTCCTTCCTTCCCATGCTCTCTTGATGTCTCCAGACTTTATGTTTCCCGAGTACATACTTGGGTTTGCTTTTGGCACGACCCCTATCATGGTGGAGCGTGTGTCATGTTCGTTTCTGTTGTCGAGGCACATCGTGGGTTCAGTACGGGGTCTAAAAGCAGCTTCACGGTGATTTTGCCCGTCCCAAGGATCTTATATCTCTTCTGGCAGATGGCCGTTCTGGGGTTAATTATGGTATTTGTGCACCGACCACGGCATGTTGGCTAGCAATCGGGACCCATCTATCGAAAGATTAGAAGAGAATAAATACCCTTGCTGAATTCGGGTTCCTCTTGAGAAGTTTTAATAAGATGTCTAATTATCGTCGAGTATACCGTCGGATGCATCGGAGCTATGGCATTCGAGGTTGCACTGTCCACTCCCGATTCTCCACTGACCTGGGGAGTCTGACACCTGATAGAAGCTGGCCATGTCACGGAGAGCACTCTTTTGCCAGCCGCCAAGCACCAACCTGCACACCGCAACATAAGGTAAGGTAAGGTAGGTACCGTTACCGTTACCGGATCGGATCGGAATGCTTCCATGTTCGTGCTGCCCGTCCCGAAGTGCTTACCTTACTGCATCGTGGTTCTGTGCTTAAATTAAAACGCCTTCTAGGGCTTCATTGCGCTTGAGGGACAGTTGGTGAATAAGGTAGTCAAATACTCTTGACTCATTCATCAGTATACCCTTCGGTTCCTAAGCCGAAGTTATCATTTTTTCGCATCTGGCAACTCATAATTCGAAGCACTCGTCGTTACCACCCGGCACCCCTACCAGGCCCAAACACCAAACCCAGCAGCATGGCACAACAGCCGCAACTGGCACCGGGCCAGTCCGGCCTCCCGGTCGACAACCCGACAAAGTCGTACTGGCACAAGGAGCCGTCCGAGAAACTGCTAGGCCACCGCACTACGGAAGAGCTGCCCCGATTGGCTGATGTGGTGATTGTGGGGAGCGGCATCACGGGTGCCTTTGCGGCGCATTTCTTGAAGGAGAAGAAGCCCGGGTTGAATGTTTTCATACTGGAGGCGAGGGAGGCGTGCTGGGGCGCTACTGGACGGGTGAGTTGCTGTTGAGTTATCTGTTTTATTGGGGCTGTGAGCTAGAGGTTGGGATGTTATGTCGTGGATTGGGGTGTGTATGAGTGAGTGAGGTGGTGCTTTGGACGAATAATGAGGTGCTCTGGAGAGGTTGAACTAGGAGCTGAAGTCTTCTTCGAGGCTTTCATTTCCTACGTTATATGACGATCCTCGAGGGTGCCGTCTCCAGGCGTGTCATACTTTGTAGCTGGCACATCTCCTTACAGAACCCCTCTCGTCCGATCCCTCCTCCTATAAAGGGCGAGAGAATACACCTCCCAGTAATACACCACAACTAACTAACAACCCATCCAGAACGGCGGCCACTGCCAACCAGCCATGTACGCAGCCGCGCCACACATCGCCTCCTTCGAGCTGCGCACGTACTCCTACCTGAAAACCCTCGTCGAGAGCTTCTCGATCCCATGCGACTGGCACACGACAACCGGCGTGCACGCCTTCTACTCCCCCGAGCTCTTCGCCATCGCGCGGGATATCATCACGAAACTGACGGACAAGTACCCGGACCTCGCCGCCAACGTCGCCGTCGTGACCAAGCCTGGCGCGGCTGGTAGTGGTAGTGATTCTAGCGGCAGCCCGGCCTGGCTCTTGGAAGAAGAGCGCCGCGAGTACTCGCTCGAGGGGTTGAGGGTCGGTGGTGCCGAGGGCGCCGTCGTCATGTGGCATGCTGCTAGCTTGTGGCCGTACAAGCTCGTTGCGTTTGTGCTGGAGCGGCTGCTTGCTGCGAACGACACCTCGGAAGGATCGTTCAACCTGCAGACTAACACGCCTGTGACGAGTCTCACCCAGGCCTCCTCGACTTCAACTTCAAGTGGCTTGGGCGATGATGATGCATTCCGACAGGACACAGACACAGGCGGACCATGGACGCTGCACACGCCCCGCGGCGCCATCACCGCCCCGAGAGTCCTCCTCGCCACAAACGGGTACACCTCGCACCTCCTGCCCGCCCTCGCAGACCTGCTCATACCAACCAAGGGACAAGTCTCCGCTCTGCTGCCCCCATCTCCAACCCCAACCCCAACCTCATCTTCATCCCCTTCCAACCCGCCCTCCTCAACCCCAGCGCCGCCCCTCGACATCGGCCACACCTACTACCTAATCGGCTCGCCCAGCAACCCCTGGTCGCGAGACGACTACCTAATCCAGCGTCCCCCGCCCACCGCCGAGCTAATCTTCGGCGGCGGTCGCGAGCACGCGCCGGGCCGCGGCGTCGGCGTCTGGGACGACGGCGAAGGCACCGTCGACGAGGCCGTGAGCTGGTACCTACGCGGCGAGCTGGGCAAGGCCGTAGACCTCTCCCCGCCGTCTACCCCAAAAAAGGAAAAGGAGACGGAGACGAAGACGCCCAACCAAGACCTCCAACCGACCCACGAATGGACCGGCATAATGGGCTACACCCGCGACGGCCACCCTCTCGTGGGCCCCGTACCGACGAGCCTGGGCGGGGGCGGCAAGGACGGCGGCAGGGATGGCGGATTATACCTCTGCGCCGGCTACACGGGCCACGGCATGCCGAACGCGGCGCTCTGCGCCAAGGCCGTCGTCGACATGATGTGCGCGGGCGATGGGGATGAGGACCCGGACCCCAAGATCGACCTGCCGCCCGAGTATGAGCTGACCGAGGCGCGCGTCGTGGCGGCGCGACGGCGGCCGGAGCTGGCCGTCGTGGACGCGAAGGGCAGCCTGTACAGTGACTTTGGCGACGTGGAGATGACGGGCATCTGATGCGCGATACCTACCTACGCCATTAAGCCACCAGCGAGTAAGGGGGGTGAGTAATGGTAGGAAACCATGGGAGACGAGACCCTACACGATAGCCAGTAAATGTTAGAAGCAAGCTGTTATGCGGTCAGAGATACTGGACAACTATTTTTCATTCATTGTCAGTGGGTTTTATCACCAGGTGAATTTAATCGCCAAATCCGGGTGCTTCCTATCTAACATACTCCCAAATTCCGGGGAGGTCGTTCTTCAGAGTCGACGCTCTATTGTCCATGCCATGCAAAGCCAGAAGACCTTTGGTCTCGACAGAGTGGAAATTGCCGCAAAGTGAGAGAGCCTCGCCGTATTCGCCACTCAATCATGCATCCCTGGGGTATAATAACAAACTCCTGTCTCATGTCTTGATTCCCTGAACGTGACACAAATAACTCCGACAAATGGTTTTTTTCTTTTTCGTGATCCTGTACATCCCAAGGTCATTGCAGATGCCTCCCATCGGCAAAAAAGCGTGCCGATTTTCCGTATGTGCAGATTGTTCAAGTGCGTATTTCCAGTGAGTCTAGTACGAATGTTCGTTCTGAAGGCCCTGAGTAGTGAACCAAATGGAAGGCTCGGGTCTCCCCTGAGCCACCCAAGTCTCGAATGTGAGACTGTCGGGGCAAAAGACAAAACCGAAATCAATGCGATCTGTTCCATGACCAGACCATGAGGACCGGTAGAGACGGAAGCACAAGTAGTGTAGCAGTCTCGGGAAAGCCTCCCGGTTGGAGAGGTAGAGCGGTTGCTGAAGAGGCTGTCAACGAACGGCCTCATTCCAAACGTCGACTGTGAGACGAGCAGATGATCAGCACGAAGAGTCTAATCAGCCTCGGCGAGTTGCATGATCAGCTGGGCAGCCATGTCGAGGAAAGGAAAGGGGCTCATAACGTCCTTGTCCTCAAGCAGAGTCCCATCAACTCGTTCGTAACCGGAGCACTTGAAGTCTACGAGGTAGACACCAAGTTCCATCTCGTAGATCTGGATATCCATTCGCATCCAGACAAAGTCTTGCTGGCGCTTATCCATGCCAGAGAAGATGTACGTGTTCTCCTCGGAAGCGGCCTCGGCGCTGGAATTGCCAGAAGAGACCGAGCTCTTGCGGAGGTCTGCAACCATGTCAGTGAACCGCGCGGCAAAGTAAAACTAAGTCTGAATCCTACCATCTTTACGCCAACGACAAACGATATGCCAGGGGTCAGCGGGCAAGTTGTAGTACTTGCAGACATCGAAAGTCTTGAGATCGATTTCTTCCGGAGGAATGCCTTCGTACGGGTTGACCTTCTCAATCTTGCCACGGAATCGACTGTAACTGTTAGTACCAGAACATTGTAGCAGGTGAGCAAATGCTTACTGAGAATCTGGTTGGTTGCCATGCACCTCGTGGTAGTTCTCATCCAATACCCACGACGCACCGAGCTTCGACAGCGCCTTGTAGATGCACAAGAGAGCTTCAAACGGCGCGTTTCTAGATCGAATACCGAATTGCCAGCGGACTGGCTTAGGCTTCTTCGACGCCACCGGAGTCATCCCTTGTGGGCGGGCGTTGTTATCGTCGACTCGGACGGCGCTCTTCGAGTGAGGCTTAAGGCGGCGGACCGCTTCTTGTTGTTCAGCAGGCGTTCTAGGCTGAAGAGGAACATCAGGCATCGGCTGAAGAGGAACGTCGGGCATCGGCTGAGAATTGAGGGGTTCTTCGAAACCTGCATTCTGGCGTTCAAGGTACTCTCTGTGCAGAGCAGGTAGACTTGTCGGCAAGATACCAACGCGGCTCACGTATCCACGTGGGGAACTGCTGCTAGCAATGGTCGAGGTGGTAGATCGAGTAGAATCGGCTACAGGGCTTGCCTGAGGGTCGGCTGCGTACTCGGACGACTCCTCCCGCTGCTTTCCCTTGTCGAGCTTGACATCACCCATGGCTTCTGAGACGCTTCGCATGTTTTCCTCGTGATCTGAGGGTGGGGGAGAGGTCGCAAAGTACGGGTTGTCCGCTCCTTTGCCGTACGAAGCTGCAAGGAAAGGATGTCAGTGGTAAGGAGAAAATGAGAGGTGTGGGAGTGCAAGGAGTGGGCAGTGACGAGACAGACTCGCACTCGAATTGTGGTTGCCTGGGTCTTTTGCACGCGGAGCTCCCAGCAGAGACGGAGGGGTTGAGGGATCAAGGCATTCGAGACGGGGACGGGGTACTTACGGTTGACTTGCATCAGCTTGTTCTCGCGCACAATCATGTAGGCGTCCTTGATCGCAGATGGCTCAGCAGCTTCGAGTGCCTCTTGAACATCTCGTTTGCCGTAACCCATCGTCTTGCTTATCTTCTCGGTGACCTCGTTGTGCAGCTTTTCTTGAACCTTGGCAGACGCGTGGGGTGCAATATCACTTGGCTTGATCGACCTGTTGGGGTCGACACCAGTGTTGAGGAATTCCTCGACCGGCGGGGTGAGGTAGGGAGGCAGGTCCGTCCAAAACCACGAGTCTTGTTTGATATCGTCAATGGTTGCTCGTTGGACCGGGTTGGTCTGGAGCATTCTGCGGATCAGAGCCGCAGCGTCTGACGCGACCCAATGCGGTACAGTGAAGACACCCCGTTGAATCTTGGCGAACAGGCTAGGAATATGGTCGTCGTCGAAAGGCAGTCTGCCCACCAGCAGCACATACAGAATGACACCGCAGCTCCAAACATCGACCTCGGGGCCCGCATACAGCTTTCCGCTAATAACTTCTGGCGCCGCGTAATTGGGGCTTCCACAACTTGTCTTGAGGAAGTTTCCATCCGTCATGATGTTACTAAGACCGAAGTCGGCAATTTTGACGTTCAGTTGTTCGTCGAGCAGCAGGTTCTCGGGTTTCAGGTCTCGGTGCACAACTTTGTGTCGATGACAGTATTCGACGGCGCATATCATCTGCTGGAAGAAGCGGCGGGCCTGTTGCTCGTCCAGCTTGCCGTGTGATACGATGTAATCGAACAGCTCCCCGCCGGCATACTCCAAGACCATGATGATTTCATTTTGAGTCTTGATCACCGTGTAGCTGCAAACCACCAATCAGCACATTGACCACGCGGAAGTGGCACAACACAACCAGTCGCAAACATTCGGCAACTCACAGCTTGATGATGTGGGGGTGTCGGAGGAGTTGAAGATACTCAATCTCACGCTCGACGCGACCAACCATGTCCCTACTGATCAACTTCTTGCGGGCTATGATCTTCAGAGCGACCTGCTGGCCGGTCATGCGATGTACTGCGAGCTTGACTTTGCCAAAGGAGCCCTCGCCCAGGGTTCGGATGACATTGTATGCGCCCACTCGGGACTCGGTTCGGGCCTTCTCCAGCTTCGCCTTGGCAAGGTTGACCGAGCCAGCTCGTGCTCTGCTGCTGGAGGATTCGGCGACCGGGTGGGAGACGTTGATGGAGGGGACTTGGGGGCCCTGGTTGTTGCGTCGAATCTGAGAGGGCGAGAGCGACATGGAGAGCTCCTCCTCATCGAAGCCGTGGCCTCCAGGCTGGTGGCCTCGTGAAGAAGCCATCTCAGTGAAGCGTTCCCGGCGGCGTGTGGATGAAGGAAGGGGAGGTTGGCTAGGTGGTTGAGGCTGTCATGAAGTGGTGGCAGTGACAATCGAGAGGTCGAGAGAGGTCGAAGACGAGGGGGTGGGCTGTGGATCGTGGGCTCCAGCTGCGAGTGGACGAGGCAGGTGGGCTAGTGAGGCAGCTTGGCTCTACTGCGTACAGACCCTAAGGTACAGACAGACCTTGGCACCGTCGAACAGGGCCGCAGTCGGCTGGCATGTGTCAGTATTTCCCAGATGAGAGGCAAAAGGTTGACGAGGGCAAGTGTGGCTTTGTTGGCCGCGTACCTACCGTCTGATGTTGTCCCTCAGGGTGTTGTGGGAGTTGGAATCAAGGGTCCTGAGCGTGGGATGGGGATGTGGGATGTGCCCCGGTTGCGCTGCCTGTAGCCGCAGCGATGCAGTGACGCAGTGACACAGGAGGCTAGCAGCTCCTTGGTACCTGATCCTGCGGTTGGCTTGCTCGACTGGGTCTGGTCAGTGGCGTTCTGCCACGCAACGGAACTCTATGAAGGAGGCAGGGCCATGAGTCTTCATCTGTATGCGTGTGGAGTTGAGGGGAGGACGCATATAATCAACGGTGGAAGCTTCTGACACGCAGGACATGGAGGAAGATGATGAGAGTTCCGAGGGGTACCGACCAGTGACGACTCACGAGAGACTGGAAAAAGACGGAGACGTGGGGACTTTAAGACTTGGGGGATGTTCGACCGGGGGTGGAAGTCACGGCTCAAGTTAGACAGTTGCCAGTTGGACAGGGAAGAAGGCCCACGATTTTAGAGGGGCGTGAGCTGCGTTATTGGCCGGTCTCAGGTCTGGCAGAGTGACCAGGTCGACTGTCGGTCTGTGCTGCACTGCTCCGGTTTATTTTGATCTTGGCAATCTGAAAGAGGTTGCCTGTCAGTCAGGAAGACGGCGAGGTCTTTAACCCAAGTCTCATCAGCATCAACCAAGGGATGCTCTGACAAGCTGCCACGAGGTGATGATGAGTTGGCCAAAAGAACGTTGACATGAATAAGTATGCAACGGCTTACAATGAACGTGTTAAGGGGTGAGTCTCACGGCCAAGCGGCAAGGTCTCCGGTCTTCCCTTATTGTTCTCTCAATCAAAGTTATCTTCTTACGGGCAGAGTCGTCATCAAACAGCCGCACAGCTGTGGAGAGGAACAGCACCGACAGTGACAATGCCGGAAGAGACGCTCAGGTGATTACAGAAGGAGGTAAGGTAGGTATGCATGTCCCAAAGAAGCGTGGTGCTACTACCACATGTAAGGTTCGGGCCTGTGCACAAGGCGTGTCCCGGGAGTCCCCGGTGTCTCGGCATCAGCATTGGACGGTTTATGTGAGACCCAGCTTCATTCGTAAGCACCGTCGTATGCAAGTGGCTCAAGTTGGATATGTGAGATGATAGTATTGAATAACCTGACTATTGTGGCAAACATACCCGATCATGGCTGCCTACCAAGTTGAGGTAGATGACGCTACTACATGCGAACGATTATCGCAGACAGGACGACGCTTTGCTCTAGAGATTGTGGCTCGGAGTTGGCTCCGTTGAGGCATTTTCCGAGGTTATGTTGACCAATAAAGTACTCGGTAACTCACAGATTTAACAGACAAATGGCATGTGAAATAGAGTGGCGGAGTGGCTAGGACCAGCACATGTTGAGGAGGGTTGGGCTAACAAGGGACAATGCTAATAAGCTTTTCGTGGCTGATCATTATTTCCTTACATAGGAATATACCTTAATCGTTATTGTTGTTATTAGAGGACTGTCGCATTGGGCAGACTGTCCCGGACCGAGCAGTTGTGTGGCTTCAATTGATCAGATGAGGCAGTGATACCCTCATAGGCTGCTACCTCTGCGAGAAAGGTCTAAGTGACCAGCAGCATGCGTTGATGCCACTTTGATCCAGCGGTGCTTATCATGGGAGACATGCAAGAGGTGACTGTATAGCCTCATTTCATGTAAACCAAACGCCTTACATCTACAATGATTTTACATTGTTGGGCAATAGCAGAGCGTGAATGTTGTGGATGGCTTGTGTCGAGTTGGAGAGCTTGCCCCAGTGATCGCAACAAGAGGTTCGCTAGCAGATACTTACTTTCAACCCTTTCTCTCCTCCTCTTTGAGCCTTTCCACGAGTTTCGCTCGCATAAAGTCGCTAAGTCCCAAGCTGGGAAACAATCTATATCAGCAGGTTCCAGTTATTGATGGGCAGTGTTAGCAACTTACATTCCCTCATTGGTGATGATACGGTATGTCCCACTGGGTTCAAACTCTCCTACGATGTTTCCACCCCCATCGACCTCGATGCTGCCGAGAATATCCTCCGGCCAAGCAATCCGGCCGTAGTCAGGTGGATTCCTCAGATCACTGAGATGGACGTGGCCCCCGACTCCACCGCCGCCAGCACCTCCCTGAGCACTCGCTCCGCCGCCTCCACCACCACCGGCTCCTCCCCCTCCACCCAGGCCTGCAGCATTCCCCTTTGTACGTCGTTGCTTTCGCTGTCCAGGGAAGAAAGCGCCTCCTGATCCGAGTGTCGCTCCGCCGGGTCCTGCGAAAGCTTGAGCTTGGCTTTTGAGGTTCGGGTCTTGGGCGGCGTGCTTCCGGAGGACGTCGGTCAGGATGGTTAGAAATTCGCGGTTCTCGGTGAACGTCTGCGGTGTTGGTGGAATCGATGAGGTCGTGCCAATGGCCAATCTAGGGTTCGGGGGCGTGGTGTCGAGGTAGCTGAGAATGTTCCCTTTGCCACTAGGAAACACTTTCTGCAAGTACACAGAGTGAGTATGGGATGGCTGTCTCTGGTGTCTTGAAGTACGGTGTTGACTGACTATGTAGGGGTTGTTGGGAAGTGTGCTTGCAGAATAACACCGCAGAGATAGCAACGATCTACACGATGGCGCTACTCGAACTCTCGTTAATAGCATTTTCGTGGTCGAGGTCGTTTGACACTGCTCGTTGTGGAGGTGTTGGCGATACGACTGAAATATGTCTATCGCGATGATGGCATCGCACAGCCAGACAGCTCCGGAGCTTGAAGCTTCCCGTCATTGGGAGCTTGGGCCCCTTTCTCGAATCTCAATTCCTGACGTATTGAACGGTCGGGGTGTCGGGACTCGGGCTGTCGGGTCATGGCGCTAGCGGCGGGGAGTCTTGGCGGCTTGGCCGAGCCTGCAGCCATCTAACGCAATTGGTGACCCCTGAAAGCCCATTAACGCGTAGAACGCGTCTCCCCAAAAGTTGATGGAGGTCTCGTCTCGCATTGCGCTCCAGACTCAAGCATACAAGATCATACAAGAACTGTCGCTGAATGCCTTCTGGAGATATTGATAAGTCGAGATGCAAGCAAATAGAAGTACAACCGCGCCAATGTTTCCACCGAAAACCCCAGCACCCGCGAATCCAATCCCCTCCTCCTCGCCCGCCTTTGGAACCCCGGCGCATACCCTCAAACCCTTCGCTATCGCGCCAGTCAAGGCCACCATCCTACCTATTCTCCTACCACCCGCGACCCTGAGACCATTGGCCTTCCGAACCTTCACCAAGAAGCACAGCCTGACACTCACGTCGTCGGCACTACAGGAGTTAGCTGCCTTCATTGGCCGGCACTGCGGTTCAGCATGGCGCGAAGAAGGTCTAGCAGAGAAGGTGTTGGAGGAGGTGGCAAAGAGCTGGAAGAACCGCAATGGTGGTGTCATCGTTGATGGCGGGAGCCAGGAACTCAAGGAGATCTTGAAGACCCTCGAGGGTAACATGAGCGGCGGAAGAGTAGTGACAGGGCGAGAGCTGAACCGGCACAACAGTTTGGCGCTGGACGCAGGGCAGGAGGCTGATCACACAAACACAAGACTGGGTCTAAGGCCAACCATGGCTCTAACACGCGATGATACTCAGACAAGCTTTGGGATGTCAGGTCTGGGGGTGGAGGAAGAGGATCAAGACGACGAGGGACTCAACAACCCGAGGAAGTGGTTGAAGATAATAAATGCATACGAGCATCCGCGCATGCTATACAACATTACAAAGAAGCATTTCGAAAGGTTAGAAGCTATGATGTTCTGTTTCTAGTTGTTGACGCTGACCGCATGTCTAGGGATCCTTCGAAACCGTCTCTTATGCCCTCCGCATCACACAAAACGACCTTATTCAGGAACAGATACAATGTTATACATCAGAGGCTACTACGGAACGAATCATTCCAAAGCTCGGCAGTGGCCACAACAAAAGGACCACCATCACTCAAGCGCTCATCCTCCTCCGTTCTGACCACCCAACAAACGCACAGAATCACACCGATAGCCAACCTCCTCGGGCGACATGGCACACATCACATGCTTCTCGGCCTGTTATCCATCTTACCTACCGGCAATTTGGCAATCAACGACCTGACAGGGACGATTTCCCTCGACGTCTCACACGCGGTTGCCATACCCGAAGACTCGGCATGGTTCACGCCAGGAATGATTGTGTTAGTCGACGGCGTCTATGAGGAAGAAGAGGAATCGGTAGGCAAGGGTCTGGGCAACAGCAACGGCATCGGTGGTATCATCGGCGGGCGCTTCCAGGGATTCTTCATCGGGCAACCGCCTTGTGAGAAGCGAAAAGCCACACTCGGCGTCAGTGGACCAGACGGCGGTCTAGACCACACCATCGGAGGTGGGTTTGGCTGGATCGACTTCCTAGGCGTGGGCAGCGAGCGCGCCGTTGGCTCCAAAATGCGCAAGCTCGAACAGCGCCTCCTCCGGCAATCCCAATCAGACCCAGACGTGCCCAGCCGCGGACGGGTCATCGTAGTGGGCGAGCTGAACCTCGACCAGCCCCGGGCGCTGCAAGCCCTGCGCAAGATCCTCACCACCTACGCAATGGAGCCCGAGGGCTCCTCGCCGATGACGTTCGTGCTCGCCGGCAACTTCACGCAGCACGCCGTGATGGCCGGCGGCGGCGCGAGCGGCGGCAGCGTGGAATACAAGGAATACTTCGACTCCCTGGCCTCTGTGCTTTCGGACTTTCCGACGCTACTGCAAACGTCGACCTTCGTCTTCGTGCCCGGCGACAACGACGGCTGGGCGTCGGCCTTCTCGTCGGGCGCCGCCGTGCCGCTGCCGCGCCGCGGCGTGCCCGAGATGTTCACGTCGCGGATCCGGCGGGCGTTCGCGTCGGCCAACGCCGAGGCCGGCACCAAGACCGGCGGCGGAGAGGCCATCTGGACCAGCAACCCGGCGCGCCTGTCGATATTCGGACCCGCGCACGAGATCGTGCTGTTCCGCGACGACATGTCGACGCGCATGCGGCGTACGGCCGTGCGGCTCAAGTCCTCAGAAGCCAACGGCGATGATCCCGAGAACGAAGGCCAGGACGCAGACCCGGAAAACGACTCACACACCCCAAAATCCACCTCCAAGCCCTCAGCCCCAACCACCACCATTGACCACGAAAACGACATCGACATGACCGCCGCCCTCGACGCCACCGACACGATGGACATCGACACCACCACCACAATCACTACCACTACCAACCCCTCCAAACCCGCCACCTCTAAACCCTCCCCCTCCTTCCCGCACGACATCCAAACCGCCCGCCGCCTCGTGAAAACCGTGCTGGACCAGGGCTACCTCAGCCCCTTCCGGCACGCGATCCGGCCCGTGCACTGGGACCACGACGCGGCGCTGCACCTGTACCCGCTGCCGACGGCTTTGGTGCTCGTCGACGCCACGGCGCCGCCGTTCGCCGTCACGTACGAGGGCTGCCACGTCGTCAACCCGGGCGCCGTGCTCGTGGCCGGCCGCCGGGGCGTCGGGCGCTGGGTCGAGTATGAGCTTGGGGGCGCGGGGAGGGTAAGGGAGTGTCTGTTTTGATTGAGGATGGGGGAAAGCTGTCGCTGGGTGAGGGTGGAATGAGTGATGAGGGAAAAGGGGTTGGCTGTGGTGAAAGGGGAGAGGGGGCCTGATTGAAGGTAGAGAAAGCTGCCCCCTCACTGGCCGGCTGGCTGGTGAGGCATACGTGTGAATGGATACGTCCTCGGGTAGTCGAGCATGCAGCATATGATCCAAGGGGCGGTCTGGATATAGATATGACGACCAACTCAAGCCATGGTAATGAGCCGGCACAACCAAGCATTTTCAACACCTGAACAGCATGATTACGGATTATGGATTATGGATTTGATCGATTTTGGATATTTAGGCATTACTGGCAATAAGCTTCATCTCGTTTATTGCCCCTGACTGATCGTCCAGGTGCTGCCGTGAAGCTATCAAAAGAATATAGATAATAGCGAACAAGATATATACGAAGAAACAAACAGTGCCACAAAAGTATGAAAGACACTGCTCGTGTTCCAACTTCAAAAAGTAGTTGAATCAGCCGGACCGTTGCCCGACATGCCCACGTTAAGCCATCGATCGTACGTTGAGCAATCGATCAGATCACGTACTATTTAATAGATTAGTCGGCTTCCTAAAGGCAAATAAATGCCAGAGGGCTCGGGAGTGTGCTTACCGGAATGAACAGGTACGGAACCCGCCTCTCGTACTCCTTCCAGGCCTCGCCGTACTTGTGCCTGCAGCGCTGAACATCTCTAACGGTGCGGTGTATGATCATGCAGCAGAAAAAGACCGGGTAGAACCAGGGGAACGGGCTTTGAAAGCCAGTGACCAGGCCCCACGAGATGGCAAAGAAAGCATCGCAAGTGTAGTGCAGCTTGCGCGCGTACCCATACCACCCATCCACCAGAATCGAGTCGCCTGTCTCGGTCTCGATGGTCTTCGGGTTCTCGAGGTACGTCCAAGGTAGGGAGGGGAAGGTGTTTCGCTTCATCAGCGTGCCGCGCTCCTTGTGGCGGAATGCGTTCTTCTGTCCGTTGCACTGATCCCAGACGCAGTACAGGGCCAGGTACGTCACAAAGAGGGCGCCGAGAGCGTACTTATTCCAGGCATACTCGGACGGGTGGTGGTTTGCGAGGTAGAGAGTGCAGTGGCAGTACGAGAGCGGGACACCGGCCATGTTCCAGAAGATGAGCATGAAGCCCCATTTCTCGTAGTACATATCCCAGGTTGTTACGATGAGCTGTTCTCCCTTGGAGCAGGCGTTGGCATAGAGGTAATGGGCCATGACCAAGAACCATACCTCACCGGATACGTAGCCGTTGTTCTCGTACTGGCGCGCTGCTGCAGCTGCGCTCAGACCGAAAAGGATATACCAGGGGATGCGGACTTCGTAGAACATCTTGAAGTCGAGGATGCCAAACATGCGTGGGTTGAGCTCGGCGCCCATGAAGAAGTCGTAGATGGGATATCCGGTCATGCGGTGTTGGGCGCCGCGGGCGATGGCCGAGAAGTATGCAACGAAGCTGCACAGAAACCCGGAGAGAATGGCGACCGACATGATAGGCCCAAATTCGTCGAGGAACGTGTAGATGGGGAATAGGCCGGTGAAGTGCAACACGCCCATGACGAAGATGGTGAAGTAGAAGCTGGTGTAGGCCGAGCAGTAGTACGGAAGCTGCTTGCCTCCCAGGTGGGCGAGCGGTTTGCCGTAGCCCCAGACGCCGGGCATCAAGCAGTAGCAAACTGCCTCGAAGATGAAGTAAACCCAGTAGATCCTCCATGCCCTTAAATGCGGGAATGCGCCGGTGTAGATGAGATGTCCCATGTGTTTGGCAAAGTCGACGAACGACTGTCCCTCCTCTGGCAAGGGCAGCTTTCCACCGTAGTAGGTTGAGCCAATCCACATATAGTACATGAGCGAGGGAAAGCCGATCATGAGGGCCAGGGTACCGAAGCTGCCTCCGAACTCGAAGTGTCCGGAGTTGTCGACTTTGGGATCGGACCCAACCTTCCAGCCATCGATGACTCTGTCTTTCGCATACCCGTTGATGTGCCCGTTGCTTTTTCCATTGGTATGTCCATTGGTATATCCCTTGGAGCGGCCGTTCTGCTGCGCGTGTGAAGGAGTCGAGTCAGCAATGCCACCACCGCTGCCGCTGCCGCTGATTATGGTCGCAAGCTTCTCGCTGCCTAGAGGACTGAAGTTCTCGTCCTTTGGTTTGGCGTCGGAATCGTCGACACTCTCGGCAAAATTGGGGACAAGTGGTCGGCGACGCGTAGATTGAGATCTCGTGGTGGTTGTCTCGGCGGCCGAGCTCGATTCGCCATCGTCGGACGCGCCCTCAAGGGGAAATTGCGACTTGCGTCGCGTGGAACGGCGGCGAGGAGTTTCGACCATGCCATCGAAGAGCTCCTTTTTCCTGTGCGGCGATAATTGTCGTTAGAATCGGCTCAACAAGTGCGGTACTGGACCAGACGGTGTCCGGTCGCGCGCGCTTGAACTTGCTCGAATACACAAAGGAACCACATTCGACAGACACATGGCCAAACTGGGACTCTCGACATACCTCGGAGTAGCGCGTAAAGAGTATCGTGCAGACATTCTGGCGGTGTGCAGGTGAGAGAGCGGACAACGGGCAATTGAATGCTCGTCAGTTCTATGTACGTCTCGTCTTCGAAGTGCGAAAGCGACTCGAAGGAGTGTAAAACTGGGAAAAGCCGATGACCCCAGATTGTGTAATGTTTGGGTCAACAGTGACCACAAATTTCATTGGCCGTTCTCCAGTTGGTCCGGTAGCCAGGGGCAGCACAGGGCACAATCATTGACGTATCAGTGATCATTCGAACCCTCCGTGCCCAAATTTAGCCCCCCCGACTCATGAACAATCCGCCCTAAACCGTCCATCATTTCAGCCACTTGGCCAATCAGCATTGTCAGAGACACTTCACGTGTATTGCTGTCACTAAAGGCAGTTGTCCTCCACGACAAACTCATTATGTATGCTTACTTTACCTACCTGTATTGTAAGGAAGTACTTACGCAGTGCATAATGTTCATAACTATACCAGAAACACAACAGAGCAATGGAGCCCCGGGTAGTATGCAGAGTCGCGGACGAACAATCGAGTCGTAGGTGAGAGAAATTACTACCGGAAGTACCTATAGGAAAGAGTAGGAAAATGCATCGCAAACCATCCACTGCAAAACCCTGTCAACTGTCGATGGTGTCGAATGCTGAGACGTAGGTTGCAGTAGATCCGCGTTGTCGGCCTTGAGAACCTGGCCTGGTTCCGATGTGACCTCGCTCGAATCACTCGTGAGTCGTCGAGTGCTGCGACTTGGGACACATAGTCTGAAGGTTCCTTGATAGCAGAAGGAGGAGTCTGTAATGGGTCAGTGGCGTTCAAAAATACGATGACGAGAAGGTTGCTTACAGGGTTTGCGGAACTTCAGAGCTTGTATTGACTTGATCCCGCTGGTTCCCGCCAGTCGATCCTATCAGGGCTATTGTCTTGCCTGTTGGCATGATTACCGACCGGCCCTGGTTCTCGTCCCGGAGCTCGATGTTCTGCAGATCGTTTCGCGCTCTTCATGCACTGCAGGATCCTAGTCTCGGATTAGCGACTCGAATACGACTCGATAGCGACCCGGGTGGTGGTACTCACCCGCATGGCGAGAGGGAGCCGACATCTCTGCGTCTGTTGTGAACGGCAACATGACCCGTTCGTCTCAAGGAGTTGACAGGGGTGTGGTGACCGGGGAGAGCAGAAGATGGGTAGAGAAGAAACGTAGATTCGGCGAGAATGGGGGTGATTTATAGAAATCGGGAGAAGCCATGGGCTCGCTTCTTTGCTCGCAAGGCCTTGCTCAGCCAGCCAGCCAGATCAGTACAACACACAATGAGCCTCGCGACCCATTGGGCATGTGGTGGGGATGGAGCTCAATCTGCTGGACAACCTCGCAGCACATCTCATTGGGAAGGTTCTCAAAGTGAGAAGCAGCCATGGCGATCAATGGGTTGAGTCAGAGTCACAAGGGTGGCCTCGAGACTTCCACCGTGGTCAATCTAGACCTCCTATGTGAGAATGGAATAAAAAGTCGAGTCGCATGTATGGCCAATTTGCCGAATGCTATACATGGTATGCGGTTGATTAGTCGGTACGGTGCTCGGTGGTGATTGTTGTGAATTGTGAAAGGTGATTGGCTTTAGTCAGGATGGTCTTGCGTGTCGTCCAACGCATACTCATGGCTGTGGTGACCCTGTTGCATAAGCATACTCATCCCAAAGGAACCGGAGGACGGTCGAGGCGTTGCGGTCCGAATGCGCCAGGGGTAGTACTCCTTCTTCTCCATTCGCCTCAGAGGAGGCCAACTTGTGGAGAAGATCAAAGTCGGACCATCTGCAGTTATCAGGTCCTCCTCAGAGAGTGAGGTATACCTGCCCTTTTGGGTGCATAGCATGTGTCAACGGCGACCTCGTCACCACCCGAGTCACCGCCGTCATCCAAGTCACCAAAGTTACCCCCTCCATCTGAGGCCTTGCGATGACGAAGGTTGCAATGCAGCATTGGCAGTTGAGCGACAGCCGGCGTCGGTTTGCCACAGATGTACCTATGAAAGGTACTGTATTTATGCGTCTCTGCCAAGCAGAGCCGGCGGCAGGATGAAGGTCTTATCCCAGCCGAGATCTGCTGCGAGGTCATCAAGTTCGGAATGGTCCATCAACATTGACGGTTCGGTCATGTTCTCTTCAATGATGCTGATCAGTTCCGCCGGCGACTTCACTTCGTCGTCTTTGCAGTTGCTCTGGTCCTTCTTCAGCATGTGGTAGAGCTGCTCCCAGGGGGACGGTCCACCCATCTCTTGAGAATGTATGTTAGCTCATGACAATAGTAAGAAATAGGGGAATGGCGTGAACAAACTTAAGCGTCTCCAGAAACGGCGGAGGAATCTGATGCTGAGCCAGAGGACGGAGACTTGGTTCGTGTTCGTGCTCATCAGTTCGAGCATGCAGTCAGCGAGAGTCACTTCCAGGTTCATAGACCAATCAGATTCATCCAAGGAATCCGCTTCTTCCAGTTTTACTTCGAGGCCTCCGATGGCATCAGGGAAATGGAACGTGAATGCCTGTTCGATGCCCATCGGCAAATCTCCGGAAGGCGCCATGATCAAAGTTGTAGGGCTGTTCTTGGGACCAAGGTAGGTGACGCCAAAGTCCTTTGCTTGCCCACGATGAAAGGTCAGGATGTCCGGTGATGCAAATGGCTCTCGACAGGTTTGGTGTGTTGCGCTCGCGTGTAAGTCGACTTGCGGGGGAAAGATGGCGGTCCAAGCGGTGCGGTGCGGTGCGGTGCAGTCAGTTGGTTTGGATTGAGCCTCAATCGACGGCTGGGGTGGTGACCTTTCCACGGGGACAACGCTAAAGTCGAAACTTCTGCTCTCTTTCGGCTGCCACGAAGTCGATACCTTTGAGGTCAAAGGCTGGGGGGCTAGTGACGGCTAGGGTGATGCCTCTTTTGTAACTTGGAAAAGTCAGGACGACTTGCTGAGCCTAATATCTGCCGTTCGAAGTCACTTCAAGTCGCAGACCTGCTTCAGGTTGTAGAGATATCTGTTGAGAAACGGTCGGCAAGATCCCTTGCGTTGATGAGCTGACTGCCTGACATAAATTGCCAACTTGGAGCTTCAGGTTGTAGCCAGATACCCGGGAGATAAAAGATGGCTTGGCAGAGTAGATACCTGAGGCACGCAACTAGTGCAATTGGAGAAAGAGTCTGGCGTCGCCGGTGAAGTATTGCTTGAGGAAGTCCCGGACCTGCTGCTTGTCGTTATTGTGATGATCTCGAGTTGAGAGTGCTGAGGCAGTTGTCGTGGCGTACTCACTATCGAAAAGTTAGTATGAGACAGAACGACTGCATCATCGAGATGGTAGCGGAGACTTGGGATCAAGACGAGATGTCTTCATACTTACCACTCAACAGGATCGATGGTTTCAAAAATGAATCCTGCAACCTCTGAACCTATCCCCAATATCTTCTCTCTCAAAACGACCTCGCCAACGTTTCTTGTTGATGAGCTCAGAATCGGGAGGTAGTCTCTTCGATGAGCAATTGCCGGTACTGGATCTCGACTGGAACTGTGGAAAGTAGTTCCTTTTCGTATCTATGGATGCGCCAGTGATGCAGAATGGCGGTCTTGGTGTTCGCAAATAGTGAGAGAAATTCATAGACGGCAACGAAGGCGTCCGTAATATCTTCTTGTGGCTGCAGCCTGGACACGAATTTGTTGTAATCGTTAGTGCAATGCGTCGAGTGCCAGACACCGAAGAAAAGAGGTGCTAGCAGGTAAGGTGCTTGAGGAACAATCGTGGAATAGTTAACACGAGACCTGTGGCTACTGTCCCGACGTTCACTAATGTCGCTGGACCGGAGACCTCGCGCTGTTCAAGCGTTCCCAGTCGGTGCCGGCTTGGGATCGGGTAGATGCTACCTTATATTCCACTTGGTGTGGACTGCGGGAAGAGCACCTGCAGTGACGACAGTGTGCTGACTTTCTTCCTGCAGTGTTTGTTCTAGAAAGATTCCTTCGGGCGCCAGGCTGAAGCTCGCAGAGGTCCAGTCGCCAAGGGCAGTGGTCGAGGGATGACGAGGAGGACAGAGAGCTCGCAACGCGAAGTGTTGGGAATGAAGATATCGAGTATTGACGAAGATGATGTGGAAAAGGTAGATGGGTGATAATCGGGTAGATTTACCGGAAGCAGACCAAATGAAGTGATCAAGGTCTACCGAGTGCCGAGAGAAGCTGAATGTATTCTGAGAATAATTCAAGAGGTATTCTGTTTCCAGCTTGCTGGATGGTAGATTGGCGCCACCTAGGAGACAAGGGCTTGTCAGCAGTGAATACGCGACAGTAGACGTGATCAGTTGTCAAGTTGGCTGGCACTCCCAAGTAGGGAAGCTCGATGGTACTTACGGCCTGCGATGCAGTGAGATGTCTGCACAAGGGATCCCGAGGCGCTCTTTCCATCCAAGTGCAGCGAGATGGTGCAAAGTAAGGATCGAAGGCAGCCTTTTGTATGTAGGATGGCAGCGAGATGCGTGGTGAGAATGGTGGGAGAGGATGGATCGCAATCTGAAATGGAGGAAATGCCTTGAATTGCTGTGCAGTGCAGAGACGTGTCCAGCCTGGTGGTGGTTGCGCCCCGTTGAGAAGTGCAGTACGGCAGAGAAAAGCACTGCAGGTTTGTGAAGAAGGAAGTGCAGAGCAGAGATTTTTGTAGTTCACGAATGGGTTTAGTAAGAATTTTTTTGAGGACGCGAGTTGGCTGGGCACCTGGGCAGAGAACAATGGCGCTTGATGCCTCAGCGACAGCCAGGCAGGTGGTCAAGGCGACACTCCTCTCCAGATTCAGATACCTCAGTACTAACACCGAGTCATAAAGCACAGTACCTCATGTCTACCTATGGACACCTCTCTGGTCTTTAACTCCCCCAGATGATCAGTCCTAGGGCCGAGGTTGCTGGAACTACGGATGGGCAGCTTATCGCAGCAGCATGGACAACAAAAGGCGATAACAAAACTCATGCTTACCAGCCGACACATCAAGACAGTAATGGAAACTTTGTCCAGGATTCTCAGAGAGGCCCTCTCGTATGGTTCCAATATTGACTCCTGGGAAAGGGTAGTCTGAGTACACGACGCAAAGAAACGCCGTTCCGTGTGCCATTTTTACCCACGTTCATTAAACACTCGCAAATAGCTCTACCACCACAACGCGTTTAGCTTCTGTAAATGTTTGCTGAAGATGGTAATTAGCTATAGAATGCATATCTGATTTTTATATATTTTTGACTCGTCGTTTTGATGGTTTCGTAAGCCTGTCTACTCTAAAAGTTCCGTGTGCATATTTCACTTGACATGCTCCCCCCTCTCACATCAACACATCTCGTTCAATTTAACTTAAACTTGAAACAGACCTCAGATGCATCATTCGCAAGCTCCGAGCGTTGAGATATTCTGAGATTTCTACATACCGGCTAAGATTCCTCCGGGACCTTCATGGGGTATTCCGCGGTCGCCTTTTGGAAGGACTAACTGTATGCAATCGAGAGTAGACTAATCTGGATCCTCTCTTTACGCTCTATCTTTCCATATAATATCGTTTCATTATCATCAGTACTGGTGTGTTGAAAGAAAATTAGGTGTTTAAGAAGTTGTCACGGCACTAGATGACAGCCCCACAGCTCCAGGGGTCAACCCCTGTATATACCTGCTCCTGTCTCCTAGCTAGCTTCATAGTTTCCTTTTCTCTTTACGTCCATCAATAAAATCATTTCTGGAGTCACCAGCAGTCGAACTGTGACAGAAGTAGGTGTTCGTTCCAAAGGGGGGGTTTCCGCATCCAGTACTCAGACCAGAGACTGGCCATCACCAAACCCGCCCCATAATTAGTCCCTGAGGGCAAAATCGGGAACGCGGTGACAGCGGTACGGACGAGATATCGTTGTTGTCTTGATGATGGTCTATCTACTGTCCGTTGGCAGCGTTTATACACCAACATAAAAAGGTGGGTTCTGCTCACACGCCCTCACCCTGCTTTGGCTGGAGGCTGTATGTGGTCCTGGAATCTCTCCTTGAGCTCTGGAAACTTCGAAAACGCAAAGAAAATCCTCTGATGGTGCCTCCATCTCCCTGTTCCTCCATAGGAAAATGCCGTTGAGGCTCTGCTGCTTTCTCCATTGAGGAGCTCTGACGTGCCTCCGTTGAGGACTTCTCTCGTGATGCTGATTTAGGAAAAGGGGATGCCGTGGAGGCCCTGGTGTTCTTCTTTCTCTGGTGCCTCTGCCGCCATGGCAAGAGGACTTCTGCTGCTCCGTGGCTTCCACTCGCCACATCTTCTTCTGTTGTAATCTCTCGCTCGCCCGCGTGCGGAGATGCCTCCCCTGGAGGTCCTGACCTTGTGTGCCTTTATCGTGACGGACTTGACAGTTATACCGTGCCTCCCGTCGTACTAGGAGGACTTTCGAACAGTGCCTTCACCGTGAAGGGCTTCCGATGCTGTGCCTCCGTGGAGGCCTTCCGTTATCTCTCGCTCGCTTGCGTGTGGAGATGCCTCCCGCGGAGGACTTGCCGTGGCCTCTAGAAGGAGGGCTTACGATGCCTCTAGCCGCGTTGGCAAGGACTTCCCATGGTCCTTTCGACAAAGGACCTGGAGGTGAAGATGCTTCCGTCGAGGCTATTATCCGTTCCATTCGTCTGGCTAGTCAGGCCGTGACGCCTCTATCGACTTGAAGGATTTCGCTCGTCCTTTTCTGAGCGTAACTGAACCTCGTGCCAATATTGGTCGATACGTACGGGTTGCTTGGTATTTCCTCCTGCCGCAAGTCCGGCAGTTAACTGGCTATTACGCGGTGGTGATGCCATCCCTTGTGAGTGATTATGGAGGGCTCTCGCTTCGTTTGGTGCTTCGTTGCTGATCAAGCAGCTGATCGTGAGGACTTGTGCTCGTTTGGGGGTGCTTCGTCACCTACGCGCCGTAGATGATCGATACGCGCGCCGTGGGCTTCAGTCGGTGCTTCTCTCGCAAGGAAGACTTGATGCGGCGCTTCGGCTGTTGGCTAAACAGCTTCTTGTGAGGACTTGGGGTGCGTAAGCCGTGGTGTGACTGCTACGCGCGTTGCTGATGGATCTTTTGCAAATTCAATTTTTCCTCGCCTCCATTTGCAAATTATCGAGGCTGCGGAGGAAGGCTCTCTTTCTCTCTGCTGCTACGCGCTGTCGTAGATCGAACGGGCGCCGTGGTCTTCGGGGTTGAGGCGCTCGTAATGGCGATCTTTGACGTGCTCATTGGAGCCGTCGTTCGTTCTGCCGACGCCTTCTTGCTGAAGGAGGCTTTCTTTAAGCCGGGGAACGAGAAAATGATTGCTTCGTACTGACTGCTGCGAGTGCCGTGTGGACTTGAGGTTGAGGTGCTAGGAGTGATAACTTCTAACGCGCTTTCTAAGCCGTTTTCTGCTGGCGACGACGCCCTTAGGCTCGCCGTTGTTCTTCTGGCGACTTCTTTTGCGTCTGGAGGGCGGTTCGCAGGCCCGTTTGCAGTCGTTTGCTGAACCTGAGCCGGTTCTTGCTCTCTTTCTTTGTGTTACAAAGCCAAAGGCGACGTGATGATCTCGGCTGGTCTGGCGCGCTTTCTGACGCCTTGGATGCTGGAGAGGGATATCTGATGATGCTGGCGCCTTTTTGGCGCTCTGGATGCTGTTCGTTCTGCCTTTTTTCCCCCAGTTGACGCTCGTCCGTTTGGTCCTTTTCTGGTTTTAGCTGGCGCGCTTTGGGGTAACGTCCTGGCTAAGCCCTGGAGCTGTTCAGACGATTTTCTGCCCTCGAATTTCACTTAGAAATGAAGAGATGTTACCATGAGGGCAATATCCACGGAGAGTTGAGGGCAGTATGAGCGTAACAGCGTTTGTATCTTAACGATGGTCTACTGTCCGTTGGCAGCGTTTATACACAAAATAAGTGGGACGGGGCCCATGGCACCGACATTCGTGCTGCCAACCACATACTGGCTACATACAAAGGTGGATTCTGCTCACACTTTCCATATGATATCGTGTGATTCTCATTAGTACTGCCGTGCTGAAAGAAAAACATGTGTTCAAGAAGTAGGTGTTCATTCCAAGAGAGGGGGGGGGACCGCATCCAGTACTCAGACCAGAGACTGGCCATCAACAAACCCGCCCCTCGATTAGCCACTTTTTATTGGCCAGTCTCTGATCTGAAGCTGAGATAAGGAAAGGGGCAGTATCCCTTCCCCTTGCCTGGAGTCGACATCAGGCAGTGGTGAGTATGATATTGTTCCCCAGTCCGCGCCTGTTGGGGAATCACTCTGCAGAGTGTCAGACCCTGAGGGCAATCAAGGTTTGTCGCTACGTATCGGTGGACATGGGCTGAATATGATGAATGATCTGACTTGGATTCGGGATCTTAAAACTAGGAAGAGACAATAGTTAGCCACCAAGCTGCCGAGTCGGGTGGTGCTCTTCCACGGTATCTACGGACTGCAGTTCCTGCATGCCATGAACGCTGTCGGCTCCGTGCCTGAGCATCTGCACGGATCACAGTGGTGGTAGTCCACCTCCAACTGAGTTGGTCAGGAGGCTGGCGTCGGGCCACCCCTTTTCCAGAGCCTCATCCCTAGGCAAAGGTTTGGGCGATGGGCCGAGTTTCACCGTGCGCTAGTATCGCCTGGACAATACCATATAGTGACCGGATGGCGTCTCGCGGTACGCGAGCCACGTCCCAAGAGGGCAAGCAGAAAGGGGCGCCGTCTTCCCACCAACCCAAGCAGAAGGTACCCGACTTGTCACTCACCTTTTATACACGCCCAATCGCCACCTTGGCCTGCTCTAGAACATTCACAAAAGGCATGGCATCGCTTCAGACTCTACCGAACTTCTAAATAAGGTATTGCTTACTGGCGATGACAGGAAGCAGCCAAGTTCATCGGGTGAAGGGTCTGGGAGCAATGAAAGCGTCATCCATCACGCTACAAAGAAATAGTTACTCAACTTTAAATTTACTTGAGACTAGCATAAAAGACGACTGGTTTCGATGTAATGTTTGACGTCAATGGCGCTTCCACGTCGGACAGCGATAGCTATAGTCACTGATTATAAAGCTTTGTTCCGCGCACATCGAATCTTCAATATTCTACCCGTGGAGCGGCGACAAACGAATGTTAGATAAATACCGTATGATGTCAATTAGGTTCGACTTCTTTCACCGGTGGCCAGTGGGGCTTGACATCTTTTTCTCTATCATAGTGGAATAACCACCCTAGAACAAGCAGTTATATAAGAAAACATCCTTGTTGCGTATTCCAGTACGATGTCCGGGTGCTGAGCACCTTGGGTAAGAGGAGTGTACGCAAACTTTTGGGGCTTCAGTGTACACAGCCTCCGTAGTGAGATGAGGGTATCTTGAGTATTGAATCTTGAGTCTTTTGATTTGTAATCCCTACTAGAGAGATGCGTCTCTCGAAGGGGCAGAAACATCCAGATGCCAGCCCCGTTGCAGTCGATTCGAGTCTGTCCTCGGTCTTCTATCCGGCGAGTCACGTCACACATGCACATTGCCCGATTACAAATGCAGTTTTGTGAGGATCCATCACGGGCAGTGCTAGACGACTCCTCGCCCGGCATGCTTCCGCTTACGACCTAGTCATCGGCATTGCGGGCCGGTGTGCCATGGCCGTGATCTGTCGATACCCGCATATGCGGTCAGCTGTATAGCTCCGTGCCAGAACGTCAACTCCGCTACTGCCTACGGCAATGCCATCTGGCTGCTGACAAATATGTCTACGTACACGGCACACTTCGCAAGCTAACTTATGTAACTGGATGCCTTGGACGACATCAGTTCTAGTCCTTACAATTACCTACAGGGGCTTGTACCAAATACTATAAAATCAACTATCTACACTCGTGTACTGCACCTTGATCTCATCCAAACCTTCACAAACCCTTCTGCCTTCTTCAGAACTCCACAGACCCGCAAGATGCGTGAACCTCCACTAGACCTCGAGCACACGCCTCTGGGATCCATACCTCTGCTCCCATCCTTCAAGATCTACGCCGAGACATACAAGCAGGTCAACGGGCAGCCCATCGATGCCTACATCTACATCCCCAAGGACCTGCCGCTTGGCAAGCGCCCGCTCCTCGTCCGATTCCACGGCGGCGCATTCAGCGAGGGCACCTGCGATTCGTGGATCCATCCTTGGTAACATTACTTCCACTCCCAGTCCCAAGTATAGGCACGCCTGAACCAAACAAGCTGACCTCCGCACCCCAGGATCTTCGAACTGGCCCTCAAGCACGGCGCGATAATGGTGTCACCAGACTACCGCTTCCGCCCGGAATCCACCCTGGCCGACGAGCTGGACGACATGGGCGACTTCTGGACCTGGGTCGCGACGACCCTGCCATCCGTCCTCTCATGCCCATCCATATCCCCCACAACACCCCCAACCCCATCCCCATCCCCAGAACTAGACCTCACCAACACAGCCATAGTAGGCGAAAGCGCCGGCGGCTACCTAACCGCGCAAACCGCGCTCCTAAACCAGACCGCACCCCCCATCCACCTCCGCGCCCTGCTGATGCAATACCCGCTCCTATCCCTAGCGCGGCACCTCTCTGAGCTCGAGGCCCTGCCCGAAACCGAGAAAGTACTAATTTCAGTCCTAGAGGCGCACCTCTCAACCCTAAAAGCCACCCCAGGGAAAATCGTCACGCGCGTCGACAACGGCGCGCGCATGGAGCTGTTCGGCTCCATGGTGCACCACGGGCAATTCGTCTCGGGCGGCTCTACCCTCGCCGTCGGAGATGCGAATGCTTACCTGGACCCGATGTTGAGTCTGGAGACTGTGCGGGGGGCGGTCCCGCCGACGCTGCTGTTCCATGGGCGGGAGGATACGAGTGTGACGGTGGACAAGTCCGAGGAGTGGGCGGAGAAGTTCAGGCGGCTGCAGCCGGATACGCCGTTTATGTTCGTGGTTAGGGACGGGGAGGAGCATATCTTCGATCGTGATGATACGCTGGCGACGCCGTGGCTGAAAGAGCCGATTGAGTTTGTGGAGAGGTTTTGGCCTGCTAAGTAGATGACGGTGGGATGTGTTGGTTGTTAATGGGTTATATCAAGTATGCGGAATCTACGCGACTCTCGTATCAAGGTCAGAATCAAGATGCTCACTATAGTCGTTACGGCCTCACGAATAGGGGAGGGTGTTGAGGTATCTATCTAAACCAAAACAATCTCACCAAACTCCAACCCATCCAACGCCTCTCCCTGCATGAACCCATGCAAATATGTGCCCCCAACCAGTCTATAGCTCGCCGCACTCGAAGCGACAGGGCGCAATATCAATGGTACCCTTGAGCCTTGAACAATCCATACCAGATCGCCCTCCCTACAAGACTGCGACCCTAGACCAAGATTGCCGCGCGCTGTCCTGAATAGTCGTAGGTTCAGCGAGTGCATAAACGACGTCTCAAATTCAGCTGCCCTCTGCTTTTGCTCGACCGACGGATTCTCTTTCATGTTCATCCATACGTAAAAGCCGTCTTCCCATGGCTCTTTGATAGGCACGACACCGCCGGGCCCGGTATCAGCGAGCAAAGTCCTCCAAAACGCATCTCTGTTGTCTCGCTCGGGATGTTCTCGTTCGAGGTCTTCAAGCATCTCGAGCCATTCTCTGCAGTCTTTCGAGCGGTTCACCTCAGTCTTCGTCTCCCCAATCCGACTAATAGTGTCAAACTGTGAGCCGAGAAACGTCAGGCCGCCATCGTCGCGTGTCTGCTTGAAACACGGCAAGTCTCCCGCGGCCATGTATCTAGTATAGCCCGTGATCCTGAGCCCTAGGTCAGCTCTCATGCTCCAGTCAGGCACCCACGACGGCAGTCCCGGTATACGCTTGAAGTCGTCGCCCTCAGCGTGAGCGAGGACATGAAGCCCTTCAACGCTTTCCAGTAAATATTTCGTAACATCCGTATACAGCCTCGCGACGCTGCGGTGGTAATTAGGATAAAGCGCATCAGGAAACTCATGATCCTGCGGCGTCGCCAGGCCCAGCAGCGCGTATACCTTGTCGCGGTCATTCGAGGCGTCGTAGCTGCGACACCGGATCAGACTATTGAGCAGCACGCTTCCTCTACCGCCCACAATGTCCTTCTTGACGGCCGCGAGCTTGGTCGGGTTCTTATACGAGAGAAGGTGCGGATCCAGGTCCTCGAACAGGTGCGTCCGGAACGTGTTAGCTGACGTCCGCGTAGCCAGGAAGTGCGACACGGCGACCATGTCATCCCAGTCGAAGGCGCAGGCGCCGCACTGCACGGCGATGTGGCGTGCGAGCACGAGCTCCTGGATTACCCAGGCCCGAGTGAACCACGTCCGGCCGAAGAGTAGAGCCAGTGCCCGCCAGTGAGCCGCCGAATTGACGGCGCCGAGAAGCTGCGCGTTGTGCGCGTTGTCGAAGGCCTGTGGGTCGATGGTGACTCTTTCGTGTTCAGACAGCTGGCTGAGGCGGGTGATGAGGTCGACCGCTGGCTGGGTGAACTCATCTGCTGCGCCGAGCCAGACGATGACGCGCGTTGCACTCCGGTAGATGTCCGCCATGATGCTGACCTGTTGGCAGCGCTCGGCATGGTCATCTTGGTTGACGCAGATGGCATCTATCCAGAGGTCTCTGTCGTAGTAGGAGTCCGCCTTCAGTTGCTGGAGGCAGCGAAAAAGGTTCTCCGTCACGAACAGCTGCCCGCCGTTGCAGAGTATCGGGTACTTGCGCTTCGCTATCATGCCCTTGTCGATCTCAGCTTGGGTCGTGGGGCCCCATGTGTACGAGAGGGCATCGTAGCTTGACACATGGCTATCGTGTAGATCGGCTACGTGAATGCTGCACGCAATGAGCTCTTTCGGCCCGGTAGGGATGATTCGGAGCAGTCGAATAAGCCGAGGCTCGGGGTACGACGTCTCCCCTGAGCTGGCTTGGCTGCTGCCACTGTCAAGCCCGTGGTCTGGGACATGAAGATTGACACAGAAGTATGAGAACGGTTTGAGCTCCGATGAATCGCTCCACGCGTCTTGTGAGGGGTCTGGTCCATAGCGACGACTCTTGTTGACTACCCACTCCCAAATCCTTCGAAGCCTGGAGTTGTTGTTGAAGCACCACATGTCCACCGCCAGACAATCGCATTGTCGTGAGATGACAGCAGACGCAGCTGAAGGCGGCTATTGTCATTCTGAACTCGAGCGTCGAGATCAGGCATCATTTTGTTCGGCGGCCTCGAGCATTGTCTGACGTCTGGCACCAATCACGGCTGGGCGAGGCGTCGCGGGTGCAGGAGCTGGGTGTCGATCGGCCGCAGGCGCTTAATGTCTGCCTCCCTGCCTCCTCACGTCTCACCTCAGCCACGCGGGGCTATGAAGGCAAGGTTGAGCCTGTAAGGTAAGAGAGATGATTGAGTATCGGGGGACATTACCTGCCAAAGTGTTGAGAAAAAGCTTAATCATATTAAGTTGCATCTCTACATATGTGAGTACCACGAGGACGATCTCCTCTATTCCCCCTACCTCTTTTCAAAGCTGTGGGTTTGCTCACTGGAACGAACCATGGGATCCCTGCAATGACTTTCGCCATGAGAACCATGAGGCGGAGAGCGCGTGAGAAGTTCCCAGGTCAGACGACTGCGACGTCGCTGTGTTCACTGATGATCTGGTCAAGTGGTGGATGAGGGCTCTGTCTCAGTTGTGGTGATGATGGGGTCAAGCGGACTGTGGCGCATGATTCCACCAGCTCAGCCGCTCAAGCCGCTGTGGGTCTCGTGTCGGGGCTAGGCTTGGCGGACTTGACATGAGCAACCATCAACGTGTGACACGAACCTTCACACGACCCAGACATCTTCAAGTCGCGAATTCAACGATTACCGAAGTCCTCTCTTCTGATATATACTACAAATTCATTGCGCTAATTCCGTTTAGTGAGTTCACTCAGTCGAAAGCTCTGACGTACGTTATCGAAGTTTTGGGTTCGTCTCCGCTTTCTTGCGCCACTGCCTCTGGTCATTCTTCGACAAAGGAGGCGCAGAACCCCCAGATCTCAGTAGGCCGAGACACAGGGTGTCTCGTTTCATCCGTCACGTGCATGTCCAAGACATTGTTGTTTTCGGCAATAATACCTACTTGAATCCATCGAGTCCCTTCTTAGGGCGCCGCGGAAACCTGGACCATCTGCGCGACGACGCCTATACTCTCCTATGCACGCAATGAGATCCCTCGCTTCGAGGTTCGCGCGCCAGGAGTCTGTCCACGATTACGTCGGCGTTTTGGTTCCGTTAGAAGAGGCGCATTTGCACAGTCATTCCGCCAGATCCGGCCGGACCGAGTTCGAGGAGGCCCAAGCTAGCCCCGATGATGTCGGTATTGACGAGCCCGAGTCTGAGGCGGCCAAGGACGGCGAGAATGAGGGGACTGGCATGCTCCAGATGAGCGCTGCCGAGTATTCCATTGAGGGTTTGAGGAGGGACGTGCGCAAGGGTGAACGAGGCCAGCGGTGGTCCGAGTACGAGTGTGAGTTTGGCCAAAGGGCCACGAGGGAGAAGCCGGCCATGTCGGGTGCTGATGGGATTGAAAAGTGAAGTCGAAACTCATAAACAAGGCGATACAAGATATCGGCATGGGTCGGTACCAATGGCAGATGTTTGTCTTGTGCGGATTTGGGTGGTTTGCGGATAAGTGAGTTCGGACTCAACCGTTGATACTGGGTCCATGTTTGCTGACGCCTCAACTCCTAGTCTCTGGATGCAAGTACGTTGCCCATACTACTAACCATAATCCTGGCTTGGACCCTGTCTTACTATTTCTTAGGGCGTTTCTCTAACACTTCCATCACTCTCGCAAGAATTCGATGTCTCAGAGAAGCACGTCAGGTATACCACGAGTGCTCTGTACGTCGGACTGTCCACCGGCAGTGTCATTTGGGGGATCGGATCGGACATATACGGAAGACGAGTAGCTTTCAACGCGACGTTACTACTCGCCGGCATCTTCGGCATTTTGGCAGCATATGCCTCGAGTTGGACGGCTGTGTGCGTATGTGAATCGAATCGTTCTTTCCACCTCCTTGTTATGTCTTTGGGGGTAGCTTCCCATTTGAGCCTGTTCAAGCAGCTTTGCTTCCAAGCTATGCACCTGGACACCTTGATTCCCACTAAACTGTTTTCAAGGGGTGATTACTGACTCCCGATTTCTGTAGATTTTGTTTGCTCTGATGGGAACTGGCGTTGGCGGTAGGTCTAAACTCCCAGAACATTGTCAAATACAATATGAAGCGTACTTATTGACCTTGCCGGTCTCTAGGGAACTTGCCAGTAGAGTAAGTAACATCTTGAGTTATTCATTGCCCCTGAAAGCATGGCTCGGGAGTACGTTCTCCTGAGGGCTTTGCTCTAGAACCAGATTCTGAGCTCCCGAAACATTGCTCCTTGGTCCACGCAAAAACAAAAGCAAATAAACAAAAACTTGCTAACCTTATCCTGTAGCGGTTCGCTATTCTTGGAAGTATTGGTGCGTATAAAAATATGGTTGCTTTGGAACCCAAGCCTGCTCCATATGCATACCCTCCCAGCTTCTAGTAACTAACGTTTCGACAGTAAGTAACACATTCTCGACTCGCCACGTAAGCCTATGAGAGGATCCCCGAGAAGGAGCGACCCTTTCCGCACCCCTAAGGGCCCATCGGTTTTCGAGGGTCCTCTACAGTTTCTGAGAAGATGGATTACAAGCACTAACACATCGCCTTTCACAAATCAGACCAGACACCTCAAGCTCGTTGCTGACGCTCCTCTCTGTATGGTGGTCACTTGGGACACTGGGCTCATCGCTCTGTGCATGGTACTTCATAACGAACTGGCCGGTGGATGAGGGCTGGCATCTATTCGTGTCCTCCATCGGTATAGTGACATTGGTCCTGTTCATCTGCCGTTTCTTCCTCTTCCACCTGTTCGAGTCGCCGAAGTTCCTCTTGTCACAGGGCCGGCAAGCAGAAGCCGTGGCAGTCGTCCATGGCATTGCCTACCGAAACAAGACGATGACCTGGCTTACGGAGGAGATCATGGATGCCGTCGTCGACAGCGAGGGTACGGAACGGCTACCAGTACGAGTGACCGCCGGTAACGTGATTAAGCAGAGCCTCACCTCGTTCTCAGTCGGCCACCTACGACCCCTATTCAAGACCCGCAAGCTCGGCATCACGACGCTGCTCATCTGGTTCTGCTGGGCCACCATCGGCATGGGGTACCCGCTCTTCAACGCCTTCCTCCCGCAATACCTATCCCACGGCGGATCAGAGGTGCCAACCGTCCCCGATGACGGCGCCCCGGTGTCCGCCACGCCCGCGGATACATACCGCAACTACGCCATCATCTCCATGGTCGGCGTGCCCGGCAGCCTGCTCGCCGCGTACACGGTCGACCACAAGTCGCCCTTCCTGGGCCGCAGGGGCACGCTCGCCATCTCGACCCTCGTGTCGGCCGTCTTCCTCTTCCTCTTCGTCGCCTTCGGCACCACGCCCGGCTCGCAGCTCTTCTTCACCTGCGTCGAGGCCTTCTTCCAGAACATCATGTACGGCGTCCTGTACGCCTTCACGCCCGAGATCTTCCCCGCGCCCGTCCGCGGCGCCGGCACGGGCGTGGCCAGCTTCCTGAACCGCGTCATGGGCCTCGTGGCGCCCATCCTGGCTGCTAATTTTCCGGGGAACGGGACGGAGGGGCCCATATACCTGTCGGCGATCCTGATTTTGGCGGCCTTTGTGGGGATGGTGTTGATCCCTATCGAGACTCGGGGGAGGCAGAGGCTTTGAGGGTTCTTTTTTTGGGCTGGGGACTGTTCATAGAGGCATGTTGTGTGCGTGTATATAGCTGGGGTTTGTATATACAGACGGGCAAATCGTGGTGTAGATAAAAGTGTTCTGCATATCAAGACTGGTTCACAACATCACAATAGAACAAACACATGAAGCGGATATAAACAGCATAATATATAGTGATATCTCGGTGATGGTGATGGGGTCTAACAAGAAATCTAGGTAAACATCCCGTCGCTCACTTCGTCCCCCTAGCCCCCGCAGGCGCATCAACCCGCCTCTTCTGCAACGACCTGCCCAGCGCATCGCGCACCATGGGATCCGCGCGGACCGTGTTCTGCACGAGCCACTCCTTCAGCTTGGAGCGCATGCTGGCGACGACCTCGACGTCGCCCGCAAACGGCGCCATCTCCAGCTCCATCAGTCTTGTGGCATCAACATCCATCCCCCTTGCCGTCAGCTCCAGACGCTCCAGGTTTTCCAGGAGGGCCTTCTCGCCCGTCTTGGTGCTGCTCCGCCCGCCTCCCGGTGGCTGCTGTTTCTGCAGTAAGGGCCCGATCTGGCCGAAGGCGATATACAGCGTGATGCTCAACTTGCGCGCCAGCGCGATGATTTGAAATGGCAAGTAAGGCGCATGATTCGTAAAGCGCTCAAGAAGCGGGTTCAGCACGACCCCGACGAGCCGCGGGAAGTGCGGCCGCGTCACGGCGTGCAGCTCGAACACACATAACAAAGCCAGCGTCAGCCACCGCCAGTACCGCCCCCAGTCCAGGTAGCCCAGCAGGCCCAGCACCCACATTGCGACGGCGGCGAGGCCGTAATATGGTATTACTTGCTGCGCGCCGCGGGCGACGTAGTCGCGGATCGTGACGCAGTGCTCCCACTCGAGCATGTCGGGGCCGAACCGCTCGTAGGCGAAGCGGCGGGCGGGGTCGGTGAGCGTGTCGGAGGCGGCTTTGAGGTGCATGAAGTAGTCGCCCACGCCGCCATTGCCGTCTTCACCACCACCTCCTCCTCCGTTATTGGCGCCCACCTTGTCCGGGTGGTGCAGGGCCGCGAGACGGCGGAACCGCGACTTGACGTCGCGCTCCGAGGCGCCGACCGAGACGCCCAGGTCGGCGTAGTAGTTGGACGCGCGCTGCAGCTCGTAGTCGGCCTCGTAGATGGTGTAGAGCAGGTACAGCGACACGACCAGGATGTGGATGCGGCGGCGGTGCTCGGCGTGCCGCGCGCTGCCAGGCGCGGGCTTTGGGTCGCCGGCGCGGATCGTGAGGCCGTAGTAGATGGTCTGCAGCCAGCCGGTCACGAGCTGTGGGGTTGGGAGGGCGCGGGTCAGCCGGGGTTGCTTCGTTGGTTTCTTGCTTGGGAGTGCTTGATCGCTTGATCGCGTGCCTTGCTATTGCGTGGCTTGGGCAGGGGAAGAGGGATAGATAGGTAGAAGATGACTTACGTTCGGGAGGAACGACCACCCCAAGAGCGAGAGGAGGTTGTTGCCGGCCATGCTACTGTTGCGGTCTGAGAGAAGCTGTGTGGATTGAGCTATGTCATGGCGAGACGACTGTGCAGGTATTTCAGTGTCGAAGAAGTGGTTGCAATGATTGTGATATTTGGTGGACAAAGAGTCGAACAGAGTGTTCGGTACTGACTTACCTCCTAAAAGTGAAGTGAGGTCAGACCACTAAAAATAGATTGCCGCGTTCCTGCAGGGGCCCCTTCCTGCTAGCCTAGCGGCCTATATTCGTGCCACCTGGCCACTCCCGCGACCCCTTTCTCCCCTATCCCCATACCAAAGAAGGAACTGCAGACTTCCTGTAGGAGTCAGCTACTGACGATTGTTCTTAGCTGCCAAGGCTAGGCTGCTTCCGTGGATGAGAACACCTATGCTGCTGTGGTCTGGTCTGTTCTTTGATGAGCCCCATACAAATCTCTAGTAGGCAGGAAGCAATCGTGAAGCCATAACGACTCGCCCAATTCCCTAGTCTTACAGTGCTAGTGAAGTCTATATCGACCGTTGAATGAAGTAAAGGTCACGGATCAAGGCTGACTTCTTCAAAGAGGTTGCATCTCCTGTCGTCCAGGAATGAGCGTTTTGCACGCAAGGGAATATGTGATTGAAGAGGCCAGAAGACTATGCTCTAAGTTTTGAGTTCAAACGTGTCAAGTCAAATAGGATCATAACGCAAGAGACAAGGCGAATGCAAGAGCTACAACGTGGATGAAAAATCTAGGTTGTTTTGCCGGCTGGCTGCCTGGCAAGAATATCTATGTATATGCGAGGGACTTGCCCCAGCAACATGAAAGAAACACCAAATCTAGCCGTCCGGTCTCAATGCCACGTGAATATCTGCATATGAAATGTCTATTTCCTTGACTTCGTTCTACTTCATATCGCACAATTTCGATCTGTGACCATATACCACCGGGTCTAGATCAGGCCCCAACTTTGTAAAGAGAGCCATCCATACCCTAAAGTCCGCCTCCTAGCATACCTATTCGGTAGATACCAAGGGGCGGAAAGAATGTAAGAGAAGTTTGAGTTTTGAAGGATCGCATGTACGACCGTTCAGGTTCTTGAGGCGAGTGAGCTGTTGCTCTTCGCCTAGTTCCTGCCCAGGGGCGTAGGAGCACAAGGGCACATGCCCGATGGGGTAGCGGTAACCGTCGAAACGGAGATCACAGTGGAGGTGACGGCGCTGGTGACAGTGGAAGTAACTGCGCTTCCACCACCGACGGTCTTGGTCACCGTGCTTCCAGCACCGACGGTCTCAGTCACCGTGCTTCCACCACTGACAGTCTCAGTTACCGTGGACAGGGCAGGGCCAATGGCGCTGGGGGCGGTCATGGTCACAATGGTGGCCGGTCCGCTTGCGCCACCTCCCATGGTGACAGTGGTCATCTCGGGAGAAACCGAGGACGTTTCATAGCTGGGAGCAGTGAAGGTGACGGTGTTGGTAACTGCTGTAGCGCCAGAGCCAGTTCCAATAGTCTGGGTCACGACTGACACGACGGGAGTGGTAACGCCCGCCGGAGCGGAGAAAGTTACGGTGCTGGTGATAGCTGAGGCTGAGGATCCCTGGCCGGCAGTCACGGTGATGACGGAAACGACCGGAGAAACTGCCTGTGCAGACGTAGTGGTGACTCCTTCTGTTGCGCTTGAGCCACCAACAACCGGGTAGGTTGCTGTCGCATTCCAGCCGACAGCGGATGTTCCGCTAGCTCCAGCGCCGCCAGTGGGAAAGACACCAGAGGGACCAGCACCGCCCGAGGGGAAGACACCAGAGGGACCAGTGGGGATGGCACTACCCGAGGGACCAGTGGCGATAGCAGCAGTCGAGGATCCAGCACTGCCCGAGGGAGCTACACCACCCGAGGGGCCGGTGGGGATAGCACTACCCGAGGGACCAGTGGCGATAGCAACAGTCGAGGATCCAGCAGTGCCCGAAGGGAAGACACCGCCCGAGGGGAAAACGCCCGAAGGACCAGCGCCACCGGAGGGGAAGACACCAGAGGGGCCAGCACCGCCAGAGGGGAAGACGCCCGAGGGACTAGCACCGCCGGAGGGGATAGCAGATCCCGAGGGGAAGACACCCGAGGGACCAGCACTGCCTGAGGGAACGACGCCCGAGGGACCAGCACTGCCTGAGGGAACGACGCCCGAGGGACCAGCACTACCCGTGAAACTAACAGCATCGGTCGAGCTGGCGCCGACGGAAGCACTTGTGGGGGTGGTTGTTGCCTGAACTGGCGCGGAGCTGTAAGAAGCCAAGGCCGAAGAAGATATGTGCGGGACATCGCTGACGGGGCAGACAGTGGTGGTCAAGTCGAACGTGCTGGTGACCAATACGGTTGAAACAGCGTCGCTGAGCGAAGAGATAGCGGCTGTCTCCGAGGCGGCGGGGCAGTTGGTGACAGTGGGGGCGCAAGAGATGACGGTGGCAATGGAAGTTGCGGAGATGGTCAAGGTGGTCAGGCTAGCTCCTCCGGTCACAGCTCCCGTTCCAGCGGTAGTCGTTGTGTTCGGGAAGGAGGGGATTGCAGAGCTTGAGGCCACGACTGGGACCGATGCTGATGAGAAGTCAGTGGAATGATATGACGCAACTAGCTATGGAGGCTTACCACTGGTGACCGCGGCGGCAGAAGAACTGCCGGTGACTGCGGCGGCGGAGGAGCTGCCGGTGACCGCGGCGGCGGAGGAGCTGCCGGTAACTGCGGCGGCGGAGGAGCTGCCGGCCGCCGAGCTCGATGGTGTGACATAGGTCGTGCTGACACTAGAAGTGCCGGTAGAAACGGCCAAAACACTGGATGTCGTCTCGGAGGTTGGGAGCGTGGGATAGCCGGCTACGGTAGTAGTATCGTTGGCATAGCCGTAGCCTTGCTGGCGGGGGAAGACCCGGAAGCTTCGAGCCTGAGTTCCCTCGGCGAGCACCACGAGGGCGGCTGCCACGTTTTGCTTGGTGAACAACATGTTGATAGAGAGCGTAAGTCGAGTCCGATCAAGGACGGTCGAGAAGCAAAAGTAGGCAAGCAATGGGCAGCCGGGCACCAGTTGCAAAGAAATCCTACAAGATCAAGGAAAACGAGTGAAGCTGAGGAAGAGACTGGTAGAACTGCTGGATGCAAGAAAACCAAGGAGGCATACGATCTTTTAATATGTACGCTGTCTAGAAGCGCCTCCAGACAAGCGCTCAACCCGTCCATGTCAACCCATGTGGTAATGGGACCCGGTTATGGAGATGGCGTCCAAGACGGAAATGGTATGGAGTCCACTACGTAGTAGTCATGAACCGGGGCGTCAGGATTATATTGCTGGAGAATGCGGCAACGCGGACGGGTCCTGGTGTCGATCGTGGGGATCCCTGCTTGTCTGGTGGGCACTGGCAGCAACATCTGGACGAGACCTGACCTGCCTGCCTGCGCCCAGGCGCCTCGATCTGATGTGGACACTAATGGGATTATCAGGCACTGGGACTTACCTACATGACTAAAGACGGCGACGACCAGGATAGCTTGACCGCGTTTATGTGGTTGGTTGATAGGGCAAGGAAACAAACGAGTTGGGCGCTTAGGCAAAGCCTCATCGGGGTCTCTGCCATTGCGTGTCTGCACCTAGAGGAGGAGGATGCAGCTTTGCACTTGCCAACACGCCCGGACTACCCGGACTGAATTCTCTAACCGCCCGACGTCGAGATGGACGCATATTTACCTGCGAGTTTGTGGAGAGCCGGTCCGTGGAATCATAACGTCGCGCTTAAAACGAACGGCGCCAGGCTAATAGTAAAGCAGCACTCCAACGACCGACGGACTCGAGAGATGCCGCATCCGTCGACGGTCTCGGCAGCGGCACGTTCGATGAGCTGTCGCCTCTAGGGGGCTAGCCTGTGAACGATGATGTTGAAATTTGATGGGAAATCGTGATGCTGATTAGGGTCAAGATAAGATAAGGTGCCTACATGTAAGGCCTGTCCTGGTGAAATTCATGCGAATTACTCGGACGGAGTCACGGCACTTGCTAGTCATCATGAGACAAAGTACCGGGCCAATGGGAACCGCTGGCGACGCTTCCTCGCGGCTCCACTACAGTCTCCACTACAGCCCAGTGCCCACCACCAGCTCCAACCCTGGACTTGTCTTTCGCCCAAACAACCGACACGCCGGCGGGATGTTTCAAGTTTCACCACCCAGCGCTTAATATGTAATATTACTGACTCTCCTACATGTATAACCTGCGCAAGGTTCACGATTCAATCTTTCAGCCGATTCGCCTCTTCCAGATCTGCAGCCAGCGACGGAAAGGCCCGCCTCTTCAAGGCCTGTTCCTGAAGCCAAGCTGTGTAAGCCTCAACATGACACCGCCAGCCATGCGACTACTGCCAGCCATGCAACCACCATCTTAATTACCAGGAGCGCCGCCGTGTCTGAGGTTCAGGGAAACAAGGAAACACGAGCAGCGAAACATTGCTTCGTAAACACCCCGGGAGATTGGTGTTTTCTTATTTTCGCCGGACCGAATGTTTCCCTTTCCTACTTGTGCACCTCGCCGTTTGGGACTGATGGCTACCAAGAGCTCTCTGACCACTTTGCAGAACTAAAAAGCTAGGTAGTCTCGTTCGTTGCCGCATAGCGAGTCAATATCCTTATCATTAACGACGTCATGTACTGTATCACTCGATAGGTCGTGGACAGCGTCGATGCGCACGATCTCGTATCATCTCCCGCATGGATCGAGAGAAAGACCATTCTTACGTACAAGAGGCCTGTCGGTTGACAGCACCTGTTCGGCAAGTACCTCAAGTGCCAGCCTATGGTCAAGTCTAGTTCACAGAGCCCCATCTCCTGGATATTTTCTTTTCAGCTCACCACGGAGCTGCCTGTCTCGAGTTGGTCACTCAGTTCACCGACTTTGAAGGTTGGGCTGTGAGCCTCGTGATTCAACTCCGAAATAAGGAGGAGGCTTAGACTACCACATCCAACCTATCGCGTAGCACGTTGCTTCGTGGCGAATTGGGACTCTCGGGAACAATCTCGTCTCTGTCCCAGATCTCACCACCCTCAAGTCTGTTAGAGGACATGGATGGTCCCCAGAGACTCACATTAGATAGGCTACCGCGCCTAGATACATTCATCTTAGTACAAGCGACGAAGCCAGGAACTTTGCCGTTACCTACCAGAGGATATCAGGCACATTGGATCACGTCACAACTGGCTAGCAGCACCTCACGCCGAGTGCAAGATCCGATATCTTCTCAGCACCCACCGTATTCCAAGGGATGTCTGATTGTCGGCATGGGCTTATCAATTGGCTCCGGGATCATCGAACCGCCGGCGCTCATAGCCGCGTCACGTGCGAGACCGTAGTTATGCCCAAACGGTTCACTGGAACGTGTAGGCACAGACCTCTCTTACCATCTCTGTCGTAGGCAGCAGAAGTTCTGCTTGAGCCGCGAGTAGGCTTGCCACAAGGAGGGTTGGTTTGATGCATTGTTTAACGTCTAGCAAGTAGGGCCTCAGGGGCGATAGTACGTAACAAGCAATCCACACGTACATACATACATACATACATACATACATACATACATACAAGTAGCTTCTAAAGCCAATTCAAGCCTCCATAAGGGCGAGAGCATCATGACCACGTGTTCACTCCTTTTAGTACATCATAGCTGGCATTTCAGGGCTCTGAGGAGCAAATACGAAGCTTCCAACCCCATCCGCCAATAAGTAACCGTCTCAACGCCGACTGTATCACGAGCTCCTCCCACCACCGCGGCAGGGGGTTACCTGCGATTTAAACGGTCGTATGCATATCGTCAGCCCCTTCTATCGACGCATACTGAGCGTCGGGACTCTCTCGTATCGTGGTTCGGGGCCGTCGGCGGTATTCGTCGTTAAAGAACGGCGGGTCGTCGAAATCCCTCGTCGTCAAGTCCTGGGACGACGAGCGCGGCGGTCACATCTCCTTCCCCCAAAGTCCAGAGCGTGCGGTGAAGGCAAAGAGGTCGCCGTCACTAAGCTGTTATCGACTGTTTTAAAGCTGAATATCCCGTGTTCTCCCTCTACGTCAAAAACAGGCCACAAGGACCACGGTCTCCGGTGGCTCATAGGAGGCTCGCCAACATGGCTCTTCATCAGCGACGTTATATGAAGGTCCGCTGCCTGTCGAGCGTTGGTAGATCTGGCAGGATGTTGGAACTCCAAGTGTGAAAATGATGAAAGAACAGGTAAATTCCCGAGTATCGATCTTGACGTCAAAGCCGAAAGGCGGAACTGAGGCCGGAGCCGAAGTTGATCGGCCGTTGAAAAAGTCGATCAGCCATTGAAAGAAACTTGCAAAGTATTCATGTAGTGCTCGAAGCCGCGTAGGCGTGCTCTTCGTAACTATATAAGTGTCGTGGTATTCTCTCCCTGTCTCTTTCTTTCTCTCCCTTACTGGGAGCAGAACTGCGTCGACGGCATGTGACGATGTTGGCGCTGAGTACGAAGCTCGGCTGCCTGAGATGTGTAACCAAGCCCTAATGGCTGGCTTCATATGTTCGTCCGATGGCACACTATTATCTGGTGGTATCAGTACACAGTCTGGCTATGGGTCTCATCTAGCATGGCTTCGTATCTTCCATTTCATTGCTCGACAACGTCTACCACCGTCAGCGGGCGGGAGACAACATGTCATCATTCTAACTCGGGTGATCATTCTGACTCAGGTGAACCGACATCGCATCCCCATCAGCAGTCGGTATCCTTACGATGACGCTCTCAGTGCAAGATTCCGCGATACCTATCCACCTGCAAGCGACGACCGACCCGCAGTGCTCAGGCGATACCCGTATGACAGCCAGGAATGAGCGCATGTTATTGCTCAATGATAAAAATGTAGGAGGTCAGGTAGAGTTTCGCGATATAGAAAAGTAACCCCTCTGCGAGAGGAGCGTGGCCCTGGCGCTACGTCAATGTTGCTAATAATTGTCCGATCCAGTGTTCCTTCGGGATCAGGACAGCGGTGCACATGACGCATATACATAGATGTCCGGGGGATGGTAAATCGTAGCGTCTTCCACCACCCCAGTTATTTGGATAAATTTATTTAAACACAGCCGTACTACTATTGTTGTAAGAACCCGAAGGATTCTAGTGGGTAGCGACGACAATGATATATATAGGGGTATGGGGCGCGCTATTGTTGACCATCCGACACAAACCAAACAAAAACAGCTATTTTTCTTGGCGCCCCGCTGTTAGGGCGCAACCTCGATATCTGCACTAAAGCAGGCACTTCTCTTAATAACTGACTATCTTTGCCAAGGCATAAGAGAATTTTTCTCACAAGCCGGATGGCACCCTTCCACGACGGGCCCCCAAAGACGCCCGTGGCCGTCCCAAAGACGACCACCAGCGGCGTGCTCAAATCCCCGGCCCCTAGAAAGAGCCCGGCAACTCCGAGCAGGCTCCGCCAGGCGCTGCTTGACGACATTAGCAACAGCCCGTCACAGGTCTTTGAGGCTGACTTTACTATTATTTTCCCCTGTGAAAGGAAAATCCCGAAATGTTAATGACAGCAGTATCACTAGAATGAAACGACCTTAATTAAACGAAATCTCTACAGACCAAGCTATTATACGCGATATAGGGAATAAAGCCTCCTCCTTAGAGTGCCAGGACTCAGTTGCCAAAATACTGGCTAAAGACAAGCACCTCTATAAAGCCAGGATAACAATGTTTCAGGAATGTGCTGCAGCAGTTGATAAGACACTTGAGAAAGCTGGAACCAAACTATACTCTCATACCAAGGAGTTCAGCACTTTTTTTTCTAAATGTCTGAACGAGTGGCTGGAAACCCGAGATCTGCCCAAAAAGAAGACCATTTCTAGGGGGATAGGGATAGTGAAGCCTATCATAACCTTCGCCCAAACTGTCTCTTCTAGCCAGTGACAGCATCCACGGACAATCAACACTACCATGAAGAAAACACAG